ATATGTTGAAATATATTGTGTTACTACTAGTCTTCCCATCTGATTCCACTTCTGAACTTGAGTCTGAGGCTTTGCACAAGTTTGGCTTTTTGCCATCTCATGTTAGTCTAGTGTTTTGTATTCAATAATGACTAGCCAAATTTCCCTGGGAAATTCACACAGAGAAAATACAGTTAAAGAAATTGTTTATTAGGCTTCTGCTTTGCTTTTGGTCTGCAATTAAAAAGGAAGCAAACAGAAATGCTGATTATATTCTCCTCCTCCCCCAAAACATAGGTATGTCCCCTTTCCATAAAAAGCCCTTAAGCAAATGGCATAATCCCTCAAAGACCATTATGAAAATATTTCAAGATCAATTGACAACACAGTTCTAACCATTACTCATAATTTGGCAAGCCCTTGCAGTATCATTTTTACATCAAGTGTTTTATTTCATGGATTTTTTTTTGTCGTGTCAGGAATGACTTGAGAAACTGCAAGTTGCTTCTGGTGTGAGAGAATTGGCCATCTGCAAGGACGTTGCCCAGGGCATGCCAGGATGTTTTTGATGCTTTACCATCCTTGGGTGAGGCTTGTCTCATGTCCCCGCACAGAGAGCCAGAGCTGACAGAGGGAGCTCATTCACGCTCTCCCTGGATTTGAACCTGCGAACTGTTGGTCTTCAGTCCTGCCGGCACAAGGATTTAACCTACTGCACCACTGGGGACTCCTATTTCATGGATAATATATGTTCTATTCTATTGTGGCATTTTTTTTCCAAATTGTGGTGTTGAAAATATTTATCAAATCATGCATTTAAATCTTCACTATGTGGTGATGCACACATTTTAAACCCCCACTGATTATAGAATTGGTCAGTTTGGTTATCCGAGAAGTAGATCAAAGAAGTACTTTGAGAAACCATCAGTAAGAAAATAATATCACAGAAACAGCTGAGTGCAAACTTATTAAACCACAATAATGTTAACCTCCACACTTTTTGGCAATGTCACATGTTCTTCCAGAAATGGAGTGGTCAGTGATGCCACATCCTCCTTATAGCCCTGATCCGGCATCCTCAGATGTTCACTTGTTTGGTGGGAAAACCTTTGCTTCAGTGATAAGACCACAGGAGTGCCCCAAAGGGTTTTCCAAAGAGAATTTGAAGAACGGGTTCAAATGTGATGCAAATGCATTGCCGCTTGTGGAGTCTGTTTTGAACAGTACCATGTTGTAAACAAAGTTGCTTCACATAGATGATGATGATGATGATGATGATGACGACGACGATAATCCAGCATATATATCTTGTTTGCTGTGACATACTGTGTTTTTGTGTCAGTAAAATAATAATAATAATCATCATCATCATCATCATCACCATCATCATCTTTATTTATATTCCACTCTTCTCCCCTAGGGGACTCAGAGCGGATTATAGCATTTACAGCAGACATAGGCCAACATTCAATGCCTTATAGTCACATACATGAGACACACAATCACATACAAGGCAAAGGCTTCTCCTTTGTCATTGCTGGCTTCTGGAGGCAATGCTCAGCTCTGGTTCTGGGGGAGGTGTAATTCTCCATTTTCAAGCTGAGGAGCCTGTGTTGTTACCTTCTGGTTATGTGGCTGGCAAGACTGCTTGGAGCATCTTTTGCCTTTTCCTGCCGAAGTGGTACCTACTTATGTACTCATATTTGCATGTTTTTGAACTGCTGGATTGACAGGAGCTAGGGCTAACAGCAGGAGCTCACCCCATCCCACAGATTTGAACTGCTGACCTTTAGGTCAGCAGTTCAGCAGCACAAGGGTTTAACCCATTGCACCATCGTGGCACAATTTCGCCTATTGTACCACCGCAGACTTGCAGAGGCACATATCTCCTGTTGTTAAAAAAGGAATTATGAATTGACAGATATTCCTTCTGTATGACCCTCATTTGTATTTTTGGATTCAAATGTAGTCATTTTCAGTTCCAAAGTAAAAAGTTCAGCTAAATGAACCGAGGCAGAAAATGTCTTAACATGTAAGTGTGCATTAAGGAGTCTCACTTAATTTTTCCATCTTGCTGTGGTCCAAGCACTTTGACCAGAGATGAGAGTAGCAGTGTCGGGTCAAATAAAGGGCAGGATTCATGTCCATTTCATGGTTGTGTGGAAGAGGGAATTTCAGCAGGTATGCTGCTTATCATACAAACAGCACTTTCTTAAATCCTTGTTCTATTTCTCCAGTATCCTGCCCCAAAGCAATGAGATTGGAAGATCCATGTAAAACCATTTGTTGTGATGACAAGCTACAGTAGAGCTTGGAAGCATTAGTGCTATTAGGCTAACATTAAACTAATAAGAAAACAAATCTTTTCTGTTGTTCATTGGTTTGTTAAATTGTTAAATTTAAAAAGCATTTAACACTACCAGAAATAGTCACTAAAGTAATAGGAAATATTACTCATTATATAAAAATAACATGGTTGGCATTTAATAATTAAAATAAATCATTTTTAGATTGTTGTCAAATATATTATGGAATTAGGGATAAGCAATGCATTTTAATATTTCCAAGATGGATTTGGGTCAACCTGCCTCTCTTTTCACACCCTCCAGGTATTCTGCCTATGGAAAATGTGAGAAGAAATGTATCAGTGTCTGAGACAAAAATAATAATATCTGTTTCCTTCTGAATCCAAACTGCTAGCTAATCAGTCTTCAGAATTTGGATTTGATTCAGTTTGAAGGAGCTGCATTTCAATTTGGACATCTGAATGTGTCTAAATCAGATTGTTTTGACTAAATTGGAAGCAAAGACCAAATAGAAATATGTTCAAAAATAAAGGGTGATATAAACTTCCCTATGAATTGGTTTGATAGATTAAACATACAATTAAAAATTACTTGACATTTATTTTTATGTTTTATATAACTATATATCAGACATCAGCAGATTAGCTTTTTATGAAAGATAGATGAATCGTTCAAGTTCTTTTAATAGAACTGGATGTTTATACAACCAAGGAAGTCAAATGTGGTTACTGGTAATCTTTTTTTTTACATAAGCAATATGTGTGTTTGCTTAATCTGACTTTTGATATGCAAGAATTTTTAGAATAAATTGATTAATGACTGGCAAAATACTCAATGTATTTACCTTTAAAAGTTTAATTCAGTAGCACTTTTTGTCTACTGCAAAAGTGAGAACCTGTGGCTTGCCAGATCTTGTTGGCTACAACTCTCTGATAATATGGCCACTGGCTACTAGAAACCCTATTATGTCTAATTTTTCCTTTTCACCCATCTTGTAATCCATTTTTAAGAGTCCAGTTGTCATGTTAGGAAGCCAAGACTGATGACATCAAACCTCAAAAATGCATGGGTAGTTGTTCAGCTTGAAAAATCCGAGCAGAAGACAAGGACATAGAATCATGGAATCATAGAGTTGGAAGAGACCTCATGGGCCATCCAGTCCAGCCCCCTGCCAAGAAGCAGGAAAATCACATTCAAAGTACCCCTGACAGATGATTAACCATCCTCTGTTTAAAAGCCTCCAAAAAGGAGCCTCCATCACACTCTGGGGCAGAGAGTTCCATTGCTGAACAGATCTCAGGAAGTTCTTCCTAATGTTCAGGTGGAATCTTCTTTCCTGTAGTTTGAAGCCATTGTTCCACATCCTAGTCTCCAGGGCAGGAGAAAACAAGCTTGCTCCCTCTTCCCTATGGCTTCCTCTCACATATTTATACATAGCTATCATGTCTCCTCTCAGCCTTCTCTTCTTCAGGCTAAACACGCCCAGCTCTTTAAGCTGGTCCTCGTAGGATTTGTTCTCCGGACCCTTGATCATTTTAGTCACCCTCCTCTGGACACATTCCAATTTGTCAACATCTCCCTTCAATTGCGGTGCCCAGAACTGGACACAGTATTCCAGGTATGGTCTAACCAAGGCAGAATAGAGGGGTAGCGTGACTTCCCTGGATCTAGACACTATACTCCTATTTATGCAGGCCAAAATCCCATTGGCTTTTTAAGCTGCTGCATGACATTGTTGGCTCATGTTTAACTTGTTGTCCATGAGGACTCCAAGAACTTTTTCACATGTACTGCTATCGAAAAAGCATTGATTAGATGAGCAAGAAAGCAATACAATAGCTGCAACTCTTACGCAGTTTCACTCACCCACCAGTCTTGTACTGGTCTTGTATCTGACTTGTGAGTAGATCAGGTACTAATGGAAGATCTCATGGTGATTTGTTGAAGCGAAGCAAGATTTTACAATCCAGAAAACGCTCCGCACTGGATGAGTTCAGGAAAGTCACACTTTATTACTCTCAGTGAAAGGCAAAGCAACTCTCTTTTGAGAAAATTTTGCCAAGAAGATCAGATGATAGGGTTGCCTTAGGTCTCCGTAAAGTGGAAATAAGTTGGAGGCACACAACAACAGCAACAACAAAACATTGCAATTCCAAGTGAAGAACTATAAAAACAAAACAAGTATAACATTGGTTAAAACAATGGAATAATCAGTTGCAATATATTTTATAAATCAGCTTAGAGACAAATTCCTAGTTTAAATAAAAAAAATGTGTCTGCTTGTTAGTGGAAGGTCACCAGAGGCAATAGGCCTTTTAGGATCTAGAAAAGGAGGCTGACATTACCCACGACCCATTCCCTTTTACCAGAGACTGGATTTGTGACATTCTGCATGCAGATATATCTGTTCTTTGACAAAGCTCTTGTCTCTACCTAAATGTTACATCATCACTGTCATCTTGTACTCTAGAAATCCACTTAATTAAATCATTCTTAAATAATCGCTCTTAAATCATTGGCAAATGTGATCATGGTCATGACAGAATCTGAACGTTAAACATATAATAATTCAGAGGGTGAGGATCGATTATGTATTCTGATGGATGCCACCTTACCTTCTATATTGTTATTTTGGTCAAGAACTAACAATGTTTTTTTTTCCTTTGTATGTCATAGTGTTACTCTAAAGTGTCTTTACCTATATTTTATTACCAGCTCTTTCATGTGGCGTATGTCCTCATCAAATTTGCAAATTCACCTCGTCCAGATTTGTGGGTATTAGAAAGATCAGTAGATTTTGGAAGAACCTACAAACCATGGCAATATTTTGCTCGTAAGTATCAATTTTAGTGTCTTCTCTCAGCCCCAGTCAGCTGCAGTTTTTTACATCTCACATGAACTTGGGAATTAGTGGTTTATTATTTATAGTTACCTAAGATGGGTCCGAAAGCATCAAAGGCTCTGCGTAGGATTGGGCTAAAAAGGTATGGGATAATAATGACAATCATGGAGCTATTTGATGTCAGTGGGACTTAGCTGTGTCTATTTTATCCCAAGATTTAAAAGCAAATGAGGTGGCTAAACTTTATTTCAAAACTGGATGGTGCTCATGGCTCCTTTCCAAATATGGCACAACAAATCTAGTTTCCTTATCCTTTCTCTGAATTGGAGAAAGATATATAGTCTAATACTTTATTTGAGTCAAAGATAATGTGGTGTCATTTCATTAGAACAGTAATGATCCTTGAGTGGGTCAAGGGATAGGATTTACCAGGGCTATTTGCTCCTTAGTGTGACTTCATGATAACTTAAATTGAGTTGAGTAGTTCTCTCAAGACCAGGAGCCTCTTCACACTACACAATTACAGCAGCTTTATTCCATTTTACTTGACATGGTTCCATCCTTCCAGTCTTGAAAGGCTATTTTGAATTCCGAGTCAGAAAGCAATAGTTCCTTACCAATTTACAAACTTCAGTTATCCATAGGATGCTGCTCATGAAATTAAAACCTCACAATCTCTGAGGATGCTTGCCACAGATGCAGATGAAACATCAGGAGAGGATGCTTCTGGATCATGGCCCTAAAACCCGAAAAACCTACAACAACCCAGTGATTCTGGCCATGAAACCTTCGACGATACAATTAATATGAACTTCCAGAGCTTACATTGTGTACTGTGAAAAGGGGCTAAGAATGACATTGAAAACAAATAGCCTGTTGTAGATCAGCCACCAGAGGCTGGCGGTTTAACTGATGATTTAGAGAGGATTGTGAGCTTTCCCGTGGCACAAAGTGATGGGTTCTCAAATCTGGGAAATAATGGTTCTCTCTGTGAGAAAAATGGCTTGGAAAGTGCAGGATCTCAAGGGCATTCAGGGGAGTCAGAAGTAGCAACAGCAGATAAAGAATCAAGTGAAGAGTTAAGTGATAAGGAGGGTTCCCATGGGAACCCACATGTACTACAGAGATCAACAATGTATTTGTTTACAAATCAGAGCCAAAAATAGATTGTGTCATTCAGAGAGATTACGTGGGAAAGTTATGGGTTAGTTCACAGGAAATGAAATTATTTCATGGGTGTCTATTAAACAACAAGTTGTTTATCGTAAGGCCAGTTCAGTTAATGCTGCATTAAAGTGAGCCGCTAAGCCCAAGTTCTCTTGTTCCTGGTTCAAGTCAAACTTTGATTTTGGATTTAATATATCCTATTTTCTATATTCCTGTTCATGTACTCCTGTTCAAGTTTTACTAGTTATACCTTCTTGATTGTGGACTTATGCTGTATTTGTGATTTCTGGACTTTGTTACCTCTCAAACTTCATGAAATTTTTGGTTTATTGTTTGGTTATCACCTGTTGCTAAACCTTTTTGGATTATATATCTTTATTTCTTATTCCTGATTGTTTATATGCTTTTTATATATTTTTGTAATAAACTGTTTGCTTATATTTCTGGACTCTTGTGTGGTGCGGTGATCATAGGTGTTTTTCAGGTCCGGAGTGCAACACAGAGTTAAACACACCCCCTTTCTGTTTTCTTGTTCTTAGATTCTAAGGCAGATTGTTGGGAACGTTTTGGAAAGGAGGCAAATACTCGTGTTAGAAAAGATGATGATGTTATTTGTACCATAGAATATTCTCGAATTGTGCCCCTAGAAAATGGAGAGGTAAGTCCTGGATAGTAATGCCAACAATACTACTTGACATTTACATAGTGTTTTGTGCATTCATAGCATTTTGTTGCACATTTTCAGTACCTGCATCGTAACAACTGACAAGGAGATGAGTGCTGAATCAATGAATTATCCATTCACAGTAGCATCCATTTTATTCATATACTAATGTATTCTCTTGTAACAATGCTGAAGAGTAGGCTAGTGCAAGAAAAGGCTTAGGGAGCTGTAGAACTACACAGGGCCATTCCAAGATTTTCCTCTCAGGCCCCATTCACACTACAGAATTATAGTGCTATTATTCCACTAACTGCCATTGCTACATCATACAGAATCCTGGGGTTTGTAGTTGGTTCAAATCACCAATCACGTAGTCCTTCAGGTGTTGCTGAACTGCAGTTCCCAGCATTCCCCTTGTTTGGCCACATTGACTAGAACAGCTGGAACTTTTAGTTCCACAACATCTGGCTCAAACACACATTTCCCACCCTTGTTTTAAACAAAAACTTTGGTCTTGATCTGTTAAACACTTGTCACACAGATAATTTCCTTTTCCCTATTAGCAGGACTTCCTGTATTAACAAATGCTGCCTGACATGGATAAAGCTTTCAGTCAGCTCCTAAAATAGTATAGTTCCAAGGATTACGTTCAGACCTTGTGGTGCTCATTGTTATCTTACAAGAGAGTCTTGTTAAAAAGAGCTTTGGTTCAGTTTCTTTAATCTTTCAAAAATCTGGCTCTGGTTTATGGGAAAATTAGCCACAACATTTGGTATTTTCCTGTTGTCGTAAAAGCCATTAATTAAAAAGACTAATTCAATGCTAGCACTTATTTCATGAAGTTATGAGCCAGATCTCAAAAATCACACTGATCAAAACCACGAATCATTTACTAATATCAATGCATTTGAAGACATATTTATGTCAGTTTGGAATATCAGCAAAGTTGCTAGCATAAGCTTTAGTAGACTGAGGGTGTAGATACACCAGGCATGGGCAGACTTTGGCCCTTCGGGTGTTTTGGACTCCCACAATTCCTAACAGCCTTCTTCAACTGGCACGGCTCAATGGAATCCTGTGGTTTGCATTATGGTATGGCATTAGGGTAAAGACATTGTAAAACTACAATACTTACAATTCCTTAACATTGAGCCATACTAGTTAAAGTGCTGTCAAAATACTTTATTTCTACAGTGTAGATGCATCTTGGGTCTTCTTTCTCGGATGCATCTGAAGAAGAAGACTTCTAGACTATCTGCAGTGATGAATTATAGCAGCCAAAATTGTCTTGGCTACATCCTTAGGAATCCTGGGATTCATAATTTGTTGTGGTTCTGGAGTTCTCTGACAAAAAGGGATAAATATCTCACAATACTACAAATCCTAGAATTGCTTAGCATTGAACTATGGATGATAATGTAATGTCAAGATGCTATAATTCTGCAATGTGGATATAGCCTGTGTCTGCAAAAGCTTATGCTACCAACTTCAGCCTCTTAGGCCCCATATAGAATCCAGATTATCTGCTTTGAACTGGATTATATGGCCGTGTAGACATATATAATCCAGTTCAAATAGGATAATATAGATTCTCTGTTTTGATAACATGGATTATATGGCAGTGCAGATCCAGTTTTTGTTTCTAAGGTGCTACAAGATACAAGATTGGAGGAAAATTCTGATAGTGCCTTGGACCATGAGAAGGTCAAACCAGTTCATACTCAGGAAATAAAGCCCACCTGTTCACTGGAGGGAATGATATTAGAAGCAAAGATGAAGTACTTTGGCCATATAATGAGAAGACAGGAAAGCTTTAAGAGAATGATGCTGGGGAAAATGGAAAGAAAAAGGAAGAGGGGCCAACCAAGGGCAAGATGGATGGATGTTATCCTTGAAGTGACTGGCTTGACCTTGAAGGAGCTGGGGGTGGCCACAGCTGACAGGGAGCTCTGGCATGGGCTGGTCCATGGGGTCGCAAAGAGTCAAATCAAATCAAATCAAATCATTTATTTCGGTCATTGACCAGCACAGAAAATAGTCACATTTTCATACAAACTTGGTATGTTGGGTACATTAAAAATATAAATATAACGACTGAAGCACAATATGGGTTAGGGAGCAGATATGGGTGAGGGAGCAGTATGGGTGAGGGAGCAGTATGAGTGAGGGAGCAGTCACAAAGAGTCAGAAGTGACTGAACAAATAAACAACAACACAAAATCCCTTCATATAACTGTATGTTAGGAATATGTGTTTAAACATTATAACTGTTTACAGTGATCGCAGTTATTCTTTGAAGTCATAGGGTTAAACCATTTTAGGTATATTGTTTTCTGTACATAGAGTTCCATTCAGATGGGTCACAGTGTGGAGTTCTATATATCATAAAGAGAACAAAGATCTTTCATCTTTGAAGATAAGCTGTGTTCTTATCTTAGACATTCTTTGAGAGCCTCAGCAACGGAAACCCTTTGAACACATATGATTCAGTTTCTGACATATGGTTAACCTATGCCCTTAGGGCCTACCTTGTTTGACTTGTTATTGTAAATCAATCTAAGAATACAGTTGAAGGCTGTTACCATCATCATCATTGATCAATCAACGCTAACTGTGTTTTTACATATAGACTATAACCTTAATGCTTAACAGCTCTCCATCTTGGGAGATGTAGTTTAAAATTTCAGGCAAAAAAAGCATACTGTAGACCAGGTTTGGACAAACTTCAGCCCTCCAGGTGTTTTGGATTTCAACTCCCACAATTCCTAACAGTGGGTAGGCTATTAGGAATTGTGAGAGTTGAAGTCCAAAACACCCAGAGGGCTGAGGTTTGCCATTCCTGCTGTAGACCGTGAAGAGATACAGAGCTCTTACTCATATACATTCTTGAAAATAAACCTTGTTCAATGGCACCTGTTATGCCTCAAGCTGCATTCCTGTATACATATACCAGGAAATGAGATTCACTTATTTGGTGTATTTTATCTCTAAAGTTGTTGCTGCAAATTGTCTGGGGGTTTCTTCACTGAACCCCCTTTCCATATCTGCCCCATGGTTTATATTACATAGACACGGCTTAAGTATGCTCTCAATTATATTTAGCTTTCCATATTGTGAGTGGTGCTGCAGTACCACAGCAAGATTTTTTGGGGGAATCTGTCCAAGCTCATCTTTGTTTAAATAAAGATTTCAAGCATGGGTCAAAGACCTCATATAATTATTGTTTCTGCATAATTTGCTTGCTATAAATGTATCTTATCTTAGATCTCTCTCTTTTGTTGCCTCCTTAGGTTGTGATATCCTTGGTAAATGGCCGCCCAGGAGCGAATAACTTCACCCATTCCCCCACACTTAGAGAATTTACTAAAGCAACGAATATCCGTTTACATTTCCTCAGAACCAACACACTTCTTGGGCACTTGATATCCAAAGCGCAACGAGATCCCACCGTAACACGTAGAGTGAGTGGATATTCTCTCTTGATAGAAAGTAAATAGCCACTGATCTAAAAGGGCATTGAACACTATTCAGAACTGTAACATTTGTTTCCAGGCTACAAAATATTTGTGCGATTTGGTCAGAAAAGAAAAGAGGAGAAGGAGCATTGGCAGCTTCTGTATATGGTATATTATGTCAGAGATATGGAACTTTGTTTTGGATGACAACTTTCATAACCATTTTCCGTTACTCATGTTTCAACTTCCAGAATTCTGGAAGCTGAAAAACTTGGAGAGCCAAAGTTTTGTCATCCTTGGATTATGGTTTGGCCAGTTCTTTGAGGACATAGGAAAAAATAATTACTATTGGCTTTATAATGAATCTTTCTCTTGAGTGCTTGCAAGCAGAGGACTCTAAACAATACCTTCAATTCTCCTTACTCCCTTTAACATATTTTCAGTAGGGGAGAAACATCTGGGAGAAGCAGTGGGAGAAGACAGGAAAGTGGAGTAATGCAGGCTGAGTTTCCCTTATCTGAAATGCTTGGGACTAGACGTGTTTCAATTTTTGGATTTTTATTTTTTTATATTTACATATACATAATGAGATATCTGGAGATTCAACCAACAATATACTCAACACAAGTAACATAGTATTGCTGTGTTTGGAGAAATGTGAAGCTGGAGACAGAGGATCTATGAACTGATTTTCTGCTGCAGAACTGAATTAAAGCCAGAGAATGTTATGTTGAAATAAATTAGATTAGTGCCAGAAGGTGCCAGAAGAAGGTGTTTTTCCTTTTTATATTAAAACAGAGTAACATTTCCATTTCCTACATTCCAACTCTTCAATTTGGCTGGTACAATCCTCCACCATCTCAGTTTTTCACCTGCTTCTAAAATGTATCAGTTTCTCTCTTCCTCCCTCTTTTGTCTTTGACTTACATGAACTCAAGATGCAAATGTTGCACTCCAGGCCTGAAAATACCTATGACCACCACACCACACCACACCACACAAGAATCCAGGAATATAAGTAAGCAGTTTATTATATAACATTTTAAAAGCACATTAAAAAGCAGGAATAAGAAATGAAGATATATAATGCAAAAAGGTTTTGCAGCAGCTGCAAACCAAACAACAATCCAAGTGTCTCATAAAGTTCCAGAGGTGACAAAGTCAGAAACAGCCAGAAATCACAGGTACAGCATAAGTCCACAAGCAAGAAAGTTTAACTAGTAAAAACTTGAACAGGAGTACATGAATAGGAACATAGGAATCTTCCAGGATATTAAAATCCAAACCCAAGGCTTCACTTGAATCAGAAACCACAGATTTAGGTTCTCACTCTAATGCAGCATTGCCTGAACTGCCCTTAAAGTAAACAACTTGTTGTTTAATAGACACCCATGAAACCATTACGTCTCCCATGAATTTTCTCCACAACTTTCCCATGTAATCTCTCAGACAGACATGATTTTTGGCTCTGATTTGTTAACAGAGACTTTTGTTGATCTCTGTAGCTGCAGGTGGTTTCTTCTGGGAAACCTCCTTATCACCTAGATCTTCAATCACTTCCTTATCTGCTGTTGCTCCTTCTGGCTCCTCTAACTGGCTTTGAGGCCTTCACTTTCTGAGCCAATTTTATCACAGAGAGAACCATCATTTCCCAGACCGGAATTTCCCAGACTTGAAGGTCCATGATTTTGTGCCACAGAAAAATCCACAATCCTCTCTAAATCATCAGTTAAGCCATCAGCCTTTTGTTGATCTACAACAGCAAAATTAGTTTGTACTCCCTTAACTCAGCAAGGGGGATTGGGGTGGAAGAAGTGCAATCTTGCACTTCTTTGTAAACTCAAGTGAAAGCAACTTGTTTCAGCCTCCCTGGCTTGTCTGTTTATTATAATTAATAACTTTTTAAGTCTTGACTTCACTCGGATGTTACTTGTCCACATTTGATCTAGTTTCCATTTGTGAAGTTTTGAAGAGTATACAATACTGTCTCTCTGAAAACTTTTGGCCTTCTCCTTATTTATTGTACATGCCTACAACTCAGGCAGGGTGGGGAATCTTTCTCTTGCTTTTTAAAATGTGTACACATAAGTTGTGACATTTATTGACATTTTCCATGAGTCACCCCAAACTGAGCCCAGCTTTATCAAGATGTACATGTTTTAATGGCAGGGAGTGGTGCTAAGATAACAAGCTTTTCCACTCACAGAATACCATTTGGGTTAGCAGGGCTTTCAAATAATTTATAGCCCAATCCTATGCACATTTACATAGGGTGCATCCACACTTTTTCATTGATGCACCCACCTGAACTGCTATGGCTCATTGTCATAGAATCATGGTATTTTTAGGTTGGTGTTCTTTGGCAGAAAAGGCTAAGGACCTGGTAAAACTACAGCTTACATAATTCATAGCATTCAGCCATGACAGTTCAAGTGTAATCAAAGATTAATTCTACAGTATTGATGTACCATTATAAATATGTAAATCTATGGTGTACAGTGGGGTCTATTCCCAAATGTAGCCCTATAAAGCAAAGACACTTAGCTCTTGGTCAATGTCATAAATAGTGAGGCGGAAATTGTCTTTGTTGTATTATATCTTTGACTGATAAATCAATGTCAACAGGTAGTGGACTACAAATTCTATTCAAATACAACTCTAACCTTTAAAATGCCCCGAAGGAGGATTTGAAAATGTTGATTTAATAATAATACACTTTAATAATAATCTACTTTCTACTAGGAGTTTGGAAACTATGGAAGGGCTAAACACCACACAGCAAATGATCACAAAGATTTTCCTAAGTGCTGAAGAAATTGCATAAATAGGGATCTCAGAAACTTTTAGTATCTTTTAAAATCAGCCAATGTCACTGAAGTTGAGACAAAATAGCTTGCAGTGGGTTAATGCCAGAGATAAAAGATTGGAACTCACAATTTGAATCCACTGTTGTACCATTAAATTACATCTATTCTTATGAATGTATTCTTCACTGAGAATGCATCCCGAGCTCACCTTTTCATATCTCCAGTCTACAGTGGGGGTGGGGGTAAGGGTCATCTAAATCCTTAGTTGATAGGAAGAATAAATAAATAAATAAATAAAAGCCTTTAAAATGTGACTTATAGTAGCAGAATAAGTTCATTTCACTATCAAATGCATGCCATGATGGTTATATCCATAACCCTTGACAGAATACACTGAAAACAGTGTTGACTTACTTATCAATAAATTTTGTTTCTGTCATCTAGTACTTCTACAGTATAAAAGATATCAGTGTGGGTGGGCAATGTGTTTGCCATGGACATGCCGAGGTCTGTGATCCAAAGAGGGACTCAGATTCATACAGGTAAGGAAATCAGAAGTACAATTAAAGTAACTGTGTTTTTTAAATGATTGCTCCATGTATGGATAGCAGCTTAGGCAGATTTTCTTCACAGTCTCAGAATTTACTGCCTGAAAGTCAGCATGTTAGTGTTTCAGAGATGGAGAGCAATGCAATTTTTTTTGGTAATGTTCATCAATGTTCATGTTTAACTGCTACCTTTATGTGTGTACTTACTTTTCATATGTCTACATTGACCAAAAGGACTGTACTGTCATTCAGATAACACACACATTGATTTTCAATCTTAGTATTATAGCTAATGGGTGGGGAAAGTTTAATGTATTTTGTAGTGATGGCTGATTGTCTGCATGTTTGTGAATCTCTTCTGCTGTTTAATCTGAATTATGAAAGAAATTTACAAAGTGCTGAATCTAGTTTAAGAAAAGAATTCAGCACTTTGGACAGCGCCTTTAAAATCTGTACCAAACCTTGAGGTTTACCACCGTACTTACATAGATATTGCCAGGCACTACTGGTCTGTTGAATGCTTTTGTTCCCTTCCAAATCCAGAAGAATTGGTGTCATTTGTGAGACTATTTAGATATCTCTTATCTAAATAGTATCTTTTTTTCATGTAAATTTCAGCTGCTATCCTGGCCACAGTTCCACTACTTAAAATTTCACTCGTTATTTGGGTGTACACAGAAGCAACTACCGTGGCTGAAACACTCACTTCTCACAGCTGCTGATGGTGCAGGAGTTGTGTCCTCTTTTGTACCTGGTGACATCAGTGACATTAATGGGTTTTCGTTACTGTGTTTAGGACGCAGCTTCTTTACTGCTTATTGCACCACATTCCCATCTGTACATCAGCCTCATGACTATTACAAAATATTTGCATTTAATTCTGAAAGGACTGTTGCTATATGGAGATGCTCAGGTTTATATGTGCATGCATCATGTGCAATTGTGAATGGTAGAAAATAATGATTAAATGGAAGGGAAATAGAATGAGGTTTGCTTAAACACCCAGATACCAGTGTGAGTGTCAGCACAACACTTGTGGAGAAACATGTGACCGTTGCTGCCCTGGATATCATCAGAAACATTGGCAGCCAGCAACAACCAGCAGCTCAAACCTCTGTGAACGTAAGTGATATAACAAGATGCTTTCTTATTGTTCATAGAGGCATCATGGTTTACAGCACAAAGTGCTACATTTCTCAAGATTAGTCCAGATGGTGGAACAGAATGAGGAAATGACTTCTTAATTTTATTCTGTTAGATTCTTAGAATCATGCGTTCACCACAGAAACTTTAATTAAACAAATTTTGTGGGGTTTAAATGAACATAACTCGCATTGTTCTTTTCAGTCTAGGTTTTCATAATCACTTATTAATATTGAAAAATCTGTTTCGTGCAGTGGTTTCCAACCGTTGTTCCTTCAGGTGTTTGGACTCCAACTCCCAGAAACCCTGGCCAGCTTGCCTATGAATGGTCATAAATTCCAAGAGCTGAAGTCCAAAACATCTGGAGGACCAAAGGTCGGACACCACTGATTTAGTGTTTCAACAATGCCACAAACCCAATTCAACCATCTTTTAGAAATCACACATTGGATGTCTAAACAAATATATACTGTAAGATTCAGGATACTGCTAGTGTGGCATAGCTGTTAGGATTATAAGGTTGGATTGGAAATCATGGCTCAAGTTCCCACAGAAATATTAAACTCCTTGTGCGATCTTTAGGCAGTCATTCTCTCCTAGCATGATCTAACATATCCCATAGGGTTGTTTTGAAGTCAAATTTGGGAGGAAGAGAGTTAGATATACTGCCCTGAACTCAATGGAGGAAAGTCAGTATAAATGTAGCATGTTAATTAATATAAATAACATTATTATTATTATTATTATTATTATTATTATTAGCCAAAAGAAAACAAGGCTGGTAGCCAAAAGAACTTCTGTCAATTTAACAAAACTTTGGATTCAGAAAAACATGACTATATTTAGAGTAGATATGTTTATTTATTTATCATATCATAAGTGAACCGAGTGTACATTGTAATGCATTTAGAAAACACAAGGTTTAAAAAACTTGGCATTATACTAAATGTTCTTTGACCAGTAGCTGGCCACTTTGAGTGTCTTTGGTGTGCATGTAGCAGGGCTCAGGCTGCATTTTAATAGGTTGTCTGTGGTTTGCTCTTCTCCACACTTGCATGTTGTGGACCCATTTCTTAAGGTTGGCTCTGCATCTTGTGGTGCCAGAGTGCAGTCTGTTCAGCACCTTCCAAGTAGGTGCATTGAAATCAACACAATGTGATTCCCTTTATTCCCTCTAATTCAGTAGGTCTGTAGTAAACATGACTTATGCGTATTGTTATTATTGCTGTTGTTATTGTTGCTGTTGTTGTTGTTGTTTGTTGCATTTGTATATCACTTTTCTCCCAAAGTGGAACCCAAGGCAGCTTTGAAGTTTAGAGCTAGGATTTTGGTTTTATTGATGATGGGAGAATGCTAACTTTTAAGCAATTTTTCCCATCTTGCTCATTCTACACAGAAGTTATAGTATGGAAGAATAAGAGATAATTTGATTAAATTAGATTGAATTAGAAAATGTGGTTAAAACATTTCAGCAGGTTAATATGCAAAGCTGGAAAGTGATAGCTAGAGCAAACTATTTGACCAACTAAATATACCAGAACAAACAGTACCTGAATTCCACATGAGTGATGCAGACAGCAGAAAGATCTGTTTTCCTAACAAACAGTGATTGTGAATAAGTAAATAATATGAAATCAGGATCAAAATATGTAGCATTATGTTTCTTTATCACAGATGGAATGTGTCTTTTTACAGGTACAGAGCAACATTTCTTGTCCCCTTAGCAGAATCAGACTCAGTTTCTTAGGATCTTGGAATTATTATTTATGTAGGGAAAAGAAAAGCTGCTGTAGAAACTGGTGGGTACAGAATGTCCATGAGCAAAATGCATATACCTGATATAAGGGTGGAATGAGAGACTGTGTCACCTAAATATGGAGTAATGCTATGACAGCCTTTCCAAACCTCATGTCCACCAAATTAATTGTATTACAATCCCCCTTTTGCTGCATTGCGCATTGAATGTCGCGATTTTAAAAAAAATCTATTTGATTACTAATTCCTCCACTGTTATAATGAAATCTCACATTCCATCTCTCTCTCTAGCATGCAACTGCCATGGACATGCCACTGACTGCTATTATGATCCTGAGATTGAACAACGTAAAGCGAGCTTAAATATTTATGGGGAATATGAAGGTGGTGGGGTCTGCATTGACTGTCAGGTAAAATACTCCCTCCTCTGTCTATCTTCCTTCGTCTAGTAGTCAATAAATAAAAGACAGTTGGAAACAGTACACAGAAATAGTTGTTGCCTCTTGGAAGACTGGGCTATTATTTGTAACTTCATATGTAACTAATCAGGGATGGATCAAGTTCTATTTGCATGAGCCAATTCTTAGTGTGTTTAGGACTTTGATATAAAATTATGAATGCAGAGCAATTCAGTAGGCCTTTTTAAATAGCACAGCTAAGCAATTCCAATATTATTATTGGTTCTGTACTGACATGGTGTTAAAAGAAATGGGATAAAACAGTATACATCATCATTGAAATGCATTTTAAACATTTCCTTTCCAAAGGATACCCAAATTTTTCTACTTTTCATATTCCATTTCCTTTGGCATCATATCCGCATAGAAGTTCTTGAAGTATTTACTACCACCTTTTAAAAAAGTGTCCAAAGTACTCTTCAGTTGCTGTGTAACCTTCAATAATGAATGACTTGCAGTGCAAGCTGAAAAATGTTGATTCACAAGTAGACACCATTGAGTTAAATGGGGCTTATTCCCTGGTAAACAGATACAGATAGGATTGCAGCAGAAGGCTGCAAACATGGAAATTAGCTGTATTGATCTCAATAAGACTTGCCCAAGAATGGACAGATATAGGATTGCACTTTGGGCTTTATTTTTTAGCCTCCTGAGCTATAGTTCCCATCAGCCCCAGCGAGTATAGCCATTTATAAGGAATTGTGGGAGTTGCAGTTCAAAATGTTAGAGAATTCCAAGTTCTCAATCCCTGCATGTCAGTAGCTTCAAAACACAGCTTTTCCTTTGAGTTTTGATTAAAGTGATGCACGCGGAACTGAGGATTTTTTTTCCTGTGAAGAAACTTCAGACACGAACATGAAACAATACAAGAGGGATATGTTGAAACATCTGTCTACTAATTACAGACCTCTGTTTTGCATTTCAATTAGATGCTGTTGACATTTGGAAATGTAATATTTTGCAACTGCGTGGCACATTAGATCCAAGTTCTGCTCTCTCCTCATCCATGCATTTAGTAACTAATTAGAGTAACAAGATTGGCAGAGCGGATCCAAGGCTTTTTTTCCGCCTGAGGCAGAGGATCAAATATTATCATGTCCTCTTCCCCAAATCGAGATGTAGGGGACTTAAGGCTTGCCAAGAACATTTTGGGACCTGGGACAGGTCCTGTTGAAAAGGTCAGAAAAGCAGGCCCATACTCAATAAGCCCCCTTACACACAGCCCTATATTCCAGAATATCAAGGCAGAAATCCCACAGTATCTGCTTTGAACTGGGTAATCTGACTCCACACTGCTATACATTCCAGTTTAATACAGGTATTGTGGGATTTCCTGCCTTGATATTCTGGTATATATGGCTGTGTGGAAGGGCAATCAGTAATTGCAATCAGATCAATTGAGGGAGAGAAGGAGAAAAGAAGAGAGGAGCCCATGTTTCCCTAGTGCTGTTTGCGTCTTCAACGGAAAACTGGTCTCTCACTTTCAGTCTGGTTTCAGAGGAATCATCCAGCATAGACATAGTGTACTTTTGATCTCATTGCTCAACTGAAAGCAGTTCTTGTTAAACCCATAGCTGGATGTATATAAAACAAAAATTGTTTTTCAAGAGAAAGAGGGAAACTCTTTGTTTTCCATTTGGCATTTTGCTGTGGAATTTTCTCCTTGTCCTTTTGCCTTTGAAAGAAAACACTAGCTAAACTTATTCTCTGAATATCATGAAAGTGAATGAGAGGTTGGAATGTTAATAGACATTGCCTGTTGCATCTCATGTTGATTGTCCACAATTTGGTTTTTGGACAGTTAAGGTGAAAACTGCTTAGCCATGAAATCTAATTACAGGTCTTTCTTCTTAGAAGAGGCATATGGATTGAGCTTGCCCTTTTCTGACTTTTATTTATAGAAACACAATTAGCACAAATGGCAGAAATGGAGACATAGTGTACCGATTAATGTCTGTTTCTTTGGATAGTAAGAATGATCTTATGTTTTGTTCTCTTTGTGGGGCAATATGTTACTGGAAGGCTGATGTCATTCTCTTACTGTAGAACCAATTTTTCATAATCACAAAGTTTAATAATTACCACTGATGTTCAAATAAGACAGTGGTATGGTTTTTATTTTCCAACTATCTCTTGGCTTATTGAAGTTGAAATGTTGTCTTGGCAGGAAAAGAGTGTTCTAGTGTATGAAATTGGATGACTTGGTTGTTGGCACACTATCCTAATTTAAATTAAGAGAACCAAATCCATCTTTAGAATAACAGAATCATAGAATCCTAGAGTTGGAAGAGGCCTCGCGGGCTATCCAGTCCAACCCCCTGCCAAGAAGCAGGAAAATAGCATTCAAAGCACCCCTGACAGATGGCCATCCAGCCTCTGTTTAGAAGCTTCAAAAGAAGGAGGCTTTATTAAATAATGCCAATAAACAGAGCAGATTTCTTCCTTAATTTAATAACATTTTAAGATTACTACATCAACAATTGACCCCCCCCCCCAAAATAAAATACAAAATGTTTTAAATATATCAACATATGTCATTGAAGTGTTGCAGGAGATGTCCACTTGAGCCAGGGATATTGACGAAAAGGGGAAATTGAGAACTGGGAGTAAAAAAAGAAATTGTAAATTTGGGAGAAAAACTCAGGGAACATGCCAAGGGTCTGAAAGCATTGGGAAAATCTAGCATTGCTTGGCCAAAAATAAACAAATAAACAAATAAATAAATCCCATTTTAAGTAGGATGCCATTATTGCCTTATACAAGCATCCTCAAACTGCATCCCTCCAGCTGTTTTGGCCTCCAACTCTCATGATTCCTGACCAGGCATGAGCAAACTTTGGCTTTCCAGGTGTTTTGGACTCCAACAATTCCTAACAGTCTCAGACCCCTTAAGTAGCTGAGGGGGGAAAGGAAAGGGCCTGAGACTGTTAGGAATTGTGGGAGTTGGAGTCCAAAACACCTGGAGGGCCAAAGTTTGCTCATGCCTGTTCCTGACCACTGAACAAGTTGGCTAGGGCTAGTGGGAGTTGGAGGCCCAAACAACTGGAGGGCCACAATTTGAAGATGGTTGACCTTCTAGATCTAGCAGCCAGTAGCCATTCGACTGCCTAGGAACTCCAGTATCCTACAGTTCAGTCATGACATGCATTGGCCTATTTTTTTACATGGCATTCTAGCGTTCACTACATTACCATGAAAAATAATGTTTAGGTAATACAGTTCAAAATTATTAAGTGAAAGATTTCACTATTCAGGGAGTTAAATCTTTCATTCTCTGAGCTTAACACATAGGGCCTTTCCAGACAGGCCCTATATCCCAGGGTCTGATCCTAGATTTTCTGCTTATCCCAGATTATCTTGATGTGTAGACTCATATAATCCAGTTTAAAGCAGAAAACCCTGGGATCATGGGATATAGGGCCTGTCTGAAAGGGCCCCTAGTTATACCAAGCTGATTCTTCATTTTAATATCTTAATTCCCAACAAAATAAGAAAAGAAATTATCCAAATACCCTGGACTTCTGTCAAATCATCTTCCTTCTTTAACTGTAGCTATATATTTAAAATAATGTTAAAATGCCAATATTCAGCTGTTTTCTTACTTACTGTAGCTGTTCTTTCAGTTGCATTTTCTTCATGTCACCCTTTGTTGTTGTTGTATAGCATAACACGGCTGGTGTAAACTGCGAGAGATGCGTGAAGGGTTACTATCGTCCTTACAGTGTTCCAGTGACAGTGCCACATGGATGTATCCGTATGTCATTTTCCTCTTACCTTTTAAGTTATGAAATTATCATTTTCTCTGCCCAGAATGTCCTAGGAATAATTGGAAGAATTAAACTGAATACATTTTAAAATTGAGACTAACATAAAGTATGTCTCTTGTATTTAGCACACTTTTGTGTATAGAGTAGAATGAAATAATTTGGGCAAGAAGGTCTCCCAAAGTTTGGAAATGTTACAACTCCCAGAACCTTCCACGTAGCATGACTGGTGGCCATACTGGCCGGGCATTCAAGGATTTTGTATGTGAAACAAGTAAGACTTCCAGGCTCTTTGATTTCATCAGTTTGTTATTAGTACAGGGGCTGTGATGGAGCAACGGGTTAAACCGCTGAGCTGCAGAACTTGCTTACTGGAAGCTTGGTGGTTTGACTCCATGGGTCGGGGTGCCCTCCTGTTGTTAGCCCCAGCTTCTGCCAACCTAGCAGTTCAAAAACATGCAAATGTGAGTAGATCAATAGGTACCTCTTCAGCAGCAAGGTAATGGCACTCCATGCAGTCATGCCGGCCACATGACCTAGGAGGCATCTATGGACAATGCCGGATCTTTGACTTAGAAATGGAGATGAGCATCACACCCCAGAGTCAAATCTAACAAGACTTAATGTCAGGGGAAACCTTTACCTTTACTATTATTAGTACTGTGATGGGAAATGACACACTTGCCAAATATTTTCCTATCACAAAGATGTTAAACATACATAAGACTGTGTTGATGTCTTTGTGCAATAGAATGCTTCAAATGGATTTTGTCCTTGTAGAAAACTTAATTATAATCATAAAGGTGCATGGTTGGATGCCTCTGTTCTCTCCATGCTATTTATTTATTTTATGGCTTAAGACCAATTTATTATGATTTAAGATCCATTTAATTTGTGATTTAAGACCAATCAAAGGTTATTGTACTAGAGGTAACTTCCCTTGGACAGAGATAGAAATGTTACCATACTTTAATAATATCTAAATTAGACTGCCGCAATTTACCATGGTTGAATTGGCCTATAAAGAACTCAAAATACTTCAGCTCGGTTGTTGGCTGAGCCTGATTGAGTGGAATGTATCAGTCTGGTTCTTGAACAAATGAACTGGCTGCCATTCCATTTTCTGAAGGCAAATTAAAGAAGTAGTGTGGTTACTCTGAAACCCCTTCATGCTTAGGGAACTGCTTATAGAAAGGATTGTCAGTGTGCACAAGATGCTAGCCATATGTAGTGACCATCTCCAGAGGGTTTTTTCTGCATATCCCTGTCTTTGGTGGTGATCAGAAAATACTTTTGTAAAATTCATGAAATGGATTTTCTGGGGAGGTGAGACATCTCAGACAGTTGTGGGAGCACATGCAGATGTTGGGAAGGTGTTATCTAGTCCTGAAAGAAATGCTATTCTGGTTATTAACAATACTGTGAAATGCCAGTTTTATTTCTTATTTGCAAATAAGTTCAATTCAGATTAGTCTCAGAAAGTCATGTTTCATAATATTCACTTACATTTTTATATCTTGACTCTTAAATTGTAACCTGTTATGTTGAACTATAAACTGCCTTCAATGTCGTGGGAGAAAGGGAGTATATATATGTACAAAATTAGTAATGTGGATTTTAGATATTTTCTCAATGTTTGTCTATTTTTTTCTTCTACTTCATAGGGATTCCTATTTATCCTGTAATTACTCCAGCCCCAAAAGAAGATCCTTCAGCTGGTCATATAATTGGCAAGTTTTGTTTTTTCTGTTATACTGATATTTTACCAATTGAATGATCCAGTATCAATGTGTGTGTGCGCGCGCGCATATGTACAATCATACATAAAAACACCTGCAAAGGAAGTGCACTTATGCCTGTCATGAGATCATCCATCATAAGGTGCTCTGGATATGTGAAGACTTGTCTGTTTCTTAACCCTGAGAAATCTCTCCCTTGGCCTCAGTTTCTGCACCTGGAAATGACTATGCAAATCCTTTAACAATCCAGGACTTAAGATTTTAGACAGTTCTTGAAGACGTACTATAATTGATTGTGGAGCCCTATCTTTCCCAGGTGTTCTTATATATGAGGATATACTTTGCATACGATGAATCTCTGACATGCCCCTTCCTTCCTTCCTTCCTTCCTTCCTTCCTTCCTTCCTTCCTTCCTTCCTTCCTTCCTTCCTTCCTTCCTTCTTTTTTTTTCAGGAGATGACTGCAAACCAGGATTTTTTGGACCACGATGTCAGAGTAAGTTCTGTGTATCCACTGAAAAATGCCAAAGTCAAATGTGGCACATTTCATCAATATAATTAAACTATTTGATAATTAAACCATATCATAAATATTCCAGCAGGAAATTAGCGATACTTTTTCTAGATATAGAAAAAGTGTTCGATAGCCTAAATTGGGACTTTATGATGGAAGTTCTGCAAGCACATGATATGAGGGACCAATTTATAAAGACAATATGAACTATATACAAAGCCCTATATGCACAGTTGATAATTAATGGGGGGGGGGGGATGACGATGACAAAGAATCAAAATAAGACATGGGACCAGGCAAGGCTATCTGTTATCACCACCCCTGTTTATTATGTATATAGAGATGCTCCCTGCAATTTTAAATGTGCTCAGAATTCAATTATTTTGCTTTTTATACATCTGTGCTACCTAGCTTGTCAATGCCATGGTTCAGGAGCATTGAATATTGGTGACTGTGACCCAAAAACAGGACAGTGCCAATGCTATGAAGGATTTCAAGGGACTGCCTGTGACAGCTGTGCCATAGGATATTTCCATTATCCTTTCTGTCAGAGTAAGTCTCCATTGTTGTACCTTTTAATATTTTATTCAAATACTGATTTTGGAAGCTGTCTTGTCATCTATGAGATGGAAATTTAGAATACTCATGATGCATGCAATAAAGAAAAGGTCATATCATTTGGATATTTCCCATATAGATAGAAAATCAGGTTTGCATGTATACTTTCTGCTAAAACAAATCGACCACGGATGTTTTTCCATGCCCTTTTAAAGACCAGACTGATTTTAAAAGTCTGGAATGTAATCATCCAGAGTGTGCAAATACACATATGATTACCTCAAGGTGGGAAACAATTTCCAATTTCTGCTCTTGACTACAAAAATCCATTTTGCTGCATCTTTTCCTTGCAGACATTGCGTGCAACACACAACCACCTAACTACAGGGCAGTATTTAACACCTTAACCACAGAGTAGCACTTGTGTATCATGCAACTGCAAGTTGACCATTCCTTATCTAATATCGCCAAATCTGAGATACTCCCAAACCCAAAATGGTATATATGAATCTTATATGACTTTCCTTTTTAGATTTGAGCCCATCCTCCAAGATATCTCATTATGTACATAAATTCAAATTCATGAATTCCAAAATCTGAGAAATGCTAAAACCCAAAACACTTCATCTCCCAATCATGTGAAACGAAGGATACTCAACATGTACAATCATAGCAATATCTCAGAAACAAAAGAGACTCCATGCTATGGTTGAGTCTGCAAGATCTACATCTTCATTGAATGTACTGGCTTCTCTATGGCTCTTCAAGACAATTGTTGAGATTGACAAATGTGGGGGACATTTAGAGCCAGATGTTTTAGCTATAACTCCAGCAAGCCCAGCTCAGCATGGGTTTTGGTAACCGATTGTAGAAGTTTCTCACTCCTAGCTCACTACTAGGCTTACAATCAACACTAACCAGATTTACACAATGACACAAATAAATTGACTTTGACTATAATCAATAATTCAACATGTGGGGTAGAAAACAATCCAAAAGAAAGCTGATGGGACATTTTCAATACAGTTGTAGAATGATTTAACCAGAGTGCACACAAAGGTGTTGTTTCTTGCTATGAACAATGCCTTCCTAAAGTGTCCTGTTTTTCTTGGCAAAGTGTGAATGCAATTTAGCTGGCACCCTCCCAGAAATATATGATTTCCAAGAGAGATGCCTTTGTCGTTCTGAGGTAGATGGCAGTCATTGTAACAACTGCTGCTCTGGGTATCCCCTTTTGCCAAGCAAAAAAATTGTAGAAATACTAGTTTTCCCAGTGGGAATCCCGACTCGTGAACAAATCTGGTCATGTCTTCCTTTTTGGATTACTAATTGTAAATGGTGGAAGAGATAAGGATTTCCATGTTATTGTCCTGTGAAATGGTATGTTGACTGGAAAAAGGATAGACACAAAATCCCTACCAGCTGAGTACTTACACTTTGGGAATGAAAAATATTGACCTAATTCTGGGCCCTTCCATACAGCCATATAACTCAAAATATCAAGGCAGATAATCCACAATATCTGCTTTGAACTGGGATATATTAGTCCACACTGCCATATAATCAAGTTCCATGTGGATTTTATAGAGCTGTGTGGAAGGGGCCTAAAGCTTCTTTGCCTAAGAAAACTCTAAAAATCTATAGGATTGTTATAAATAAACAAGAAGCTTGAAGGCACCTATAGACTCCTTTGGGAATAACTACCATTACATGTAACATAGCTGATGTCTGAGCAGACATTTGTAAGATTTTGCTGTTAGTAAAATGATGGTTACCTTCATTACCAACGAATAAGGTTTTCTCTAACTTGGTTCCTGTGATTCTTTATAAATGCTAGAGGTTGAGCCTTTGACTCCAAAAAGTGGGCTGCAACCTATCTCTGTACAGTAGAGATGGGCAATTTACTACATGAGCCAAGCAAGTATGGACCTTTGATAATTTTTCTGTGGTTCTCTGTGCTCTGCTCCTACTACGGAAGTGCCACAGAAGCCATCCTACTCCTACTTCAACTAATACTGGGCAAATTAGGCAAGACGTAGGTGACTGTTGTTTTTTCTGTCCTTGTTTCCAACTTTCTTCTCTTTTCCTTCCCTCCCCTTGGCCACCCTCCACATCTCATAAACAGTTATGTCTCCACTCTCTGGTACAAGTCCTAAATAGTATAGAGGCCAGGGTGTTTCCTACAAGAGGGCTCATGTAATCTATCTTCTATCCTGGCAACTAATTCTGCTGGTGAGATTTGGTAATGTGTCAGGGGTTGTTATTACCACTTGCCAATAAACAAGATAATGAGTGATTATCACTAACAAAAAGAAGTCTGAACAATATGTTTATATAGGTATGGAATATCTGTTTATTGCTTAATAGTACATTGGAAAATATTGCAAACTTTAAAAGATCATCTGATTGCAAAATGCTGGATTAAGCTAATAGCAAAAGCGGTTGAACTAACATATTGTTGGATCTGGAAGAGATTCAGATGCTTTAATGAAAAACATAAAAACATTTTCCATTGGTATATAAGACATGTATGTAACTGGAAATAAATTGGTTCACAGACCCATGGAGGAAATGTACCCCAAATTGGCCTGGTTTAAATTTTGAGGTTTCAAAATTGTCATGTAGCCTGTTCGGTATTAACTATAGAAAAAGTGTCGTATGAAAGATACTTAAAAGGAAAGGGGTTTAAACTGTAAATATATCGTCTCATATATTTGTTTGAGACAGATTGGAAGTGGAGTTGTTTGAGGCAGATTGGAAGAGGGTGTGCAAGCTATTGTTTTGTTCGATTTCAGGGGAGCTCTTTGTAATTTTCTAAATGATTAGAAAATAAGACATGCAGACAAACACATCTATATAAATAAAATGTAATGTTGGTTTGTGGGATTAACATAACTCAAAAACCACTGGACGAATTGACACCAAATTTGGACACAATACACCTATCAGGCCAACAAGTGACCATCACTCATAAAAACACTGGAAAACACCGCAGAAGAGACTTAAAAGCCAGAAACAAAAAAAAACAAAACAAAACATTATGACTGTATAGATTTATATGATTTAGTTCAATACAGTTAATCTGCATTTTGAAACTGCATTATATGGCAGTGTATATGGGGTTTTAGATAGAGCATAGAAAACAGTAAGAAACAGAAAAGTACAATTAGCTGAAGTGCTTTTCTTTTGCTTGGCAGAGGAGAATGGGAGAAGATTATTTTTTTACTCTCTGATTTCACTATCTCTCTTGAAATTAGTGGTACATTCATTTGTATAATGAGTGGCCGTACATTATATATGAATTAGTGTAGTCTCTAATTATGTAAATTAAGAAATCCAGATGTAAAGTAGTACAACATTGTGCATCATCATCATCATCATCATCATCATACACCATTCTGGCTCTCTTTGTACCAGATTACATCTGGAATGTGGCCAGTCCACATGCAGAGTCTACACTAATTCATATGTTAGGTATGGCCATGGTTTAAGCATTGGAATGCAACTCTGGAGAACAAGGAATGAATAATGCACCCCAATTCCTGCAAAGAGATACTATATTCAAAGTCATTCTAGATGCATCAGGTTTATAATGGTTATAGATACTCCTTCATATGTGCCCCAGAGTACTCTCAGGTTTTTACTGTACGTCAAATTACGTACATTAGATTATATTCCGATTACAAATCCTGTAGTCCACATGACATGGCAGAATCCCTTTTACGTCCTCAACACTTCTGTGATTCCTCAAGGACAACCAGGGCAATGGAGAAAGGCCAGTCTTCATCACACAGGCCACTAATTTAATTTTTAAAAAGAGCAGCAAATTAGCAATTGTGTTTCATCTTATATGTATAAATATTTGAGGAGGGGTTATTTTTGTTTTTAGTTATAAGCAGTCATTCATTTATCATTTTGCTATTGGTGAATTTAGAGTGATCAGCGTTTTAAAATATACGTAGAATATCAGGCTATTCAACACTGAGAAACTGGGGCCTAATTGTTCAATTGACTCCTTGAGTCAGAATGTTTTTCCTGTTGGATTTCAGAATAATAATGTTGTCAGCATTTTCCTAAAGTGGCATTTCGCTGACTCAGAATAATTATTTTTGCTTGGATGTAAGCCATATCAGTGCTATAGCCTAATGTTCAAAAAAGAAATTTATTAGCAACCATTTGAAAATTTCATTTTATACAAGTAGAAAATAGTTGAATTAAATATCACTGTAAGTTGTAAACCGTTACATAACAGAAAGAGTATTATTCCTTCATGGTCAGTTTGCACTGAGAGCAACATCTGTTCCCCAGAAAGATTAATTTTTCTGGAGGAGGTACTTTGCAAAATGACAGTTAAAAGAAAAGTTACATGTAATCAGGTGACACTTTCTTAATCTTTCCACACAGAGTGCAATTGTGATGCAACAGGATCTGTGGGCAATATCTGTGGCTCTCAAGGTGACTGCCTTTGCCATATAAATTATGCTGGGCCTAAATGCAGCCAGTGTGCCGCTGGATATTATAGCTATCCCAGTTGCTTCCGTAAGTAATTAAGTATGTAAACTTTTTCTCACTTGCTACATATACCAATGCCTATTAAAAATCCATGATCTGTTTTTGTTTTTGGCTCTAAATGCCACTTGAGCATCAGCCATGGATTCAGACCATTCATTGTCCAAATCCCACTCGGAAGTTACTTTCCTGCAGGAAATAGCATTGTTGCTGTGTGTGACTCAACTTGCATTCTATTTCTTGTCAGGCATGCTAGTAAACTGTGATTAGCATTATATATTATCATGATTGATGGTCTGTAGCAGCAAAACCCTATAGTAGATTTATGGCCCATAGGAATGGCAAAGCACATACCATGGACACGGAATCTCCCAAGGTCAATATATGCAGTTCAATTAATTATATTTTGCAAAAGCAGAAAAAATGTCTGAGACTTTGGAGAGCATTTTCAGGTCTAGTATGCTATTGGCATGATAGAACAGTAGCTTGGCTTAGCATTGGTTAAATCTGAAGCTACTGAGTCAAGGGTCAAACTGTCATTAGGAGCTAAAGGCACATTAGTGTTATAGAAATGCATTTAAGTAGACATAAATCCCGGTGGCGCAGTGGGTTAAACCACTGAGCTGCTGAACTTGCTGACTGAAAGGTCAGCAGTTTGAATCCGGGGAGTGGGGTGAGCTCCCGCTATTAGCCTCAACTTCTGCCAACCTAGCAGTTCAAAAACATGCAAATGTGAGTAGATAAATAGGTATCGTTCTGGCTAGAAGGTAACGGTGCTCCATGCAGTCATGCCAACCACATGACCTAGGACAAGTTCAGACCTCCAGGCGTTTTGGACTTCAACTTCCACAATCCTTAGGACAACGCCGGCTCTTTGGCTTAAAAATGGAGATGAGCACCACCTCCAGAGTTGGGCATGACTAGACTTAATGTCAAAGGGAAACCGTTACGTTTTAAACCATGTGAAAGGTTTGCCTTCTGAGTCCCTCCACGCAGGTAGTGAAGAACGGGATATAAAAGTTCTAAATAAATAAATGATTATGGACAACATAGGTTGGAAATGTCTTCAAGACACCCAACAAAGAGAAATGCCTCTTAAACACTAATTTCTGAGTTATAAGACTTTCAATCCAAGCTTGTGTTTACCTCCTAATGAGCAATCACAAATAAAGGAATTTAATGCAGAATCTGTTGAAGGTGTAAAACTAAGAGGTTTCAGTTTTGAAGAAATTCTTTCTTGTACCTGTCATGTACAATATGGTCTTGCATATCACCTACAAGTTACTTATATGAATGTAGGAAATTTGCAATGTTTCAGCCATTTCTGAGGCTTTTCCTTGCCCTTCAATTCTAGCTTTCAAAGACCAAGCTCTGGATAGTGGAACATTAAGTCAGGAAGAGTAAGACTCACCTTTCTCAATTGAGAGATCTCTGCTTTGTGTTAAAATCCTTTGAAGGATTGCCATCATAGCTGGGAGCTATGGAATAATAACTAGACCTCTAATCTTAAATCATATATCTTTCTCTCTTTCCAAAAGACAAAAGTGTGAAATGTTCTTGTCCACCAAGAAGCTGTTGCTTGCTAGAGCATGCCTACAAAGCATTCAGAGAATGATGCTGAAGAAATGCTTTGTGCAATGGCTTCTGCTGTGGGTGCTGAGATGTTGGATTACAGCTGCCATAACACCTCTGGCCGTATGGATTTTGGCCAGGGGAACAGTGAGAGCTGTTGTCTAGAAACCTCTAAGGACAATCTGAACAACTATTATGCAAATCCTGCTGTCGTTTCTAACAGTAACACCTTTGTACAGCTTGTAGGTGCTCACCCCAAGGATCCTACCAAGACTCATGTGACCCAGCCACAGGGCAGTGTGAATGCCGACCTGGTGTATCAGGGCAGCAGTGTGACAGATGCCTCTCAGCAGACAAGCACTTTCCTTATTGTCATGGTAATCATTACAAGGGCATTTCTAATTATGGCAGCCATGTAGTGGCAGCCAGCCAAAGGCATGGACTTTCTTGAGCTGTGGGGATTTAAACAACTTCAGTTCCCACCATAGTTTAGTGAAATGGATTGTTTTTAAGATATCATCACAATCAAATGCTTAGGCCTCAGATCAACAAATACTTTTGGTGGTGGTGGGTAAGTAATGGGTTTGCTGTTGGCTAGTAGTCTGTTTGTGAGGAGTGAGAGTGTAGTAGCAAGTTTTCCAAACTGAGGGGAATATACTTCTGATGTTATTCTTGTTTGAAGCCATGAGTAAATGCTTAGCATAAACATGTATTTTAAAAACAGACTGAAATAATTTTAATAACCTATTAAATACAATTAAAATTTGGTTTTAGGGATCAAAAGCCAAACAAAACAATGCAGTCTTGACTTCCTGCTGGAAGTCATAAAGGACAGAGACAGGCTAACTTCCCTTGGGGGTGGGCTACATTTTAGCAGTGTGACTATTAAGGAAGCCCTGTTTAGAAAGCCAAGGGGCACCCGGATGGTTGATGTGTTACCATCCTGTGAGAGGCTTCTTTCATGTCTCACATGAGAAGCTGGAGCTGTCAGACGAGAGCTCACCCCGCTCCCTGGATTCAAACCACCAACCTGTTGGTCGACCATTCCTACTGGCATAAGGGTTTAACCCATTGTGCCACGGAGGGCTCCTTTTTTCTATTGACTTTCCAGGAGAGTAACACTGAGCGTTACTGCACAACAATCTTTACACAAGATTTTATAAGTTGTGTTACAGAATGATTTCTGTTTCCCTTCTCTAACTACTAGCCCTGGTGCACAGCTTGAAAAAGTTACACTTTTAGATTTCAGTTTTCAGAACCTATTTTCCATCCAGCCTGGCCAGTCATAGTCCAAAAACGCAATATTTCTATGTTCACAGCTGAATGGATGCCATGGGCCCAACACTTTGTGAACATTAGAAGTACTATGAATACTAAATTAGCTTTGTGAGATAATGTACAGTATAGTAAGTGAAATGCTTTTTTTCAAAAGCATGAGATAATTTTTTAAAGACTAAAACTGTTTTATTGTTGTTTTAACAACCAAAAGGAACAAACCATGAATGTGATCCAGCTGGAGCCGTGGATTCATATTCTGTAAGTATTACCCCTTATAGAATTGTGATGTGATTACTGTGCTTATAAAGCTGATTGACCAAATTCACTAAGCAATTAGGGATTTGTCTAGACATAGTGGACCTAATAAACAAGGAAACAAATATCAAGGAGCATAACGAAACAAAACTCACAATAGCATGACACCATTATTGGCCAACTGAAATGCAAACAAACAAACAAAAAAGAAAAATCAGGATGCAAGCTTTTGAAGCTCTATTGGTGTCTTCACCAAGCAACAGAGGTTGAAAATAATGAACTCTTGTATGGAAGCCTGAGATTGCAACACTGCCAGTTTTCTTATTTTTTAAATATCTTGATAACGAAGCAGTAGAGCTTCAAAAGCTTGTATTGTGCTTTTTGTCTCTCAGCTTTTGTTTTTATTTGGTATTGAACTACATCGCCAGTTTGTAAAGCCCCTTTGTTTCTTTTAATGTGAATCACACCATTCCCTTTGTCCCTTAGGACAATTGTCAGTGTCTGCAGAATGTGGAAGGTCCAACATGTAGCATCTGCAAACCAACCTACTGGAACTTGGCCAGAGAAAACCCTGAGGGATGTATAGGTAAGACTGCTTTGATATATTTCATGCACCCCCCAAAAAAGGCCATCTTCCCCCTTTAGCTATTTTCAGGTTCAGTGCTGGTCCAAGACTTTTTGCAACTTGTAACAAAAGGCAATGGCACTTCTACCTCCATTCCACATACAGAAATCACCTGGGCTGCAGAAGAATGGCACATGAAGCTGGCAGGTCACTTTGAGTGGTTAGACCAGGCCATATGGCATTCTGTTATCCAGTGAAGGGGACTGGCCATACAATTCAGAAGAATGGTTAGTGAGGTACTGCTACTTTTCTCTCCACCTCTCTCAGCCCCACCACCATCATGGTCACCTCACTGACATTATTTCAGCCCAATCCAACTCCCACTGCTCAAGCTTCCAGGGGACAGCATTAGTTAACGGAGCTCGTTTTGCATGACGTAGGCGATTCTACTGTTGAACAGCTGCCGTTGCCAGGAGGATCTTCCTAATAAGTTAGAATATCTTCCCTTATAATTTTCAGTTCATATTTTAGTCACTGGCCCAGCAGAAAACAAGCTTCCTCATACAGAACATCTATCAAACATTTAAAAATAGTTGTCATAACTTTCAAATGTCTTTTTAAAAAACTAAACATACCAATCTCCCTAAACCATATCTCGCAGGTTTTGCTGTCCAGATCTTTGTTTATCTTGGTTGTCCATCTCTAGCCATGTTTCAGCTTGTTAATATCCTTTCTGAACTGTAATATCCAGAACCAGAATAGCATTCCTGGTGAAGTCCAATCAAACCCAAACAGTAATTCTTTTATTCACATTGAGCTAGACTTTACTCCTGTCGATGCAAGCTAGAATTGCATTGGCTTTCTCTGGCTACACTCATGTCTATCTTGTGGTCTGCTAAGCTTCCTAGATCTTTTTCCCATGTGTTTTCCCAAAATATTGAAACATTATCTAGAATTCATCTGGCTTGTATATTGCACTGTTATTTCAACTGAATTTTGGCAGGGTTTCATAGAGAGTAGCTAACAGTTCATTTTTTATTATTTCTTTTTCAGGCACTTATTTCCATTAATAACAAAGTTATTTAATGTTCCTTAGATAAATACTGTCATATAGTGTCTACAATTATTCAAAAATAGTGTAGCAATGTAATATTTATATACACTTGAAACTCAATTAGCAGCTTTGCTATCCAGGCTAAATAGCAACTTTGTGGAAGATGTATTAACTGGAAAATTGTGCAGAGGGCTAGACTTCCTGCATCTGCACTCATGGTTTTTGAAGTATATCAGGATAGATCAGAATAGTAGCTTTTTGTTTTGTTGTTTTGATACTCAAGCACATTCAACTTAGCATCTGGTCTGATTCAGAGGACAGCCTTGTGTCTGGAAAGCTTCTTGCTTGAAGAAGTAATGTGACCACGAAACATTTTCTAAGAAGGGTTGTTGTGTGTTTTCCGGGCTGTAGGGCCATATTCCAGAAGCATTCTCTCCTGATGTTTCACTTGCATCTATGGCAGGCATCCTCAGAGGTTTTGAGATCTCACAGCCTTTGAGGATGCCTGCCAAGGATGCAGACGAAACGTCAGGAGAGAATGCTTGTGGAACATGGCCATACAGCCTGGAAAACACACAACAACCCAGTGGTTCCAACCATGAAAGACTTCGACAATACATTTTCTCAGAAGTTTTCTTTCCTTGTTTATGAACTATAGAGGAGACACTATGATTTTTGATTTTGTTTTTTTTTTAAAAAAAAACCAAAATCCTGAATCCTAAAACCCACCTGCAGGAAGATATACTAAAAAAAACCTATACACTTGAACTTGACCTGTTTTTAAATAATGTTCTGTTTCTGTTGCATTTCTATATTGTCTTATTATCATGCATCACTTCGGGATTCAATTCATAAAATAAAATTATACAAGCAGTTTGGTACTCTAGGATTCTGACAGTGAGAGCTGTTCAGCAGTGGGATATGCTGCCTCAAAGGGTGGTGAAGTCTCCTTCTCTGAAGGTTTTTAAGCAGAGGCTGGATGGACATCTGTTGGGAGTGCTTTGATTGTATTTTCCTGCCTGGCAAAGTGTTGGACTAGATGACCCTTGTAGTCTCTTCTGGCTCTATGATTCTATGATGAAGTGTAGGTATTCTAAGGGAGAATGATTTATTAACAAGTCTCAGAGTTTGTTTTGTTTTCTTTTGTTTTCCCTGTTGTAAGATAGAACCTGGAAGGTTACTTTAGGCATATCCTTTAGAGTTTAGACCTCACCTAGCAGTAAATGTAGTATAAATGGCTACTCAGAAGATGTCTTTTGGATGGATTTTCTTGCTTTTTCAGAATGTCAGTGCAATGCATCTGGAACACTGAGTGGAGTCAGAGAGTGTCAGCAGGTAATATATTGCATTATAAATACTTTGCTTATATAATGGGTTAATTTCTGATTGAACATAACAGTCAGCTAACTCTCTTTAAGATGAATCACATCTGGTATTCAGGAAGCTCTTTCATATTACAGAATTAGTAACAGCCAGTTTAACTGCCGTAATTTTATTGTATGGAATCCTGGGATTTATAGTTTAGATAAAGTATTTAAAATTTTCAGCCAGGAACTCTAGTATCTCATCAAACTAGAAATCCTAGGAACCCATTTTTTTGTCGTGTCAGGAGCAAGTTGCTTCTGGTGTGAGAGAATTGGCCGTCTGCAAGGACGTTGCCCAGGGGACGCCTGGATGATTTGATGTTTTTATCATCCTTGTGGGAGGCTTCTCTCATGTCCCCGCATGAAGAGCTGGAGCTGATAGAGGGAGCTCATCCGCCTCTCCCCGGATTCGAACCTGCGACCTGTCAGTCTTCAGTCCTGCCGGCACAGGGGTTTAACCCACTGCGCCACCGAGGGCTCCTAGGAACCCATAGGATGTTGTCGTGGTGGTTAAAGTGGAATCATAGTGCTGTAATTATGCAGTGTGAAAGAACCGGGAGGATTTCCCAATGTAACCTGAGTCTTATTGGGTTGGATTTGACTTTCTGCTACTTGTGACCTAATTCTTTTGTGTGGCTTCATGCCTGAGTTATCACTCTGGTTTGTTGCCTGGAAACTTCTCTCTTTCAGTTGCTGAAAGATGACTTCAAACTTCATTATAGAACAGGATACAACTGACCTTTTCTTTCATAATGCAATGATTATTTCTCTCTGACTACAAATTAGAGGCTAGCTAAAATCAAAATACTCTTTTGGGGCCTGTTTAAAAACACATTATTGCTTAAGTTCAGTGTTTTAAGATAATAATTATTACAGGAAAAAGGTTAAAAACCACCTTAATTCTGATCCTGTGCTTTCCTTTACAGGTCGATGGTGAATGTTATTGTAAACCTAATGTTTGTGGAGATTCCTGTGATATTTGTGAAGATGGTTATTATGGGTTAGAGGCCAAGAACTACTTTGGATGTCAAGGTACATTATGGTTCATTAATAACAGCACTTTGGGCCCTTCTACACGGCCCTATATCCCAGAATATCAAGGCAGAAAATCTCACAATATCTGCCTTGAACTGGGTTTGTGAGTCTACAATGCCATACATTCCACTTCAAAGCAGAAAATGTGGAATTTTATTGAACTGTGTAGAAGGCCCCCCAGATATATAAAATACATTTTAGATCACATTGTGCACAAACATTTGAGAGTATTTGTATCAAACATGTACATGTGAAATATGTTGTCGAAGTCTTTCATGGCCGAAATCACTGGGTTGCTGTGAGTTTTCCAGGCTGTATGGCCATGTTCCAGAAGCATTATCTCCTGATGTTTCACTCACATCTATGGCGGGCATTCTCAGAAGTTGAAGGATCTGGACCATGCTTCTGGAACATGGTCATATAGCCCAGAAAACTCACAGCAACCCAATGCACATGTGAGCTTTCCATTTAAAATATATTAGGTTAGTGTGGGCTGCCTCATTTAAGATTAAAATATCTGCTTTTGTCTCCAAAAGCTCTAATAAACTTTGGAGATTATGATATCAAAAGGAGGGAACTGGGCTTCTTACCCTCCAGCTGCAATATTAAACTCAATTAAACATGCTTAGGATTATTATTATTATTATTATTATTATTATTATTATTATTATTTTGTTTATTTATACCCCGCTTTTTCTCTCCATAAGAAAATGTTATAAATACTTCCCTTAGATAAGTATACATAAAAACCATCTATGCTCCAAAAGTTTAGTATTTAGGGAAATACTCAAAATGGTATGTTTACTCGTCTCACAGATGTTAAATCCAGATTAATAATATAGTCCTCCAAAATGTCTCACTTCTATTTATTTGTTTTGATGACTTGCAGAAGTGGATTTGGGAGGCAGGACAAATCATTGTCCTCTTTGGAATCTAAAGCAAATACTTGATGAGATGCAGCCTTACAAGGCAGTTTCAAAATGGGATGAGCAGGCAGCGATTTAATACAAGACATTGCTATTGCGAATCTCTGCTTCCCTCGTTCTATTTATATTGCTGTTTGAAGAGAAATTGCCAGAGGCCCTGGTGCAATGCCAGTTCTCCCTCCTTTGCCCTTTCCTGTCTCTTAAACATGTGTTCAATTTGTGCACACTAATGCGAGGTTTCTGGAGCTATGCTGACATCCAAAGAAACTGTGGACAAAAACTTCTGAGAAGCAGTATAAGAAATTTTGAATGCCTGTGATGCGAGTCTGAAGACACTGCTAGAAAAATTGTTTTTAGTGTTTGCAGCAGTGATTTTTCTACTTTATTCAGCACTGATTAGATCTCAACATGGACGACTGTCTCCTTTTATTTGACTGAGCTTTGACAAGGATATAGGCCAACAAGTGTGTACAGAATACAACAAAAAAGACGGTCAGGGATAGGGACAAGGAGTAGCATGTAGAAATATGGAGCAGCTGGAGAAGAAAAGATGGAAAGAATGACGAAACAGTCACTTGATATGGATGATGTTGCATGGAAAATATCTTATATCTAAAGTTAAAGAAGACAGAACAAGATTAAGTGAACATAAGTTCTAAAAGGGTATGTTCTGATTGAACACTGAGAGAAAATCTTGATAGTGGGAGAAACCTGCTTAGAATGCAGTTTCAGCCTAAATAATTATAGTATGATCCTCATATCTATGGAGGATAAGTTACTGGATTTACCATGGAAATATGGAACTGCAGATAATAGCAAAGCCTATTGAAATGAATGACTTCTGGTGAAAGCATAATGTGGAATTGTGCTGTAGGGTCTAGAAAAATGCTTCAACTTCCTTCTAGCATACTTAGGTTACCCAGGGCAGCTCTATGATCAGCTTTCAGTGGAAGCATAAAATAAAACCGTCCTGTCCTAAAGAGGACTTTTTTTTGGATGCAGGTAAGGAAAATTGCAAGCACCACTTCCACGGATATTAGAAGTCAGAGGCAGTGTTGGTACCAGAGCCAAAAACCTTCTCTGGGGCAGTTTGACGCCCATTCCACACAGCTGTATAAAATCCACATTGAACTGGATTATATGGCAGGGTAGACTCAGATAATCCAGTTCAAAGCAGATAATTTGGATTATCTGCCTTGATGTTCTGGGTTATATGGCTGTGTGAAAGTGTCCGGAGAGGTGCTGCCACTGATAACCCAATTGTCACCTCAGACCCCTGCTTCTTTCTTGCTCAGAGGACAAAAAGTCTTTCTGCAGGGGCATGTGGTTAATACAAGACAATCTGCACTGCTCCCCATAGAGGCAACCAGGCACAGCTTCTGGCCTCTGAGGAACTGTTTTGCAGATTGGTTGGTTCTTTGGGAAATCAAGGCAGTTTCCCAATGCATAACCATTTCCCCAAGGCACTCCATTCTCAATGCTTGGATGGTTCCCTAGTTCATGGAGGGAGGCCTCTTGGGAGGGGAACAATGTGATTTGCCATTCTGAACCCTACACTGCCTGAAGCAAGTGCTTCAGTCTCCCTGGTGGAATGGCCAGCTCTACAAAAGTGTTTGTGTCTTACTGGGTATCTTCAAGAAGAGGCTGGATAATCATCTCTTGAGAATGCTGTAGCTCTGGGTTTCCTGAACAAGAAAAAAAGGGTTGGACTAAGTGGCCTTCAGTGCCTCCTCCAGACTCTGAATCTGTGAGAACTTGCTCAGATATCTATCTATCTATCTATCTATCTATCTATCTATCTATCTATCTATCTATCTATCTATCTATCTATCTATCTAATTTACATGGTCCAGTTAAAAACTTTGATTTTTCTCTTGCAGGATGTGACTGTGACGTGGGAGGGTCTATAAGCCAGGTGTGTGATGATCTGTCTGGTGACTGTCAGTGCAGAAACCACATTGTTGGGAAAAACTGCAATGAGTAAGTGAGTTGGAAAGGTTTTTGTGTTTAATGTAATGCATCCTATTTGTATTTTGCCCTTGGGAAAAAAATCTCTAAGTGGGCACAAATATTGAAAGAGCAAAATACAGGCTGAGTATCCCTTATTAGGAATTCCAAAGTCAGAAATAATCCAACATTGTTCACATGGATGGCTTAAAATTACTTAGACAGTGACAAGTCTGCTTTCTGATGGTTCAATATTAACATATTTTATTTTATGAACAAAATTATTAAAATATTGTATATAAATTTACCTCTAGACTTTGAAAATAAGGTATACACTATATGAATATGCGATATACACTATATGAAACATAAATAAATTTTATGTTTAGATTTGGGTTCCCATCTACAAAATATCTCATTGTGCATTGGCAATTATTCTAAAATCTAAGATATTGAGTACTTCTGATCCCATGCATATATGAAAATGAAATATTGGATACCTGCCATAGATGCAGGGGAAACATTAGAGAGAATGCTTCTGGAACATGGCCATTCAGCCTGAAAAACCTACAACAACTCAAAAAGAGATGATATTATTATTATTATTATTATTATTATTATTATTAATTTATTTTTATCCTGCTTTTCTCCCATGAGTGGGACTCAAAGCAGTGTAGAAGGCTAAAACAGCAAAGATAAACATAACATAAAAATCCAACAAAAACATCATAAACCAGGTAAAATGATTGCACACAATACCTCCCATATATAAACAAATTAATACATTAAGATATATTAATTAAAATATTAAAGATATTAAGATATTAAAAAATTCCCTAAACCTCCAGCCACTGAGGTTATTCCTAAAACAATTGTGCTAAGCTCTTAAAAGCTCATTTTTTCTTTAGGTCATATGAAAACATTGCCAGGTCTAACATAGCTTCTCAAAGCTGTACTTCACCATCACTGTCTGGCCATTGCCTATTCTTTGTTGTCAGGAAAGGCCTGGTCCCATAAAAAGGTTTTAATTTGCGAATGAAAGGCCAACAAGGAGGGGTCCAATTACACCTCTCTAGGAAGGGAGTTCCAGAGCCGCAGAGCCACCAGCGAGAAAGTCCTCTCTCTTGTTCCCACCAATCACACTTGTGATGGTAGGACCGAAAGAAGGCCCTCTCCTGATGATCTCAAGGCTTGTGGAGATGCAGGAGGAGGAGATGCAGTCCCTCAAGTAGGCTGGTATTCTACCTATATGACAATTACTATGAACACAAAAGAAGTAATCAAATATAGTCACTAATTATCAGCAACAAATGCGCAGAAGAGATCCAAAGATCTTTGTGGAAGATTAGTACACAAAAAGCAAATAGATCTTAACCATGAGTATTCTTGAGGAGACAGCATTACAGAATCAACCCTGAAGAAGATCATGATTTGTCTAACATCCAGGTTCATGAGAAGGGCTTCCCAAACAAATTTATGAGCATTCCATTAGAAATTCCAGCCCTCCCTTTTCACCTATCAATCAGTCCATTCTAAACTTTTGCAGATGAGTAGGGATGGAGAGAAAATCTTATAGATGACCTAGAGGTAGATGGGGTGAGGCCACTCACTCCCCTATAATCCCTTATACTTTCAAAAACTGCTCCCAACTAAGCGTCGCCCTTCCCTTATCAGGAGACAGAAATAAAATAATTTGTGTATTTTTGGTTGGACTGATAAAGATATCTCTGTTCTATGGATTTAGGAAGTTGTATAATGTTTAAGAGGAGCCCCCTGTAGCACACTGGGTTAAACTGCTGAGCTGCTGAACTTGCTGACTGAAAGGTTGGTGGTTCAAATTCGGGGAGTAGGGTGAGCTTCTGCTGTTAGCCCTGGCTTCTGCCAAGCTAGCAGTTCAAAAACATGTAAATGTGACTAGATCACTAGGTACTGCTCCAGCAGGAAGGTAACGGCACTCCATGCAGTCATGCCAGCCACATGACCTTGGAGGCATCTACGGATAACACCAGCTCTTCATCTTAGAAATGGAGATGAGCACCAACCCTCAGCATCGGACTCAACTAGACCTAATGTCAAGAGGAAACCTTTAACTTTTTATTGTGTTTAACGATGACACAGTGGCTTTTTATTGCCTGTGATTTGTATGTAAGGCTGATCTCTTTGTTTTAACACATACTCTTTTTTATTACTAACATTATTCCAATAATTGTGCTTGGTTTCTTGTGTTTTAAACAGTGTTATTCATTTTGAGCACTTTTAGATGACAGAAAAGCAGGGTATATGCTACTGCAACCACAAATAAAAGGCTTTGGGTCACTGTAAGAAATGCAATACTGGACTAGGTGGCTTTTTGATATTGCCCAACAATTTTCATACCAGTCGTCCTGTTTGTTTATTTTTTTAAATGTAACAAAGTGAACTTTAAAAAAAAGAAAGTCGAATACTACATTTTCATTCCATTCTATATTTATGAAAGGCCTGAAAAGAACTACTATTTCCCTGATTTACATCACATGAAATATGAAATTGAAGATGGAACATCTCCTAATGGAAGAGGGATCCGGTTTGGTTATGACCCTCAAGAATTTCCCGGCTTTAGTTGGAGAGGTTATGCACAGATGTCTTCAATACAAGTATGTATTTTATGTCTGCTCTGATGTTATTTTGGTGAAATAGCCCCAGGGAGGAGTCAGTTCATCTCCTTAGTCCTACTGGATTTATCTCCATATGTACTGTTTCTTTAGACATTGAATGGTGAAATGTAGGACAAGACAAGGGATTTAGTGGAATCAATACAGCAGTTAAAATTGACTCCAAACTCTGTTAGTATTCCGAAGGAATACTAAAATACCTTAGGAGGGGGAAAAATCTCCAATTTATTTTGTCTTAAAATACTTTAGAGAACATCCACAATACTGGCTACACCAGGCATGGACAAACTTCGGCCCTCCAGGTGTTTTGGACTTCAACTCCCACAATTCCTAAAAGCCTCAGGCCCTTTCCTCCACCCCCCCCCCAAGCCACTTAAGTTTTCCTAGGCTTGGGCTATGCCATTTATGTTTTAATACTGGTATGCAATATCGGTATGTCAAATAGGTTTTCCTTATCTAAAATGCTTGGGATGAGGGTTTTTTCTGGTGGGGGGGGATTTTTTGGGGTTTTGGAATACCTGTGTTTGCACATAGATAGTGAATGAGGGATGTGGAGGAGTAACTCAGTGGGCTCTGGATGTGTAGCTAGCCCACTTTCCTCAAGAGCAGAAGTTTTCATTTCTGGTTATGTGTTCATGGGCAACACACCTCCCACCAACAGGAAAAGGGATACACACCGTGTTGAGATCAAAATTGGCCACAACTTCCTGACTACAGGAACGAGGGTTGGGATGTGGGGGAATAACTCAGTGGGCACTGAATGTGTAGCTCGCCCACTTTCCTCAAGAGCAGAAGTTCTCATTTTTGGTTATGTGTTCATGAGTGACACATCTCCTGCCAGCAGGAAAAGAGACACACACCGTGTTGAGATCAAAATTGGCCACAACTGTTTATTGACTACAGGAACAAGAGTTGGGATGTGGGGGAATAACTCAGTGGGCACTGGATGTGTAGCTAACCCACTTTCCTCAAGAGCAGAAGTTCTCATTTCTGGAAAAGGGAGACTCAACCTGTACAAAAGTTAACATCAAACCTAGCTTTGTAATACCAAACCTTGAGTAGTCTTGCATGTATCTGCTCAGGAGACCTAATTTCAGTGTTGCTTACTCCAAGGTAAGCACAGGTCAAGAAATAAAGTTTTCTGCTTAATCTACCGTAGGCTAAACATCATTAAAAGTGAGAATCTGTGCTCATTGTTTTGGAATGTGTTATTATCATAGCGCTCCACATTTTGTTTTCTTTTTTTTATTAGATGTTTACATTTGCTAAATGTACCTAGACGTTTTCTGCCTGTGGGTCTTAGTATTAAATAATTTGCTGTCCTGTCCTCTTCTTTGCTTCTTTTTTCCCAGCCAGAGGTGGTAGTGCCTGTCACTGTGGCTTCTCCTAAGCTCTTCCACCTAGTACTGCACTATGTCAGCTTGGTTTCAAAAAGCTCTAATGGGAAGATCTCATTTGCTGAGGGAAAACACTTTGACCCTAATAACACTTGTAAGTCAATTACATTTCTTGCTAGCTTTGCCTATCTTCCTCTTCCTAGTGAAAATGCTTTCTCCTCTGCATAAATGCCTTCTTCTCTGCATAAATGTCTTGCAGTTGTATGTGTTTTATGTTTTTATTTTCTATAGGAATTGAGTATTTTGCTTGCATGCTTTCTGATGGTTTATCCTTTTGGCACTTTATGGCTTCTGTTTTCTTGTTTATTAACCTCCGTTTTACAGAATGAAGTGCGGATCACTCTCAATGTGAAGAAACAAAATCTCTCTCTATTTTGTGTTATCTTGAGATATATTAATCCTGGAACATCTGTAATATCTGGCTACATAATTGCACATCAAACTCGTCCTCAGAAAGGTGGGTAGAAACCCCATGGCTGCAGAACTATCTGGATCTGGTGGTTAGTCGTCATGAAATGAATTCAGTCCGTTTACAAAGTTTGTGTAAATGGGTTGCTGTGAGTTTTCTGGGCTGTATGGCCATGTTCCAGAAGCATTCTCTCCTGACATTTCACCCACATCTATGGCAGGCATCCTCAAAGGTTGTGAGGTCTGTTGGAAACTAGGCAAGTGAGGTTTATATATCTGTGGAATGTCCAGGATGGAAGAAAGAACTCTTGCCTGTTTGAGGCAAGTGTGAATGTTGCAAGTGGCCACCTTGATTAATATTGAATGGCCTTGCAGCTTCAAACCCTGGCTGTTCCTGTCTGGGGGAATCCTTTGTTGGAAGGTATTACCTGGCCCTGATTGTTTCCTGCCTGGAATTCCCCTGTTTTTTGAGTGTTGCTCTTTATTTATTGTCATGATTTTAGAGGGTTTTTTTCAAAATACTAGTAGCCAGATTTTGTTCATTTTATATTTTGTTTATTAGGTTGGGCTTGGTTCTCATGTAAGCTGCCCCGAGTCCCTTTGAGGAGATAGAAAGTGGGATATAAGAATAAAGTTGTTGTTGTTGTTATTCATTTACATGGTTTCCTCTTTTCTGTTGAAATTGCCAACATGCTTGTGTATTTAAATGGCTTCTGTATGTAGTCTGACATGGTGGTTGTAAGAGTGGTCCAGCATTTCTGTGTTCTCAAATAATCTGCTGTGTCCAGGTTGGTTCATCAGGTGCTCTGCTATGGCTGACTTCTCTGGTTGCAGTAGTCTGCAGTGCCTTTCAGGTTCCTTGAGTTGTGTTTGGGCGCTGCGTTTGGTGGTCTCTATGTAGACTTGTCCACAGGTGCATGATATATGGTAAACTCCTGCAGAGGAGAGAGAACCTTTATTTACCATATTTATATACTGCTTTTCTCCCCTTAAGTGAACGCAAAGTGGTTTCCAACATTATAAATGCAAAATTCAATGCCGTACATACATATGAAAACAAAAAATAATAGTAAGACAATAACATATAACTATAAACTAATCTAACCAAATTAAAACATAAACATAAAGTAACATTTAGACATAAAGCATAAAATTAAACATTGCTAATACAATAACGTTTATATTAAAACCCACTGAAAAACAACACGATGTCAAACCAGTTATTAAAATCGCACCATCCAAAAATAAGAACACTTTTCTTCAGGGTAGATCTTTGTCTTTACTCTGGTGGCTTTGTGTAAATGATCAGAGTTGGGCTACAACTTCTGAAGATCTAGCCAGCATCATATCTTGGGAGAAAGGCAGGATATCAATCCAATATATATAGGTAAAATAATAAAATAAATAGCTGCAGATGAGAATACTGACCATGTTCAACAACATATGGAGAGCCATATTTTATCCACCCTGGTCTAAACTTTATTGTTATTTTGATGACATGTGGCTATATGATAGCAGAAAAATCCCACTAGTACCTGAGATTAAGCAGGTTCCTTGCCTGGAAAAGTGTTTGACTGAAGGAGAGCACAAAGACTCTGATAACTCAGTTAGTCACAGACATAGAGACTTTATTGGCATACAACAACAAACTCACATAGGCGACCCCTCGTTGTCTGAGTATGATGGTTCTCCAAGTGTGGTATCTTGGCAGTGGGTACGTAGGTGACTGTAGAGCCCTATTCTTGATCTGCTTGTTCTTCCACAGTGAGGGCATCAGTTTCTAGGTAGAAAGTGGTCTTGGTCAGAGTTGGCTTGATGCACCTTCCTCTTGGCACATTTCTCCCTTTCACCCTCCATTCATGCCTCTTTGAATTCTGCAGCACTGCTGGTCACAGCTGACCTCCAGTTAGAGGGCCAGGGCTTCCCAGTTCTCGGTGTCTATGCCACAGTTTTTAAAGTTGGCTTTAAGCCCATCTTTAAACAAAATTGGCATACAAAAGTGGTGTGTACAAGAGGAAATCACAAAAAAAGATAACATACTTAAACATTTCTAATCTCAAAGATAAAATTTCTAACAATCTCACAAAATAATGCATCAGACTTGTTCAGAAGATAGGGAATTTTATAACACTCTTGCCATTGAGAACACTGTGAAAAATTGAATTCCTGATAACTCAGTTATATTTGTAATGGCTTTTTTTCTTTTTCTTTTTAAAAGAAAAAGATTTGTTAATTTGCTTCAGGGAATTTATAAGTAGTTACTGTGTGTAAGGAGAGGTCTGCTTACCAGCCTGCAAATGAACCATGCGTCTGTGAACTGTACACTCATGCCTTCCTTTCCAGCTTCCTAGACCTTCAGCCAGCAAAAGCCATTAGTCAAATTCATGATACCATTTTTACAAATCTGGATGTAACATCCAGTTACAAAGTATGACATGAAAGTGGGATCTGATCTACAAACAGAGATTAAACAGCACTGTGCTAACTCAGATATAACAAAATATTATGGTTTAAATCACCCATGCTGTAAGTGCTGAAGATGGTTGTACAAAAAGAAAATACAGTGTATGGACAAATGATTTGTTCTTGGAATGATAAAACCTACTGAGTCAAGGTTATTATTTCTTAATAAAGCCATTGTTCCAATGCAGTGCTCCAGAGAATACTACCCATTATGATTGATTGTGTCAGGACTTTGAAAAGTTTCCCTTTAAACAGATAGAAATATCCCCAAACAGTATGGCCATGTAATTAGATTTATTTGATATACTCCCCTTAAATATATGATATTGCTGTTCATTGGGACATATTAAGGTGTACTTCTGTTAATGCACTTGTTTTTCTGCTAGGAACTCATCAGAGGAAAGACATTGTGTTCCCACCAAGTCGTGAGCCCTCTTTTGTCACTGTCCCAGGGAGGAACCTCGCAGACCCATTTTTGCTGGGCCCTGGAACATGGATTTTTAAAATCGTGGTTGAAGGAGTCCTTCTGGTATGAAATTAGCCTAGAATTACAATGCACATTTCTCTATGTATTTAAATGGTATTCTTGCAAAAAGAGTTAAGAAGTTATCACTGCATTGAAAAAATAATGAGGGAACATAGTGCTCTTGTACTCCAAAGGCCAATACAAGTTGAGTGTCCTTTATATGAAATTCTTGGCAACAAGAGTGTTTTGGATTTTCAAATACCTGTATTTCCATATACATATATAATGAGATATCTTGCAAGTGAGACCCAAGTCTAAACATGACATTCATTCATATTGCATATGCATCTTATTTACGTAGTTTGAAGGTAATATTAATGCAATATTTCTTTAATAATTGTGTGCATGAAACAAAGGTGTCACTATCTCAGCCACCCATATGAACAATTTGCAGTATTTCTAATTTTGGAAATCTGGATAATTTATTTATTTTATTTATTTCCTGCATTTATATACCGCTTTTTTCATCCCCGAGGGAGACTCAAAGTGGCTCCCAACATAATAATGGCAGAATTCAATGCTGACATACATGTGAAAACCAAAACATAATATCTAAATAATAATATATGACTATAAATTAAAATCATTAACCGTATTAAAACATGAGGCATAGACAAACATTTAAACATTAAGACAAAGAATTTAAAAATCCTAGTATGAACATTAAGATCACATAGTCCAAAATCGTAATCCAATTGTCAATTGCACTTATTCCCTATTCATTTCTTGCACTGTTCACTGACCAAAGGCTTGGTCATGCAGCCATGTCTTTGTTTTCTTACTGAAGGCCAAGAGGGAGGGCGCTGATCTAATTTCACTGGAGAGGAAGCTCCATAGCTTAGGGGCCACCAGTGAGGGGCCCTGTCTCTTGTCCCCACCAATTGCACCTGCGAAGAAGGTGGGACCGAGAGTAGGGCCTTTCCAGAAGATCTTAACCTCTTTGGATACTCAATCTGTATTGGGATTCAAGATTGGAGATAAGGTGAAGCCCTTTCCTTGAGATCTATTTACTGGCTAATGGACAGTAGATTTGGGCAGAAACTCAACTGAAACAGACTAGGATAACACCACAGTTTTCACATGATCATTGTACCCACTAATGCTAGCCATCTTCTGTCTTTTCAGGACTATTTGGTCCTCTTGCCACGTGATTATTTTGAGGCGCCCATCCTGCAGTTACCAGTTAGAGAACCTTGCACAGATTCAAGACATGCCACAACAGATAAGTTAGTTCTTCTGGTATATTAATGAGACAATTGCCACAGTTTATTATTTTATTCTATTCTAATGATCTAATCAAGCATTGTCATCTTCTTTCTTTTTCTTAAAGTTGTTTGCAATATGAGCACTTGCCATTGGAAAGATTTTCTTGTATATTTGGCTCCGAAGTAACATTTTTCTTGCAAGAAGGAGAATACCGGAAAGTTGTTTTCCAGAAGCCAAGTGCCAAACATCCACTTATGTCTCAAATAAGTGGCCAAGAGGTAAGATACTTCAGTTTGTATATTAATCTATCCCATGATGTGTGAAGTTCACATATTTCACTTCTCTATATCCCAGATTATTTCTCTTTGTGATATTTACATGATCTATAAGGAAGCTTTTCAAAGGGCAGACCTTGGTGGGTTGGATTCAGCCATTAGGGGCCCTTCCACACAGCCATATAACCCAGAATATCAAGGCAGAAAATCCCACAATATTTGTTTTGAACGGGGTTATCCGAGTCCACACTGCCATATATTCCAGCTCAAAGCAGATAATGTGGGATTTTATTCAGCTGTGTGGACGGGCCTTCGACATGAATGAGAATAATCTTTGTTCACTTGTTCAGTCGTCTCCGACTCTTCGTGACCTCATGGACCAGCCCACACCAGAGCTCCCTGTCGGCCGTCAACACCCCCAGCTCCTTCAAGGTCAGTCCAGTCACTTCAAGGATGTCATCCATCCATCTTGCCCTTGGTTGGCCCCTCTTCCTTTTGCCTTCCACTTTCCCCAGCATAATTGTCTTCTCTAGGCTTTGCTGTCTCCTCATGATGTGGCCAAAGTACTTCAACTTTGTCTCTAGTATCCTTCCCTCCAGTGAGCAGCCGGGCTTTATTTCTTGGAGGATGGACTGGTTGGATCTTCTCGCAGTCCAAGGCACTCTCAGAACTTTCCTCCAACACCACAGCTCAAAAGCATCTATCTTCCTTCGCTCAGCCTTCCCTAAGGTCCAGCTCTCACATCCGTAGGTTACTACAGGGAATACCATGGCTTTGACTATGCGGATCTTTGTTGCCAGTGTGATGTCTCTGCTCTTTACTATTTTATCGAGATTGGACATTGCTCTCCTCCCATGGCATGCATTACCTTGACAGCATCCTCTTTTAAGATTTTAAACAGTTCAGCTGGGATCCCGTCGTCTCCTGCTGCCTTGTTGTTAGCAATGCTTCTTAAGGCCCATTCAACCTCACTCCTCAGGATGTCTGGTTCTAATTCATTCACCACACCGTCAAAACTATCCTCGATATTATTATCCTTCCTATACAGATCTTCTGTATAGTCTCGCCACCTTCTCTTGATCTCTTCAGCTTCTGTTAGGTCCCTGCCATCTTTGTTTCTTATCATACCAATTTTTGCCTGAAATTTACCTCCAATGTTTCTAATTTTCTGGAAGAGGTCTCTTGTACTTCCTATTCTGTTGTCTTCTTCCACTTCCATGCATTGCTTATTTAAAAATAGTTCCTTATCTCTTCTGGCTAACCTCTGGAATTGCGCATTTAACTGGGCATATCTCCCCTTATCACTGTTTCCTTTTGCTTTCCTCCTTTCTTGGGCTACTTCCAGTGTCTCAGCAGACAACCATTTTGCCTTCTTGGTTTTCTTTTTCTTTGGGACGTACTTTGTTGCCACCTCCTGAACAATGTCACGGACTTCTGTCCATAGTTCTTCTGGGACTCTGTTTACTAAATCTAGTCCTTCAAATCTGTTCTTCACTTCCACTGTATATTCGCTAGGAATGTTAGTGAGATCATATCTAACTGGACTGTGTATTTTCCCTGATCTCTTTAGTTTTATTCTAAATTGAGCAATAAGAAGTTCGTGATCTGAGCTACAGTCAGCCCCAGGTCTTGTTTTCACCGACTGGATGGATGTCCGCCACCTTTGGCTGCAAAGGATGTAGTCAATCTGATTTCGGTGTTGACCATCTGGTGAGGTCCATGTATAAAGCCATCTTTTAGGTTGTTGGAAGAGAGTATTCGTTATACACAGCGAGTTTTCCTGGCAAAATTCTATCAGCCTGCGTCCCGCTTCATTTTGTTCTCCCAGACCATGCTTGCCTGTGATCCCAGTTGTCATTTGACTTCCCACCTTGGCATTCCAGTCTCCTGTAATGAAAATAATGTCTCTTTTTGGTGTATTATCCAGTAGGTCCTGCAGATCCTCATAGAACTGGTCTACTTCTGCTTCTTCAGCAGCTGTGGTTGGGGCGTATATTTGGATCACTGTAATGTTGAAAGGCTTTCCTTGCACTCGAATTGAGATCATTCTGTCATTTTTTGGGTTGTATCCAAGCACTGCTTTAGCGAATTTCTTATTAATTATGAAGGCTACTCCATTTCTTCGATGTTCCTCTTGTCCGCAGTAGTAGATCTGGTGGTCATCTGATGTGAAGTGGCCCATTCCAGTCCATTTCAGTTCGCTGACCCCCAGAATGTCTATCTTTAGTCTAGATATAGATCACTGCTTTCTGAACTGTGGGTTCTGTACACAAATAGGATTTCCTCAGTTCAATGTTGAGGTCCCAAAATTTGGCAAAAATAAATGAACATCAGGTGGCTGTTTTACATATGTACATGAATCTGTCGTGCAGTGTTTACAGTAGGCTCTGCAAAAGATGCTTCAGCTGCCCTTCATAAATTAGCAATTCTTGCAAATCAGTAAATGTTTGATTTTTATACCAATTTTATATACCTGTATACCTGGGATCAGATACAAATTTTCCAGACCAAAAGTGGTCCTGAGTGGAAAAGTCTGAGTGATTCCCAAACTCTGGTTTTCCAGGTGTTTCGTACTTCAGCTCCCAGCAGCCCCAGCCACTGTGGGTCGTTGATCAGGGACTGTAAGAGCTTAAGTCCAAAACACCTAGAGACCAGTGTTTGGGAATCAGTGAACTATATCAAGTTGGACTGTGATACCTAACATATTCTACATGATTCCCACCAGGGGAATTAAATTTTTGACTATTTCATCCATATATGTGAAGACAAATAATCTGTTTTCTCCTGGCATTGGAAGAAGCCAAATAGTTCTATGTAGGTTTTGCTTCATATTTGCACATACTTAAATGGTTCAAGAAATTGTTTTGTTAGAAATAGATATAGAATTATTTCACAAACATCATTCATGTTGCATAATATTTACAGAAGCACAGGTTTGTTTTTGCAGAAACACTTTTTTTTTTTGCTGGAAACACACATATTGTAAATAGACAAAATGGTATGTTTCATGAAAAACCCAAAATCTTTGCACAAGAATTATGTGTGTTTTGAAACCAGCTTTTCGCATTAAAAACCATATGTGTTTCTGCATAAAATGATTTCCAAGAAAATTTAAGACAGTATTTCTTGAAGACTGCACAAAAGTTTAGCTTCTGTGTGTCTACAAACCAATATTTCATCAGGAAGTGATTGTCAGCAAAATTATTTTTTCCTGTTGTTTCTGTTGCTATTTACATCTATAATTTTAGATTGACTTGCCCTCCTTTTGTTTTAAATCATTTATTTCTTGTGAAGACAGATTAAATTCCTGTGATTATTGTTTTATTTAATATTTCAAAATATGATTCAAATCTTCTTTAGGTGGATCTTCGAATGAGATTAAATGTTCCCCAAGTGGGCCGCTATGTAATAGTACTTGAGTACATCAATGAACACAATCAAGTGTATGTTGGTAATGTGGAGATCAACAGCCTGGGGCACATGTCAGAGGCAAAAATTAATCTATACAGTTGCAAATATAGGTAAGGAAATCTGAAGGCATATTTTTGTGTTACTCTTTTGACTGGTTTTTATTCACCTTATGTATGTTTACCTTTTTATAGTTTTTTTAGTACTCTTTCCTTCTTAGGCCTCTCCCACACAGCTGAATGAAATCCCACATTACCTGCTTTGAACTGGAAGATATGGGAGTGTGGACTCAGATAACTCAGTGCAAAGCAAATATTGTGGGATTTTCTTCCTTGATATTCTGGGTTATATGGCTGTGTGGAAAGGCCTTTAGTCAAGTTATCCCCCTTGTTTTTCTTGGCCAGCATTCTTATTAACTCAGCCAGGGTCCTTGAGATCATTTTTATTGCCAATCTAGCCTTATTCTTCTGTTTTTCAGTTTATATGTACTTTGGCATTCCACTGTGTATATTTTTCTTCATCTTATTTGTCTACCTGCCTGTATATTGACTGGGATTGTGAAGCATGTTTCTTTTCTTTTTCTTTTTTATAAACTCCATTATCTGGATTTCAAGGGGATTTCTCTAAAGGCCTTGGAAAGAGTTCTGTGAAAAGAGGAATCACGACCCCAGGGCAATTCACAGTCTCATCCACAAGTTCTTATTAGATATTTACCTTAAGATAGTGAATGTTTAGTTAGAATGAAAATACTTATGAACCATTTGCCCACTATCTTGAAATTACATTTTACTCTGCATTTAAATACAATAGCCAACATTTCTAGCATCAAGACAGAACTTTTATCTGTCCAAGTAATGGAAAATCTGTACATGGGTCATCTTTAAAGTTCAGGTTTTGTCCATGAAAAGAACACTGAGCTACAAATGGTAAAACCTGCAGTGGGTGTGTATTGCCAGATGTGTGACAGTTCAATTTATCTATCATCTGGGGATCACAACCAGACACAGATATCAGCCAGCAAGCCAATGCCTTAAATGATGTAATAGCTTCCTAAGATCTACAGCAGTGGTTCTCACCTGTGAGTCCTCAGATGTTTTGACCTACAGCTCCCAGAAATCCGAGCCAGTTTACCAGCTGATTTCTGGGAGTTGAAGGCCAAACCATCTGGGAACCCACAGGTTGAGAACCACTGATCTACAGAGATATTTGCAGGAACACCTCAGCAAGCAAGAGTCCAAAGTGGCAGGTTAAAACCCGGAACCTCAATCAGTGGTTGATACCGGATGAGAAACCCCTTCCTGGACACACAGAAGACTTGGCAACTTGGAAGGCATTGAACAGACTGCGCTCTGGCACCATACAATACAGAACTAACCTTAAGAAATGGGGCTATAAAGTGAAATCCATGACATGCGAGTGTGGAGAAGAGCAAACCACAAACTAGTTACTACAATGCCGCCTGAGCCCTGCCACATGCACAATGGAGGACCTTCTCATAGTGACATCAGAGGCTCCCCAAGTGGCCAGCTCCTGGTCAAAGGAAATTTAGTATAATGCCAAGTTTTTAACTTCGTTTGTGGTTTTTACATACATTTTAACTGTATTCTCAATTTGCTTTTGACACGATAAATAAATAAATAGGGCCTTCTCTGTGGTGACCCCTCAGCTGTGGAACTCCCTATCTAGGAATATTAGATCAGCCCCCTCCCTCCTGACCTTTTGAAAAAAACTGAAAACTTGGCTTTTCGAACAAGCCTTTGGAACCTCAGTATAACTTAGACAAACTTGAATTGGAAAATGACCTAGGAATGGGTATGACAATGGAACAGATGAGGACTGAACACAAAGACATAGTTTTAAAACTTTTTATTGTTTGCTGTTTTTGTGCTTTTAAATATTTTGAGATTTTTAAAACTTTTATTAATGTATATATTTTATATATGGCATCAAATTGTGCCAACTTGTTAGCCGCCCTGAGTTGCCTTCGGGCTGATATGGGCGGGGTAGAAATAGCGTAAATAAATAAATAAATAAATAAATAATCTATTTATTTGACTCCATGCAGGGGACTGTAACAATGTCTCTGTCTTCATATGGTCTAACAACAGTAACAATTGAACAACAGTAATTGTTTTGGCACTCTTTACTCTGAAAATGCAAAAGATACTTATCAAAAATGTATCAAATAATTTTACATTTTGTATCAAAAAGCATTCCCGTGTGTGTGTGTGTGTGTAAAATAAGTTAAATCTTGGCTATTTCTTACAGGGAAAATGTGTGCTGCTCAGAAGAATAAAACCCTTCTTTCAGGTGGAAGAAATCTAGTACGGTTTTTATAGAAAAGGCAGCAGCTTTCAACAACTTTTAAACTTTTTTACAGCTTCCTGTGTCGCAGTGTTGTGATTGATGATCTGAATCGTGTTGCTGTTTATGACCTTTTGTCTGATGCAGAGTTCCGTCTCAGGTTATCAGAAATACATTTTCTTCTGGTACGTTTCTATCTATGTTGGCTTTGAGATTTACAGAAGCATCAACATTTTCATTCGTATGTAAAGCTTGGAGTAACGGCTTGTTTAGGCTACAACTTTTAGTACATTTATAATTTAAGATTTGTTGTGGACCTTTTCAAAGGTAACAGTAATGTGCCTGTGTTTTAAATAGAGGACAGACAAAGATGCCTTATAAAAGGTCAGATTACCTATCTGTTTAGCTGAGTGCTGTCGAGTTTTATTGCAATGGCTCTTCAGGTTTTCAGAGAGAGCCATTTCTCATAATTTACTCCTGGATTGCTTTCACTGAACACAGAACCTTCAGCATACAGAGGTCATGCTGTGTTAGCAAGTGAAAGAAAGTGAAAAGGCTGTAAAATTTAAAGGAAAAGAAAATGGTAAATCTCCTCTACCCTTTGTGTGCTAATTTCTTAACCTGTTAGGAGGCCAAATCCATCTTTAAGAAAATTTAGATTTTCTCAATGAAAATTAAAGAAACAGTCTATAAAATTAAAAGTATTACATGTAGACTTGCAAAACCATGGGCTGGCTATGTAGAGCAGGGGTCCTCAAACTAAGGCCCGGGGGCCGGATGCGGACCTCCAAGGTTATTTACTCGGCCCTCGCTCAGGGTCAACCTAAATCTGAAATGACTTGAAAGCACACAATAACAACAACAATCCTATCTCATCAGCCAAAAGTAGGCCCACACTTCCCATTGAAATACTAATAAATTTATATTTGTTAAAATTGTTCTTCATGTTAATTATTTATTGCTTTTAAGTGTCTTTTGCACTACAAATAAGATATGTGCAGTGTGCATAGGAATTCATTTATGTTTTTTTCTAATTATAATCCTGGTCTCCAACAGTTTGAGGGATTATGACCTGGCCCTCTGTTTAAAAAGTTTGAGGACCCCTGATGTAGAGAGAGAGGTGGCCTTGAAAGCAAGCTAGAAGGGTTGTTGTCTTATTATAAGGTATTTGCTGCCACCTATTGGATACCTGAAGATTTACGCTCTTGTCTTTGTGCCTTCACTCTTCCAAAACAACTAAGTGTAGTGCTCAGACATAGTGGTATATAAAGCAGATAGAGGCAAAAATGGGGTCCATTCACATTGTAGAATTTATGCAGTTTGATGCCACTTTAATAGCAATGGCTCGGTGCTGTGGAATCATGGGAGTTATAGTTTGGTGAGCCATCTGAACTTTTTGACAGAGAAGGCTAAAGACTTTGTAAGACCACAACTGCCAGGATTCCATAGCATTGAGCTATAGACTTTTTTTCATGTCAGAAGCAACTTGAGAAAGTACAAGTCACTTCTGGTGTGAGGGAACTAGCCGTCTGCAAGGATTTTACCCAGGGGAGCCAACCTGTGGGAGGCTTCTGTCATGTCCCTGCATGAGAAACTGGAGCTGACAAATGGGAGCTCACTCCACTCCCCAGATTTGAACCGCCAACCTTTTGGTCAGCAGTCCTGCCAGCACAAGGGTTTAACCCATTGTACCACCGGGGGCAATAAATAAATGACATACAGTTCTTACATATTGTAGCTACCTTTTTATTATGCTGCCATTATCTGATATAAAACAAATGAAACATGCAGGTCATTTTTGTTTCCTAGAATAAAATTTGCATTATTCCAGTGGAAGATTTTTCCCTAGAATATGTGAAGCCTCAACTGTACTGCATTGCCACATATGACCATTTAGCAAGGTAATGTCTTTCTTCCTTTTTTGTTTTATAACTGCATCACTTTCAAACTGAAATTGTATCTTTTGATTCAGGAAGAACTTTCCATCATTAGTACCACTATATATCTTCTCCATTAAGAAAAAATATTTCTAGGAGTTCTATTTTCTCAGTAGAGATGTATACATTTGAATTCAGAGATGTGCAATACTTCCTTGAAAATTTGACAGATCTTAATTATTTAACTTTATGCATCGTAATATCGACAGATTCTTCACCTCAAATTTACCTAATTTTTATGAAGGTGAAACAAATGGGTATTGCTAGCCATGCCTATTTCCTAGGACAGGGGTCTTCAAACTTTTTAAACAGAGGGACAGGGGACAGTCCCTCAAACTGTCTGAACCCCACCAACAACAGAAGAGGGCTGGGTAAATGACTTTGGAGGGCCGTATCCGGCCCGCAGGCATTAGTTTGAGGACCCCTGTTCTAGGATATGCCCTTTCATTTCCCCGCTCTTAGTATTTTTGTCTGCTTTGTTCCCAATAACTGCCTTTTTTATGCCCACTGAGTTGAGAAACTGCAAGTCACTTCTGGTGTGAGAGATGTTGCCCAGGAGAGGCTGTGGGAAGCTTCTCTCATGTCCCCACGTGGGAAACTGGAGTTGACAGACAGGAGCTCACCCTGCTCCTTGGATTTGAACCACCGACCTTTCGGTCAATAGTCCTGCCGGCACATAACCAATTGTGCCACCTAGGGGCTCTTATTAGGATGATTATGACAATATATGATCTGGGGACCATGATAGTTGCTCATCATATATTTACTTGGGCATTTCGTTAATATCTATACAATCAATCTTATGTTCTCATAACCATCATATATGAAATGTTTGAAAGCAAAACATATTCACAGGTCCCACATTTAATTGGTTTCATTTTCTAGAGCCTGTTACTGATCTTATTCCTTCTCCCTTTTCAAGTGCTTCATGCATCCCTTCACAGTATGAAACGCCTCCTTTAACAGTGGTGTTGGATGCTCTGAGGGATGGGAATATCAAAGAAGTGGCAAGAAATAAAGGCTATCAAGATTCACTGAGACCTCCCTTTTCAAACGCACACAAAGCTAATGGAGTGACTTTGACGTCTTTGCAGGTAGTTACATTTTGTATTAAAAATAGCTCACAGTCCATTGGGGATTAAGCTCCATGTATGTTCATTGAGTTGTAAAAGTTAATCTGATATTACATGCAACAGAATTCTTACATATTTGTAGTTGCTTCTCTTTTTGGTTGTATGCCGTTTATGAGTCTGCACTGACAGTATAACGTATTTCCAAACTGCATTATACTGCAGTGTAGTTCCAGTCCTTGTTGTTTTTCAAGAATTTGACCTTTTGTAAATAGCTATGGTTTGATGCAATACCTAAGATATTGTTAAGATACGACTCTCCTTATGGCCAAGTTTGGGTACTAAATGGAGATGGAAGCCAGAAGAAGGATATTTCATATTTCTCAAATTTGCATTTCTCTGTAATGTCCTAAGTGAAGGAATTCAACATCTTACTAGCTTAAATAGAGGCCCTTCTCTAGAACTGATAAATACCCTGGCAAAATGCTTTATGCCAGTAAGACCTCCTGCAAAATACCAATTTACATGCTGACATGACTAACAGATGAGGAAGCACTTTATTATTTCTCTAAAATTTTGCCAGCAGAGGCACAGTGCTCAATTCAAATAGTAGGCTGATTTTAGATCTACCAGTAGATGTCTGATATAGCTGATCCTCCAAGGTAAGCATCAGTATAGTAATGGAAGACTGGCTTCAGTAATTGCCTAGGTATGCTGTATGCTAATGTTGAGCCTATAGGGAGAGGTAAACTTAATAATAAACTTTATTTATACCCTGCCACCATCTCCCCAAGGGGACTTGGGGCGGCTTACATAGGGCCAAGCCCAGCAATACAGTAAACAATATACAACTGAACACAGTAAAATAAAATTAAATTAAATTTTAAAATTAAATTTAAACACATCAATAATATAAAGTCACACATTAACATAGAAATTGATCACATTGAACAGGCCGATTTGAATACATTAACATTTTTAAAAAACACTGGTGAGACAGCAATATAATGTGTCTAGGCGGAGATTTCAAGAGGTAGAATAGGGTGTGATTTCACTATCAGGAGAATAAAGTGCTACCGAAGGGTCAATTTACAGAGGTAGGTCATGTCAGGGTAATTATTGTTCTTTCATCCATTGAAGGCACAGTGGAACAGCCAGGTCTTCAAGCTCTTCCTGAAGGCTGCCAGGGTGGGGGCTTGTCTAATATCTCTGGGGAGCGAGTTCCAGAGTTGGGGGGTGAGCTCATGAAGTTCACTACATCACACAAGCTATGATTCTTGAAGCTGTTGTGTACTTCTCTGTTTCTAAAATTGGTCCTTTTTTGGGTTTACGTCAGTGAACATTAGATCACAAGCACATTAGGAATTCAGTTTATTCCCTAAGCGTGCTTCCAGATGGGGATTTCATTACACTCCTGTTCTGCCTTATTCCCAGAATTACTGTGCTAAGCCTTCTGATTCTTGACTTTAAGAGGTTTCTATCTCAAAATGTTTTCTAAGTTACCATCAGGGAATTAACTGTTTGAGCAAGATATTTCCCTGGATTGTTCTATTAAAATCCATTGTATTTCTTTCAATAATATAATTCTTGCATTTTTAGTTTGTAACTAAACTGAGCAACAATTAGTGGCAAAGATGACTCTGCTTTGATTGTAAATAGGTTAAAAATCAAAGACAAAGGAACATCAACACACTAAACTTCTGTATTTTGACAGAACCAAATTACTCTGAGAGGGAGAGTGACACATTTGGGCAGATATGTGTTCATCATACATTTTTATCAGTCAGAGAGCCCAATGTTTACAGTGGAAGTAACTATAGACGGAGGACAAGTCTGGTCAGGTGAGCCACATTTTATATTGTCTTCAGATTTTTTTTTATCATATTTTGAATTTATACAAATTAGAGCTCATTTTTTCCTTCATCTACTTTAGGTTCTTCTAATGCTTCATTTTGTCCACATATTTCTGGATGTCGAGGCCTGGTGATGGCAGAAAGCCAAATTGAACTTGACATCTTCCAACATGATATCTCAGTCACTGTGAAAATTCCTAATGGAAAAAGAATGGCGTTGGTAGGTTGTGTGTTATTTTGATAACCATTTGGCCTTTAGTCTAAATAGGGTTCTCCTTATCTGAGTTTAGATAACCTGGCTATAATTGGCCACAGTAGTAACTGGTAACCTACTGTCTAGTTGAACAATGCATTGTACCTGGATTTCCCTTTGAAGAAGATCAGAAAGTGGACTTCGTGGCTTTTAAGCTATTGCATGAGACTGGGCATCAGGAACATAAGATGTACCAGTGACTTGTAATCTATATCTTCAAAGTATCTTTGCTTGCCTTCAAAAGTCCTAGTTGATTTTAGACTTGGATGCTTGAGGTCTTCTTCCACATCTGGCTGCCTGATGCACAAAAATCTTCAGAGACTTTCTCCGTCATATAAAGAGTGGTAGGAAGCATTGGTAGAGATGGTCCTCTCATTTGTGGCATTTTCCATATAGAACTCACTCCCCAAGAAAGCTTGTCTCGTGCCTACATCAATATTTCCGAAGCATCAGAAAAAATGCTTCTTTATTTTCCCAAGCAGATAGCTTTGGCCATTTCAGTTTCTGATGTGATTATTTTTAGTGGTGCTTTGGTAGCGGAACTCATTTTACAATTATTATTTATGTTTATATTGTATAAGCTATTGATCTGAATGATGGTATACACATAAATATATATAGGCCTATACACATATGTTGCCTTCTTCGTTGCTGTCACTATTTCCTACCAAGTTGGGTTTGACTTAATAGTGACCCTTTGAATGAGTGGTCTCATACAGACCCTGTTCTTAACAGCCATACTCAATTTTTGCATTACGAAGGTTGAAATAAGGTTGTCCATCCATAAGTTGACTTGAATGAAGAATGCCTGGAAACTGCTTGCGTGCTTGATCCAACTACTTTCAACTTCCTCTAACATAGGCAATTTTATTTCCTCTTTATTTTAAAGGGCCACATTTTGGCTGTTCCTGCTGACAGTTACAGTTACACACTTCTCCATCAAGACACAGTGGACAAGTCACTTGATTTCATCAACCAGTGTGGTGAAAACAGTTTTCACATTACGTAAGTCACAGGACACTTGTGCCCTGTATGGGTCTATTTAGAAGTCAGCATCACAGAATTTAATAGTGCTTACTTCAAAGTAAGTTTGGTTAGGGCTACAGCTTAAGGCCTGGAATACTAAACTTCAAATGTGTATGCTGTAGGCTATGGGTAGTATTCAATTAGTATTGATCTTCAGAGAGAGAGACCTTTGTGAGATTTGCTGTTTTTGTTGATTTTACCTTCCTGTGGCATCCCACAGCCCAAATGTGGTCCAGTGGGTCCTCAGACATTGCAGTGTTATGAGGCTTGACAGGTCCCTATTTCAAGAAGAGTATAATCTGAAACAGACACAATGGAAATAATGGTTAGAAGGGGGGAAATGGGGGTAGGAAAAATTAGTGAATTCTTTCAATTATGTATCTTTTAACTGAGATGCAGTTGGACAATGGGATGAAAGGATTCTTCCATGACCATCTTGTATTGATGTGAAACCTTAAAGGCAGCGGTCTTGCAGAGGCCTTCCGGGAGATAGTTTAAGGGGAAAAAAGGATTAAAGAATTAAGTTGTTTTAAGAAGCAGGAGACCTCTGAGCAGCTCAATGTGGTGGAACTGAGTAATAGTCCACAGGTAGGGGTGTGCCTCCTAGAAATAAAGCATCCAGGAAATAAAGGATATTAGAGGCAAAGATGAAGTACTTTGGCCATAGAATGAGAAGACAGGAAAGCTTGGAGAAGACAATGATGCCGGGGAAAAGGGAAGGAAAAAGGAAGAGTGGCCGACCAAGGGCAAGGTGGATGGATGTCATCCTTGAAATGACCTTGAAGGAGCTGGGGGTGGCCACAGCCAACAGGGAGCTCTGGCGTGGGCTGGTCTATGAGGTCACGAAGAATCAGAAGCAAGTGAATGAATAAACAACAAAAAAGGATGTGCCAGAAAGTAAAGGGGAAGAGGGAAAGAGAGGGTCAATAGGGTCCTGCATGTATACTTATTTTAAAAATGTTGAAATAGAGATTCACAGCTTGCAATTCTCCAGATGTTTTGAACTTCACAGAAGCCCCATTCAGCTTTGTTAATAGCAAGGGATTCTGGGAGCTAAAATCCAAAACATCTGGAAGGTTAAGGCCAAGAAAGAATACTATAGACAAAAATGGTTGATTGCATTAAAAAAATAATGGATTTTGTAAAACACTATTTTGTCAAATAACAATGCATAGCAAATACCAAAGTTATACACTTATAAGTAAACAAATACCAGTGGAAAAAAAAGAGGACAAATTACTATAGTGTAATTCTCCTTTTCCATGTGACAGCCCTGTAACGTCCTCAGAATTCTGCAGAAATTCAGTACGGTCCCTTGTAGCGGCCTACAACAGTGGTGCACTACCTTGCAATTGCCACAGAAATGGTGCCACCAATCCTACATGTGACCCTATGGGAGGACAGTGCCCCTGCAAACAAAACATTATTGGCCTTCAGTGTAATAGATGCCGAACAGGCTATTATGGATTTCCATTTTGCAAACGTAAGTTTACTACTAATAATTTTTGAGAAAGGTCAAATACTGCATGCCTGAATAATTGACTGTTTTATTCTGTGTCTGATTCTAGACTTTTAAAGGAACTCTGTAACATTGCATCATGGGTCATGCATATATAAATTTAGTAAATAATGTAAGTCACCACTAATTCAGGCTGTTCATTTATTGATTCTACAAAGGAAACTAGAGTGCCAGAAATCTCTCTGGATTTTGGGAGAAAATATTACTGTTTATAGTACATATGTGCAATACATAATAACACCAAAGTAGGAGCATGCCAACCCCATTCAAAGGCTACTTATTTATTTTCAAAAATGCACTCCCTGCTTCATCCTCAATGAGTTCAAAATGACTGTCTATCAGGCATGGGCAAACTTTGGCCTTCCAGGTGTTTTGGACTCCTACCTTTTTCAAAAGCCTACCAGCTGTTAGGAATTGTGAGAGTTGAATTCCAAAACACCCGGAGGGTCAAAGTTTGCCCATGCCTGGTACACCCAGTACCACCAACTGCCTCCTCCAAGATGGCCAATTGAAACATTCACACCTACCTCAAACAGACAAGAGTTCTTTCTCCCACCCTGGACATTCCACAGATATATAACCCCATTTTCCTAGTTTCCAACAGGCCTCACAACCTCTGAGGATGCCTGCCATAGATGCAAGCGAAATGTCAGGAGAGAATGCTTTTGGAACATGGCCATACAGCCTGAGAAACTCCCAACAACCCAGTGAGCCATGAAAGCCTTTGACAATACTTTATATCCACTTCATTTTCTAGAATTGGCACCCATGCCATGCACACACATGGTAGCAGGAAAGAAGATTGTTAACAGTTTTGTATGTGTGTTAATAAAAAGAAACACTTCCCAAACAGTCTTCCAATGGAAGAACTGCAGAATCGAAATGCCGCCATGTGATGTGCTCCAGCCAAAGATACCATTATCCTGTTGTCATTGTGATTTACATCCCTTGGGTAATAAAAGCTCTGAGTGACATAAAACACACATAAAAATACAGCAGGACAGCAATATTTTAAATATTCAAAACCAGAGGCAGATTAAAGCAGCATTAAAATGCCATGCTATATATCTTCTTTCAAAGGGCAGTGTTTAACAGGTTCTTGAAAGTAGCGAAGGAGTGAAACATTTTACAGAACTGAGGTTCACTCATTGTTGTGTTGCTGCAGTCCAGCTGAAGCTTTGCTTACTTTTTCACTTTCCCACTTATATTGTATCCACTAAAAACCATACATATAATTGAGAAACAGCTTGAATGCATTGACAGAAAGCTGATGAAGATAAATATAAAAAAATAAAGAGTAGCATCGTTTGGTTCATTGTAAGTGTAATGTTGGCCCAAAGCAGGAGTGGACCTGTACTGTAGAATTATAGCTCTTTGGTATCACATTAAGTACCCTGGCTCCATCTGATGGAAAACTAGTGAAATGTCAGAACAAAGTTGGATGAATAATTTTGGTTGGCAAACATAAATTAATATATGGATTGTATTCTCCCAATCTCAGCATGCCGTTGTGGGTGGCGCCTTTGTGATGATATCACTGGCAAGTGTATTTGTCCTCCTCAAACCGTAAAGCCAAGATGTGAAGTGTGTGTGAGGCAGCACTTTGGTTACCACCCCCTTGTTGGATGCGTGGGATGCAATTGCTCAAGCCAAGGGGTTGTTAATGCAGTGAACCCTGAATGTGATAAAAAGAATGGGCAGTGCAGGTAAGTCCAGAGTTCTGATTTAAGCTTATGACCATCTGCTTAGACCCATTAACAAAGGAATTGGGTTCTTCTGCCATCTCAACTGCAGCTTGCTGTTCCTGAGACTCCAAGCAGGGAGATGAGAGCAGGCATGCTTGGTGCATGGCAGCATGGTGCGCATGTGTGGGTGAGGGAGAGTGTGCGAGGCTGGAGAGAGGCTAACGCCAGCAAGTCCCTTCAAGCCATGGGGGTTCTGAGTGGGAAGTTTGGCCCAATTCTATTATTGGTGGGGTTAAGAATGCTCTTTGATTGTAGGTGAACTAAAAAAGCCAGCAACTACAACTTCCAAATGTCAAGGTCTATTTCCCCCAAACTCCACCAGTGTTCACATTTGGGCATATTGATTATTTGTGGTCCAGATCTATCATTGTTCGAGTCCATAGTGCTTTCTGGATGTAGGTGAACTTCAATTCCAAAACTCAAGGTCAATGCCCACCAAACCCTTCCATTATTTTCTGTTGGTTATGGGAGTTCTGTGTATGAAGTTTGGTTCAATTTCATTGTTTGTGGAGTTCAGAATGCTCTTTGATTGTAGGTGAACTATAAGTCCCAGCAACCACAATTCCCAAATGACAAAATCATAATTCGGAATGCTGAGAGTTGAAGTCCAAAACACCCGAAGAGCCGAAGTTTGCCCATCCTTGATCTAGATGTTTAGAGAAATTGACATATTTTCTTACATCATCACTTTCCTTCCAAAAAGTGGAACCAGAACCAATTTAGACTATGTAGTTTCTCCTGACATACAAGACACGTTTTGTAAACTGAAGGGGTTTCCTTTTGCTGTTGTGGAGCTCTTTTTGTGTATTGGAGCCCACAGAAAACTTACTATGATTTAGTAAAAATAAATCATATCAATTCACTGTGAACTTGATCATAGTTTTTACAATAAAGATACATTCTTCAACCACTGTTGAAGGCTGCTATTTTGAAATGTGCAAACAATAATACGTTATTTCCAGAACATTAATCACATGGTTTTAAAATGAGTTACTGCATTTTTCCTCTGAAACATTTCCACTGAGAAATTCAGAGACGACTGAAGTTCAAAGCCTTAACACTGTCCAATTTTCCTTTAATTTACTAGACATATAGATAACAAAGAGCCTTCATATTATGCCTCAACAGTATGCCTCCAGACCCACATGCTGATTTATAATTCTTGTAACAAAATGTAGCTGTGATAAACTGAAAAGAGTTTTAATAATTAGATTTGACTTGGGTCTATGGCCCCTTCCACACAGCTGTATAAAATCCACATTGAACTGGATTATATGGCAGTATGGACTCAGATAATCCAGTTCTAAGCAGATATTGTGGATTATCTGCCTTGATATTCTGGGTTACATGGCTGTGTGGAAGGGTCCTTGCTTTCCCTGAAAATGAAAGGAAAGGAAAAGAGATTTATTACAGAAATATATTTTTATTATTAAACTTGTGGATGGACTACATTTTTGGTTTGTCCATTTTTTGAATAAGCATAAAGATCCAATGGTTTACCAACTCTGAAGCATGCGACGTATAAGTGCCCATGAGAGAAGCAATTGTTTTCTAAATTCAGACCGCACACTTGCCCCTGGTGGCGCAGTGGGATAAACCACTGAGCTGCTAAACTTGTTGACCGAAAGGTCGCAGGTTCAAATCAGGGAAGTGGCGTGTGCTTCCGCTGTCACCCCCAGCTTCTGCTAACCTAGCAGTTCGAAAACATGCAAATGTGAGTAGATCAATAGGTACCGCTCCGGCAGGAAGGCAACGGCGCTCCATGCAGTCATGTTGGCCACATGACCTTGGAGGTGTCTACGGACTTAGAAATGGAAATGAACACCAACTCCCAAAGTCGGATACGATTGGACTTAATGTCAGGGGAAAACCTTTACCTAACCTTTACCTACTTGCAAAGATTTCTCCTGCGCTTTATTGATATTCATAGAGAACACAAGGTATCTTAGAATTTGAAGTTGTTAGTACTCGTACACCATATTGGTAAGTGTGAGTGGTATGCCTAGAGCAACCAAACACAGCTCAGCTTTCATTTTTTATTCTGATGAGGTGAAATGACAGCTGCTCTGTGTTTGGGTGGGATTTCTTATATTGCTGAGGTATAAAGAAAGCTGAGCTGTGATTGGTTGTTATTTCTTTTACTGCAGAGGTAAAAGGAAAGCCGTGCAGCGATTGGTTGCTAGAACTCATTTTTCATTACTTTTACTGCTGAGGTAAAATGAAAGCTAGGCTGAGTGTGGTTGCTTTGGGCATCACAGATTCCACTGTGCGTATACTCAATCTGGTAGCTTTATGCTAAATAGACGCGTGTATTCGAATGCAGCGTTGTGTCAAAATTTCATTTTACTATAAAAACATGCATGTATTGGAATGCAACATTGTGTCAAAATGTCAACTACTTTTCGAGACTTGCGAGCACAAGCATACACAGGCTTTACTACCTTCAGCATTTCCCTCTAATATAAGAAATTCTTATCATTAGATATAATTTCTATGTTTGGTTTATCATTGAAGATGCCGCTCAGGAATAGCAGGCCGACGATGTGATCAGTGCGCTCCTGGTTCCTACAGTTTTCCAAACTGCAAGCCCTGCAATTGTAATAGAGGAGGAACAGAACCAAATGTTTGTGATCCACAAACAGGAGTTTGCCTCTGTAAGGTCAGGTCCTTTTTCATTCAAACTTCAATGTAATTTGCATTATTAACATTTCATTCTTCTTTCGACAATTATTGCCATTCCCATGTTTTCAGAAATAATACCAAATAAATATTTATTGAAAATATAGGACTACCCTTGCTTTAACAGATACATCATGAAATCAAATACAAATGTTAATTCTGATCATTTTCCTAAAGAGATTCTGTTTAGTTATTGTTGCAACAAATTGCTGTGAGTTTTCTGGGCTGTATGTCCATGTTCCAGAAGCATTCTCTCCTGACATTTTGCTTACATCTAGGGCAGGCATCCTCAGAGGTGTGAGGTCTGTTGTAAACTAGGCAAGTGAGGTTTCTATATAATTGGAATGTCAAGGGTGTGAGAAAGAACTTTTGTCTACTTGAGGCAAGTGTGAATGTTGTAACTGGCCACCTTGATTAGCAATGAATGGCCTTACAGCTTCAAACCCTGGCTGGTTGCTGCCTCGGGATCTTTTATTGGGAGGTTAGCTGGCCCTGATTGTTTCTTGTCTGGAATTCCCCTGTTTTCGGAATGTTGTTCTTTATTTACTGTCCCGATTTTAGAGTTTTATTAAATATTGGTAGCCAGATTTTGTTCGTTTTCATGCTAGTACATGTGGAAACAAAACAGAATGCATGTGGTTTTTAATTTTATATCCCACCTCCCCTCCCCCCAGCATAACCCATCCCTGATTTGTAGAATCTCAAGATCAAGAATCTCATGTAATGTATGTGTTCATTATGAATCAGCCCATGCCTCCCAGCAATAAAAATGTGTGACAACCATTCACAAAAATGTTTGCCTGGGAGGGCTTTAATTTAAGGACACATATCCATAATATTGATGAATTTGTTTGCTGTACACTAAAAGGGGCACAATTTAAAGGCTAGAGCTTTCCCTCCAAAGATATTTATTTAAATGTGTACTTCTACGCATTAAAAAGAAAGCCCTTGAACAATTATGTCTAGTATTGGTGTATGTGTTACAGCTGTTTTCATATGTATATTATTACTGCAGGAGCTTTATGTGGAAACATTTAATGACTTCTTACAACTGACTTATAGGAGAATGTTGAAGGTATTCAGTGTGACATGTGCCGCTCTGGATCATTTCATTTGGACGCCACTAATCCAAAGGGTTGCACCAATTGCTTTTGTTTCGGAGCAACCAATATTTGTCACAGTACAAATAAAGACAGAATAAAGGTATGTTCCCCGCCCCCCCGAAAACTGTTGCTTCTAAGGGAATAGCTAAAAAGATAACAGATAGTCTAGCATTTTGAATTAAAAGTATTGGAAGGGGTGGGTATATGGAATTTTCTTTAATATATAGATATAGATATTATATTCATCAGCTTTGTAGTTTTCTAAACATTCTAGTGAGGAAATGTAGATATGTTATATTCTACTTATATGATCCAAATGGCACAGCAGGTTAAACTGCTGAGCTGCTGAACTTGTTGACCGAAAGGTTGGCGGTTCGAATCTGGGAAGCAGGGTGAGTTCCTGCAGTTAGCCCCAGCTTCTGCCAACCTAGCAGTTTGAAGACAAGCAGATGTGAGTAGATCAATAGGTACTGCTCTGGTGGGAAGGTAACGGCGCTCCAAGCAGTCATGCTGGCCACATAACCTTGGGGTGTCTATGGACAACACCGGCTTTTTGTCTTAAAAATGGAGATGAACCCCCCCCCCCCCCAGACTCAGACATGACTAGACTTAATGTCAAGGGGAAACCTTTACCTTATGATCCAAATATCAACAATAATAAAGATTATGTTAAAAGCAGCTACAGAATTTAAAAGTTGGGCCATGAAACAAAATAAAGTACCATCTGGAGGAGAGGTTTAGATTCCCTGCATGCAAATGTATGCTGTTTTCTCACACTATAAACTACCCTTTTACCTGAAGTTGTTGTTTTTTGTCCCTGTAGGGAAAAACATACAACATTTTCCCACACACAAAATCATAATTTTTTTTCTGATCTGGCTTGTAGGCTTGATCTGACTATTTAATACTCCTTTTTAGGCACTTGGACTGTGAAAAATTCTTCTTAGAAGTGTTATTCTGAAATCTGTTTGTCTTAGTAAGGATAATATATTCATTTTGTCCAAGCACTGCTCTTGTGTTCACTGATGTAAATCTTCGTGGAATGAAGGTTACTTTGCTTATTTACAATGAGTAGAAGCAGAATTTATTTATTTATTTACTTTATTTGTATACTGCTCTTCTCAGCCCTTAGGCCAAATACATGTTTCATCTGCCGCAATGTGGATTATGATGATATTTGTTTATACCCCTTTCTCTCTCCACAAAGGAGACTCACGATCAGCTTCTCTATGACATGACTCTCATCCATCTATTACATAGTTTATCAGCATTTCACTTACAGTTCAATGTATACAGCTGAAGAAATCCACCTTCCTAGCAAAACCTTCCTCAATCTGGCATCCTCACAATTTTGTGTTCTATTACTTGCATTTCCTTGGCTATTGGCCACATTAGGTATGGATGATGGGGATTGCCAGTCAGTGCATCCAGAAGTTGAGAAAGCTTACTTTGGGCTTATGATGTGGATGGTGGTGTTTGTCATCTCTCTGAAGTTGGAAGCTAATCACTGTGAGCAAATGGAACAACTAGCTTGAGATGGTTTAGCTGAAGGGTGATTTGTAGCGGCACAAAAGACCCGAGGCTGTTGCTGTTCATAGCAAAAAGCCAGAAAAAATATTTCACTTGAAGCAAGTAGAAATTCCCTTCAGGAATAAGATGGCCATGGATATGAACTCACATGCACAGGGGAAAGCTTTGTTCAGTCACAGAAACCTTTCTATCTTTTGTTTGCTTTGTACTTAGTTTGTTGAGATGAGGAACTGGCATCTGGAAGATGTGGATAACAGTATGAACATCCCAGTTATTTTCAATCCTGGAAGCAACAGTGTTGTTGCTGATGTCCAGGAGCTACTTCCCTCTGTGTGCAGTTTATATTGGGTGGCACCTTCACCTTACTTGGGAGATAAGGTATGTGTCTTTCAGTGTTTTCTGACTCTTTTTACTGTCCAAGGTCCATTGCAAAGATCTGTCTTATTCCTAGCTCAGTGATGTAACCTCTTTTCTTTTCCCCCTTCTCTCTTTCTACACAACATTTCTTTTATGATGCCATGACATTATTTCCTTTATTTTCAGTCCTTAGACAAGTGATGGCATCTGCCTGAACTTTAAGATCTGCTGGGGAGGCCCTCCTCTTGCTCCTGCGTCCATCACAAGCATGGTTGGTGGGGAGGAGGGAGAGGGCCTTCTTGGTGGTGGCCCCCAGGCTCTGGAACTCCCTCCCCAGAGAAATTAGATTAGCGCCCACCTTGTCCACTTCTATAAAGGCCTGAAAACTTGTATGCCTTTGACTAATCAGCTCATTTGACGTGGCCCTTCTAGCTCTAATTTAATTATCTGACTGCATCTTACTGCCAGCCCCGCCATGCCGTTGTTTTGCAAAAGCCCTTTCCCTGCCCTTTCAGCTCTGAATACACCCATTGTGCTTGGCTATTGGTTGTTGTTTTTTGGTTGTTGTTTTTTGATGGTTTATGTTTTTATGGTGTTTTTTGTGGTTTTGTTTTAATTCACCACTGGGATCACCTTTACTGGCTTGTGCCAGAGTCTTTGCAGTTCGATCTTTAAATCCTCATATCATGTCAGCTTTTCCAGTTGTTTCTCTTCAATCTTGTTGTCACCTGGGATTGCAACATCAACAATCCAGACTTGGTTTTTTAAACATAATCATGAGGTCAGGAGTATTGTGTTCCAAAACTCTGTCTGTCTAAATTCGGAAGTCTCAGAGTAGTTTGACGTATTCATTTTCTGTAACTTTTTCAGGCTTGTGATCCCACCATTTCTCCTCCTCCTCTTCTTCCTCTTCCTCTTCCTCTTCCTCCTCCTCCTCCTACTCATTATTATTATTATTATTATTGGCAATTGTCAGTGGTAAGGGGATGAACCATTTGCTCCAATTCCACAGCTTTCCTTAATGAATAAGCATGTACGTATCTATTAAAAATTGGGGATTCTTGTGCTCTTAGGAATTAAAAGATGTCCTTGGGACTGCATCCTTCTCATACATATAATAATATTTTGCAGTATTATTGCAATGGAAACAGCTATTTATTCCCACAAAATAAAGCATTTTGGGTATGCTTGGTCAAGAACATGTGGCTTTTTCCTAATACCTCTGTGTATTATATCTCTGTGGCACCTGTTGCTGGTAGTTCTGGAACATGTCATGCTAGAACATTAAAACTGTGATTTTGATGCTTAGAAATAATATCATAATCTCTCATTATCTCTCTCATTATCTCCTTAAATCTGTGGCTCAGCTTTCTTCATATGGAGGCTATTTGACGTATCAGGTCAAAACCTTTGGATTACCCAGTGAAGGCATGGCTTTACTTCCCAAAAGGCCTGATGTGCAGCTAACTGTAAGTAAAACAGTATTTAACTCTGAGCCCCTGAAGTGCTAAACTGCTTTAAAAAATTGTTATCTTGTTCCGATGATGTTTTCTTCCTGGGATGTTTTTGAGGGAAAGGGCTGCTAGTTTACCTTCCATTCACAGTTTTCTTCCCTGCTGCTCAGTTGAAAAAATCCCTGCAAAGAAATAAGGGAATGAAATGTGTTTATCTTGGTGAACAACAACAGTACAGTTTGCACTTAACAATCATACTATAAGCATGTTGTTTATGTCCCTTCAAGTTGTTCCCAACTTATGGCAACCTTGTCATGGGACTTTCTGGCAAGATTTATTGAGAGGGGTTTGCCCTTGCCTTCTTCTTACACCACCTCATGTTGTGGTGATCCCCAACAATAACATTATTTTTGTTGCTACTTCATTCATAACTGTAGTTTTGCTACTGTTATGAATGGTCATGTAAATATCTGATTTGCAGGATGTATTTTCATTCACTGCACCAAATTTGGCACAAATACCCGATGTACCTACAATCAAAGAGCATTTTGAACTCCACCAATGATGGAATTGAACCAAACTTGGCACACAGATCTCCCATGACCAACAGAAAATACTGAAAGGGTTTGGTGGGCATTGACCTTGAGTTTTGGAGTTGTAGTTCACCTACATCCAGAGAGCACTGTGGATTCAAACAATGATGGATCTGGACCACATTTGGCAAGGATACTCAATATTTCCTAATGTGAACACTGGTGAAGTTTGGGGGAAATAGACCTTGACATTTGGGAGTTGTGGTTTCTGGAATTTATAGTTCACCTACAATCAAAGAGTATTCTGAATCCCACCAACAATAGAATGGGGCCAAACTTCCCACACAGAATCCCCATGACCAACAGAAAAGACTGTGTTTTCCAATGGTCTTTGGTGACCTCTCTGACATCCCCTCGGATCCTTCCCCAGGGGCCCCCACCCCCAGATTGAGAAATGCTGTCTTAGACTAAGAGAGTGTAACTTGCCCAAAATCACCCAGTACTGATAATTTCTCTTCTTTTTATATAGTCCTCTAACAGTATTTTAAAATGTGGGAGGTTGCATATGTACATTATTTCTTCGGCTTTTTTTAATGTTTCTCTCACACATGAATCTGAGTTAATCTTTTAGAACAAAGTGGGATGCAAGCTTTTAAAATTAATACAAAGAGAAAAAGAAAGAAAGAAAATTCTACATGTACTGATGCTAGACTGATAATATTTTTGCACAGGGGCAACAGATGAAGCTAATCTACATGGATCCTAACAATCCTTTGCCTGACAAACAGTATTATGGTTCTGTTAAACTAGTGGAGGTAAGAATTAAATGAACTCTCCGGCTCTGTCACCCATTCCTATTTATAGCACAAAAACCAAATACTGAAATTATCTTGTTTCAAAGTACATTTTCAAGGCTGTAATCCCAAATAGTGATTAAACGTAATTGAGAGAAACATGGAATGTGTGCACAAATACAACAGTACAGAAGTGGCTTATACATGCAGTAGTTGTTTCATGAAACTGTGAATATTGTCAAAGGCTTTCATGGCCAGAATCACTGGGTTGTTGTAGGTTTTTCAGGCTGTATAGCCATGTTCTAGTAGCATTCTCTCCTGACGTTTCGCCTGCATATGTGGCAAGCATCCTCAAAGGTTGTGAGGTTTTAAAAAAGGATGCTTGCCACAGATGCAGGTGAAACTTCTGGAGAGAATGCTTCTAGAACATGGCCATACAGCACAAAAAACCTAAAACCACCCACTGTGAATATGAATGAGCACATGTTGCATATGTATTGCAAGTGTCACTTCTCACCTGGAGTGGAAAGCGCACTACAGAGCAGAGGCAAAGAATGTGTCTCTTCCAGATGTTGTGTACTAAAATTGCCATTTCCCCTAGCCAGAGCAGAAAGCAATGACAAATGATAAGTCACCAGCAATGATTGCAGTACCAGCCATGATTCAGATCAAGTGCAGGGGATGGTCTAGTTCCTTTGCTTCTTGCTAACTAATCAGCCAAGGATTGTTCCTTAATATTCAGTTTCCTTTAGTGCAGGTCCTGAGACCATTTTTCCCCATAAATTACTGAAACAATATATAGAAGATTTGCAATTTGAATGCTGTGAGAGAGGATACAGTGTTTTTAATTGCATTTGGATTGATGTAAAATTTCCATTTGGAGTGGCTGCTGTTTGGGAGTCCAATGCAGGATTACCATTGGACCACTTACTTCTGGACTCTACTTGCTTTGCTTGCACCTTTGTAAAACTACAAACTACAGAGATATTTTTCTTTTTCTGATGCTTCCTTGTTCACCAAAGGAATGAAACCTTGTGCTGTCCAAGATTTCTCATGTTTGGGGGAAAGTAAGTTGAGCTGTGAAAATGGCATCAAGGATATTATTAATATTATTAATTGTCCCACCCTGGAATGCCTTACCCTGGACATTCCACAGATATAAAAGCCTCACTTGCCTAGTTCCCAACAGATGTCACGACTTCTGAGGATGCCTGCCTTAGATGTGGACGAAACATCTGGAGAGAATGCTCCTAAAACATGGCTATACAGCCTGGAAAACTCACAGCAACCCATTATTATTATTATTATTATTATTATTATTATTATTATTATTATTGACACAAAAGCACAGTATGTCACAGCGAACGAGATCTATATGCTGGATTTTGTATCACAAAATCACAAGTCGAACACTTCCCAAACGTCTAGGACCGTGTGATGTATTTTCAAATGATGCGCACAGATCCAAGTAAGGTGGCCTTTTGCAGTTGACAGATCATGATTTTGTCGATGTTTATTGTTTCCAAATGCCGGCTGAGATCTTTTGGCACGGCACCCAGTGTGCTGATGACTACTGGGACTATCTGTATTGGTTTATGCCAGAGCCTTTGCAGTTCGATTTTGAGGTCTTGATAGCGGCTGAGTTTTTCCTGTTGTTTTTCCTCAATGTGACTGTCATCCGGTATGGTGAGATCAATAATCCAGACATTTTCTTTTCCACAATCGTGATGTGTGGCGTGTTGTGTTCCAAAACTTTGTCAGTCTGGATTCGAAAGTCTCACAATATTATTATTATTATTATTATTATTATTATTATTATTATTTTCAGTGGTTTTTAAAGAACTAATGTGCAGTGTTTGCAGTTAAACAGCTGCTTGTTCTGATGGCATGAAAGTTAAAAGTCAGGCTGGGTTCTCATCTGATTCATACCCACACTCAAAAAGGAAAGATACTTGGTGCTACATTCTACCTTCAGTTGCATATGTGCCATTCCAAAAAAAAAAAATCAAATAAAAATCACCTTCTTTAGGAATTTAATGGCTAAAACAAGGTTTGTCAATAAGGGATAAATCTTGCTCCCCAATTCCTTAGCCATAGTCTCCCAAACGCCCTTCAAGCTCTAGCATTTGTATTCTATGCAAAGTGAATTATATTTTGGACTTGTGGAGAATACATAAATTGGACAGAACTTGTTTATACAGTAAAAGAAAATTGCTTGGTTTTATTTTCTAACAATATTTTAATTGTTTTTTCTCTTTCTTTCTTCTCTTCACTACTTTTCTATCTTTTTCTTTCTAGCTACCCTTAAGTAAGACCCATGTTTTCATCCACTTTCGCTGTAAATATAATAAAAAACACAATAAAAGTATTTTTATATATATATATATATATATATATATATATATATATATATATATATAAATCAAAAACCAATTTTGTTCTGTTTGACTAACTTGCCAAGGGACCACGTAATTCCAATTTCAAAAAGGAGTTTTTAAAGTCGGCATGGGCAAACTTTGGCCCTCCAGGTGTTTTGGACTTCAAGTTCCATAATTCTTAACAGCCGGTAGGCTATTAGGAATTGTGGGAGTTGAAGTCCAAAACACCTAGATGGCTGAATTTTGCTCATGCCTGTTTTAGAGCCTTCTTTTGTGTAACAATATTACCTAAAATAGAAGCTTCTTGCATAGTCCAAGAAGCCTTTGTTCTAAAATTGCTCCCTCTTTTTTCTGTGCAGTAATATATTTCTAGGTTGGTTGTACTATATGAGTAAGACTTCTCAAGTGCCGATCTCTCCTTGTATCTCTTACATTCAGGGGAACTTCAGACATGCAAGCAGCAATGACTTGGTATCGCGAGAGGAGCTGATGATGGTCCTGTCTAGACTAGAAGGATTACAAATCAGAGGGCTTTATTTCACAGAATCTCAGCGGTTAACCTTGGGCGAGGTTGGGCTGGAAGAAGCCACAGGTACAGGAAGTGCCAATGATGCTTATAATGTAGAGACATGCTCCTGCCCCGCTGGATATCTGGGTGATTCATGCCAGGTAGGAAATTTTCTTTGTCTCCATCATTTGTGAGATATTGCTCATGAGAGCAAGTATTGACTTAGCTATGGCAGAGAAAGATGATTGTTCACATTGATTTAACTTGAAAGCACACTAGAGATGTATTTATGAACTGCGTTGGCAGTTTACTGAAATATCTTAACTCTGTTGCTTATGCTGCATCTTGAAAGTGTACAGGTTTACTATCCCATATCCAAAATATTAGTTTTGAGTTTTTTCATATTTTAGAATACTCATATTTGTACATATGCAAGTAATAATAATACTATTTACAGAAGGACCACAGTAGTGCAGTGGGTTAAACCGCTAAGCTGCAGAACTTGCTGACTGGGAGGTTGGTAGTTCGAATCCGTGTGACGGGGCGAGCTCCTGTTGTTAGTCTCAGCTTCTGCCAACCTAGCAGTTTGAAAACATGTAAATGTGAGTAGATCAATAGGTACTGTTTTGGTGGGAAGGTAATGGCGCTCCATGCAGACATGCCAGCCACATGATCTTGAAGGTGTCTGTGGACAATGCCGGCTCTTCGGCTTAGAAATGGAGATGAGCACTACCCCCAGAGTCAGACTCAACTAGACTTAATATCAAGGGGAAACCTTTATCTTTACATTTTACATAATGAGATATCTTGGAGATGAGATCCAAGTCTAGCACGAAATTAATGTTTCTTTCATGTTCATTTTTATCCTCAGGGTAACTTTGTAAAATATTAATATGTTGTGCATAAGTCTGTGCACATTGAGCCATCAGAAAGTAAAGGCATTACTATCTCAACCACTCAGGTGGACATGCTTTGGATTCTGTAATATTTTAGATCTAGGAATTCCAGATAAGAGATGCTGTACATGCTTGTGCTGTTAGACACCTTGTCCAGTTTAGTATGTCATATTTATCTTTTTGTAATTCAAAGTGGCTATCAGTATAAATGACCATACAAAACAGTGAATCCAATATTTCAATAGCTTAAAGGGAAAAAGCCAATATAACCTATTAACAATTTTAGCTTCTGGGCAGAAAACCTTTGTCATCGCTCAGAGTAATACACATATGGATCACCAGGAACCCAGATAGCTAGGAGTGAATCCAGAAGAGAGAGAATGCATCCCCATTTATCACCCAGTTTGGCCTTCACTTGCCAGGAAGCAGCAGTGATCATTACTTACTGTAATACGTTGGTGCTAATTTCTTCTGTTCAGTGTTTCCCTCAGCATGCTTAATACATATTCATGCATGTTTCTGAATAATATTTTTAGCCACAATTGTTCATTGGAGGAGCATGTGTGGTAACTGTCTTAATCTTAACTCTTGAATATGCAAAATATTTTGGATTATTATAGCCTTTTGAAAGGCATAACCTTTTGGGGAAATGATGCCATAACCTTTTGGGAAATGGAAATTTCCATAACCTTTTGGAAAATGGTATTCATTACCATTTTGGAAGACCGGGAATCTCCCTGAGAAGAGTTAAAAACTCACTTGAGTCAACCTTCTCCTTAGCGGTAAATATTGACTAGTATTCATGCCAGGCAAATTAGGTTTCTCAGCTGTCAAACTGATATACCTAGATATCACTTTGAGCTGTTAGGGGCAAAGGTATGCCAATGCACAAACATATTATAGATAGATAGATAGATAGATAGATAGATAGATAGATAGAGGGAGAACAAGCGAGCGCGCAGGGTTTCAGAAGTGTTCTTTCAGTTGCCCAAAAACATCTACTCTCCCTTGGTTTAAGTCAAGAGACCAAAAATAAGTAGACTTCTTTAAAAGTAACATAGTTCGTTTGCTCACAAACTTCATGTATTCAGCATACAGGTACATTGCATATCAGTCCAGTTGCAGATATGATTTGAAGTACTTTGTGCAGATAACACAGGGCATCTTTCTTAGAATCTTAACAATCCATAGTATAAAAAAGTATTTTTTTTGTTTTGGGAGTCTAATGGAGGCTTTACAATATTCTGTTTCTACTGACTTCTAAACTGTACTATTTCTAAAAGCATATTGTTTCTAAATTGGAGTCTGAGTCCTGAATAATCCCAGATGTGGTCACATGGTCTGCAGCCCCTCCCACAATATAGAGTTAAGGAAAATTTGCATACCAACACACACATATACAATACAGTAAGCAATATCAATTAAATACATAACAAATAACTAGTAAAGGAGGCTTGTAGAAGGTTGCTATTTCCAACAAAATCTGTATTTAATTCCTTCCTTACCTGCATCTCTTTAGCACCGGATAAATGGTAAAATTCTTCTTACAACCTTGTGAGACTATATAAATGGTCAAGATATCTGAATGGTTCCTTTCTGCTATAGAATTATTACAAACCTTATAGACCTAAAGCATTTTCCTGAATTGTGAGATGACTAAATAGTCTGAACCTTAAAATAGAATGCATTCCTTTTTTATACAGGGCTGAATTTTGACAGGTGTGGTGGGAGTGTGAAAAGTTCAACACTAAACATGCCATTTTCTATCAAAAGCCCCAAACCTCTGCCATTTCTTGTCTCTGATCATGCTATCCAGCTGAAATCATTTCATTAAGTAAATTGATGTGTGCATTTGCTCATTCCTTTCTCATGTTGCAAGCACAGTACTATGCATTGCGCAATGTCATTTGGAAAAAAATAGTTTGCAAGGAGTTGTTCTAATCAGTCTTCATTATACAAAATATTCAATTGATCAGCATGCTGAGACTTGTGTTTGGGATAGGAATTAAACTCTTCCCGTTCCTCTCCCTGCTCTGCAAACACACAACGTGCCTCTTTGGTGTGGTCTTTCCGTGCTTATACTAGCCAGATAAAAATATGTAGCCCAAAGGAAGGTGCAGAGTGTCTCAGACAAGTAGCCCACACACTCTACATGTTTCCACAGAACTGCTCAGCCTGTGATTTACCGTTCTAATCATTTCATACTGTCTGACTGTGTTAGGCGGAGGAAAGGTGATGGCTGCCACACCTTAATTCAGATATACGTTCATTTGCAGGAATCGCAAAGTGGTTCATTAACCTCAGGAGCTGCTCTGTGTTTCACAACTTGACTCATGTATAAAGTTTAAAGGAGGGGCATATCACGGCACAGACTTAGTCAGAAGCTAAACAATCAGAGGTAGCATAAGAAGAAGGGCTACGTTAGGGGAAAGTGTCTTACATATGAACAGCAAAGCCTAAAATTAAGCAAAATGAAGACTGGCGTGCTAAGGCCAGGCAATCTCGGATGGCTGGTGTTGTGCATTGGCCTGAGGCTATGTTTAGGATACGCTACACAAGAAAGAATAGCATTGCTTCCACTTCTCCAGGGCCAAGGGCAACAGCAACACATGCACTGGGATTTCAAACCAAGACAGGTAATGTCTGTCCTTTTCTCTTTCTTCCTCTCTTTTCAAGTTTTAAAATCTTGATATAAAAGTATGGAGTAGTGTGTTTTCAGTGAAAATATTAGATTGAATGCTGCTCTCTTCATCCATTTGTAGCAGGACTTTCTAACCTTTTTCCACTCGCGACCCCTTTCCACTCAAGACATTGCACCAGGTATACAAGTATATAAAATAGGTATAACTTTCAGATGTATACTGATAACAATCAGCATTTACAAGGCTTGCTAAACAGGCTGATTTTCCTGTTTGTGGAGTACAGTTTTCTGCAGCATCCACTGTAACAGATTTTTGTAAATGGGAGGCATTCGGAAACCTTTTTCTGCTGCCTAATTTTTGTGACCTCAAAATAGAGCAAAGGAGTTTAAGAAGCAGTGGACTATAGTGTTTGCTACTAGGTGACATGAGACTTCTTCATAAAACATTGCTCTTTTCTGCGTGGGAAGTATTCACATTTAAGCTATTAGCTTATACAGTTTAAGTCAGCAAATCGCTAACCAGGCTGTTCCTCTTTATGTTGATGCTTGCCATCTTTCTCCCGAACACACAATTAATACTCATTAAATTTGTTTTTCTCACACTGAAATGTTAATGCAAATTTAGCATTATTCAAAAGAGAGTGGAGCAAATATTTTTCAGGCTGCATGACAAAGTGGGCATACAAGTGCATTTCTCAAAAATAATGATGGGTACACACTGCCCTACATAGGAAGGCTATCTGTATAGGAAATCTCATTTTCCTTTAAAGCGTAGGAGGAAAAGGATGTTTGAGCATGCAGGGAAATGTATGTTTGTTCTGGAATAACACCGAAGAACACCAGAACTGTGGCAACATACTTGAAACTGATTGATTCCTGTTAACTTATCCCAAAAGTCTCCTTTCATTGTTGCCATTTTGTTTTGATTAGTATTACTATTTCTAATTCAGTAAGCTATTTTTGCGTTACTCACTACATTAAATGGGTGCTCTGGTGGCTATATCATAATATTTGCTTTTATTATTCTTGTGTAACAGCTATAAGAACTAGTCTAGTACAATCAATCCTATCAAATTGTTTGTTTGTAAAGTATTTTATAATTTTTAATGTATTTGTCCTCACCATAGTCATGTGAGGGGGCATGGTGGCCATGTTTAAATATTTGAAAGGGTGTCTTATTGAGGAGGGAGCAACTTTGTTTTCTCTAGAGCAGCGGTTCTCAAAGTGTGCTCTGCAGAGCCCTTGGGGATCCACGAAATATACTGAAGGGCTCTGCACTTCCCTCCTCCCCACTCCCCCAAGCTTTTCCTTCTCTTTCCTGCTTCTCCCCTCCCCTTGCCTCCAAAATCCCTTTCTCCCACTTTCCTTGGTGACCAGATCCTTTCCCCTCACCTTCCTTGTTTTCAAAACCCTATTTCCCTCCCACTGCTCAGGTGGTGCTTTGATTGTGCTTTTCCTGCATGGCAAAAGGGAGTTGAACTGGATGCCCCCTGGACTTCTTTATAATTATTGTGGTGGTGGTGGTGGTTGTTGTTGTTGTTATTAAAAAGTCTGGGTGGCCATCTGTTGGGAGTGTTTTTCCTGCATGGCAGAAGGGGATTGGACTGGATGCCCCTTGGGATTGCTCCTATTATTATTATTATTATTATTATTATTATTATTATTACAAAGACTGAGTAGGCATCTGTTGGGGGTGCTTTGATTATGCTTTTCCTGCATGGCAGAAGAGAGTTGAACTGTACGTCTCCTGGATTTCTTTATTATTTCATTATTATTATTATTATTATTATTATTATTATTATTATTATTATTATTATTATTAAAAACTCTGTGTGGCCATCTGTTGGGGGTACTTTTCCTGCATGGCAGAAGGGGGTTGGACTGGATGCCCCTTGGGATTGCTCCTATTATTATTATTGCAAATTCTGAGTAGGTATCTGTTGGGGATGCTTTGATTGTGCCTTTCCTGCATGGCAGAAGGGAGTTGAACTGGATGCCCCCTGGATATTATTTGGGCTTGGCCTCATGTAAGCCGCACCGAGTCCCTTGGGGAGATGGTAGCGGGGTACAAATAAAGTGTTATCGTTGTTGTTGTTGTTGTTGTTGTTGTTGTTATTTAAAGTCTGGGTGGCCATCTGTTGGGGGTGCTTTCCTGCATGGCAGAAGGGAGTTGGACTGGATGCCCCTTGGGATTTCTCCTATTATTATTATTACAAATTCTGAGTAGGCATCTGTTGGGGGTGCTTTGATTGTGCTTTTCTTGCATGGCAGAAGAGAGTTGAACTGTACGTCCCCTGGATTTCTTTATTATTATTATTATTATTAAAAAGTCTGCATGGCCATCTGTTGGGGGTGCTTTTCTTGCATGGCAGAAGGGAGTTGGACTGGATGCCCCTTGGGATTGCTCCTATTATTATTATTATTACAAAGACTGAATAGCCATCTGTTGGGGTGCTTTGTTTGTTCTTTTCCTGCAAGGCAGAAGTAGGTTGGACTGGATGGTCCCTTGGGTTGCTTGGGTGGGGTCCTTCTCTAGAGCAGTTTTTTAAGCCGAAGCTGGATGGCTATCTATTAGGATTGCTTTTATTATGTGTTTCTGCATAGCAGGGAGTTGGACTGGACAACCCTTGTAGTCTTTTCCAAATTTATGATTCTATTATTTCTATTATGCTTTATAAATAGAGAAATTAGGCAGATGCCGCCTGCTTTGGTTAATAGTAAACAGTGAGGCTAGTGGGGGAAAAAAATCTTAAGGCTAAGGTCAATGGACTGTTTGAAAGTGACAGAGTGCAAAATTCTAACAGCATAGAGAGATAAATAGAAGAAGGTGGCCAGTAAGGGCAGCAGTAAAAGGGATATTTAAAGGTGGACACCTCAAATAACCCGGACCATTTGACAAAGGGCATGAGAGCTTCACCAAACAACAAATCCCTGGATTCCATGTCATTGAGCCATACCAGTTAAACTGGTGTCAGACTGCATAAATTCTAGTGTTGTTGCACCCCAATTCTCCCATGTCAGTATCTGAGTGTGAATCTGCAGCAGGTATGGGCAAACCCAGGCCTGGAGGACAGATGCGACTCCTTGGGCTCTTTTCTCAGGCTCTCCTCTCTCTCAACATTCTATCCTTCCTCCCTTCTCCCTTTCTTTCTTCATTCCCTCTCTCTCTTCCTTCCTCTTCCTTCCTCCATCCTTCCTTCTCTTCCATCCTTCTGTCCTTTCTTCCTTTCCTCTTTCCTTCCTCCTTTCCAATCCCTACCTTCCTTCCATCCACTCTTCCTCCCTTTCTTCCTTCCCCTCCTTCCTTCCATCCTTCCCTTCCACCCATTCGTCCTTCCTTATTTCTCTTTTGTCTTTTCTTCCTTCTCTCTTTCCTTCCTCCTTCCCTCCCTCATCCTTCCTTCCTTCCCTCCCTCCCTTTTGTCTTTCTTTCCTTCTCTCTTTCATTCCTCCTTACCTCCCTCCCTCCCTTTTGCCCTTCCTTCATTCTCTCTTTCCTTCCTCCGACCCTTCCTTCCTTCAATCACTGGGCAGCCAGACCTCTTAGCAGGGAGTGCCAGCATATGCCCTCCAAGTTAGAAAGTTTGCCCATGTCTGATCTACAGTGTTGAATGGTGTCAAACTGCATTAATTTATAGTGTAGCTGCATCCTAAGTCAAAGTATTAAATGGGCTGTAGTAGTTAACTATCAGAGGGCAGCTTACCTCCCTCCCTTTGCTTTTTTTAAAAAAATGATTCTGCTCCCCATATCATTTTCCCTTGACTTTGATCTGAAAGAAGAGCAATGTAGCTTCTTAGATTCTTCTAGCCAGTGAACATTCTTTTCATGCTTTGCTCATCTTTGGGACAAGCCTAAACCTCACTTCACTTATCCCCAGGGCAGGAAATCAGGATGAGTTAAGAGAGGTGACATCACAGCACGTATTTTAGAAAATGATGCTATAAATGAATGCAGGTGTCAGGTCAATGAAAAAACCAAATTCTGCAGAAAGGACTTGCTAATTGGAATGTCAAAGCCCTGTTTTTGTTTTTGTTTTAAAAAATAGTCTGCCTCTTGGGTTTATGGTTAGGAGGATTCTTCTTAACAGATTGTGGGAGCTTTGGTATATAGAGATACCTTTCAACTGTTCAAAAGGTTCATGAAATTTGGAAATAGCTGACATGTACTGTATTCAGATGCTCACATCTCAGCTATAATAAACATGATTTTTGGCCCTTTTATTAGAATCTCTTCAGGCTTTTTGGCCCTTTTATTAGAATCTCTTTAGGCAAGGAAGCAAACAAGCTGGTTTTATGTGTGTGTGTGTCAGGAACGACTTGAGAAACTGCAAGCCACTTCTAGTGTGAGAAAATTGGTCATCTGCAAAAATGTTGCCCAGGGGACTCCCAGATGTTTTATCATCCTGTGGGAGGCTTCTCTCATATTCTCACATGAGAAGCTGGAGCTGACAGATGGGAGCTCATCCTGCTCCCTGGATTCGAACCATCAACCTTTCGTTCAGCAGTCCTGCCGTCACAAAGGTTTAACCAATCACTGGGGGCTAGTTCCCATTAATATTATTTCCTATATCATCTGGACATGGAAATTATGGTATCTGGCTTCAAAATGAGCCAGGATATTATACAGGGGTTTCAAATTGACTTAATATTGGTATCTTCTGGAGCCATTTAGTATAGCCTCTACATCTGGATGAAATGATAACTGGAATATGGAAGACATCTTGATTTGTTTGCCGCATATTGGGAGGAGTAACCACCACCGCCGCCACCCCATATCGCTCCAAAGTCTAAAGTAAGGGTTTCCAAAAATAAGGGTGTCGCCTCTCTGTTATGCTTATACTCATATGCTAATGTTTAGTAATCCAGTACTTCTGTCTTAAAATATTCCACATAGCAGTTTTAATAGGTACAAATATTACATTTATTTCATGGTCACCAATTTTGTGTTCAATAGGAATGCAGCCCTGGATTTTATCGTGAGAGCAGAGATCTGCTGACAGGACGGTGTATTCCTTGCAATTGTAATGGAAATTCAGATAGATGCCTCGATGGTTCTGGAATTTGTCTTGTAAGTCATACAAATAACTTATTTGTAGTTCAAAAGATACTGAAATGTCTCCCTAATCTTAATTACTAACCAGTGAAATGTGTGCTGCTCTTGCCTCAGCTGAACAGACTGTTAAATTGTTTGGAAAATGGAAATCTCCATAACCTTTTGGAGATTTTATGATCTTTGGAAAGGCAAGACCTTATTAGAAGTCATAAACTTCTGAAAAATGATGCTATAATCTCTTGGTAAAAACTATGTCCTTTTGAGAAAATGGCATTCATGCAGGGCAATTGGGTTTCTCAGCTGTTAAACTGATATCTAAAATATCTCCTTGAACTGTTAGGGACAAAGATATGCCAATGCACAAACACACACACACTAAAATTTCAGAAGTGTTCTTTTTTGTTGCCCCAAAACATCTACTCTCCCTTGAAACCCCTTGATTTAAATCATGCTCTCAAGTAATAAAAAACAAGCAGACTTGTTTAAAAGTAACATAGTTGGTTTACTCACAAACTACATGTATTCAGTATCAGGTACTTTGCATATCAATCCAGGATTTGAAGTAGTTTCTATGTGTAGGTAACACAGGGCATTTTTCTTATAATCAATAGTCCATAGTCCAAAGCATCTCTGTCTGAAAGTTTAAGGGAATCTGTACAGGCAGAATCTGAAAGCATACATCTGTTTGTACATTGAAGTCTCTAATCATACTGTTCTTACTGAAGTCTAAAGCAAAACTGTTCTAAAACAGAGTCTGAGTTCTGAACAAGCCTGGACCTGATCACATGGTCTGCAGCCCCTCCCACAACAAAGAGTTGAAGAAAAAACTGCAAACCAATATACACATATACAATACAGTAAGCAATTATATACATAACATATAAGTAGTTGAGAATGTTTTGTTATTTTCATTCCATGAATAAGCGAACAACCCAGGACATCTGGGTTAGCTTGAGTGTCATTCTACATCAAAACTCTGAAACTATAGTCAATGGCTTCAGAAAAAGCCACAATACTGAGACAGCATCTCCTAGCTTTTTAACTGATAAAACTAAGACATGAAAATATCAACAGCCGACCTGTAATTCTGCATTAAATTCCATAATTAGTGAAGTTCTCTGCTGCTCATAAAAAGTGTAATTTGCAGTTCTGTCCTCAAAGCTCCCATCCAGGTATGAGCACTAATCAAGAAAAGAAGACATCCATTAATAACAGTTTTGGGGGATCTTAGTATTGCATTACACTGTGTCTCAATAGCTTATTCTGAAAATATATCCCACAAATCTGTTCCCCTCCTGTCTTTTTCTCAAGTAAATACCTGCACTGCCAGATTAATTCTATGGTCTCTAGCCTCTCTCCCTCTCCATTTGTTTTATCATGCTTATTCATCATGGACCTACGGTATTTTGTTTGCACTGTGTTCCGAGACATTATACAATACTTTCCCCTGACTTTGGTTTTGACAAACCCTTTTAGAATAAATACAGAAGCTGGAAGCCAAATCAGTATATTTCCAGGAGATGTATGAATCATGAGGCATTTTGATTGGAGGCATAGGACAGGCCATAACAAGAAAGTGCAGAGGTAGAACAATCAAGAGCAAGATAGTTTACATCATCCCAAAATGAGAGTTTTGTAAACGTTCAATGTTTTAGCCTTCCTCCTGCCACTTTACTGACTGACTATATGAACTGTGTTATATACACACACATAGTACTTATCTAACTAAGCATGTATTCTGTTTGCGCATGTATTTTGATTAGCTTCTCATTTCTATTTAAAACTGTAACATTAAAAATGAGTGTTTGCAGGATTCTGTGTTTGAGCTCTAGTAAAATTATTAATATCTTGGGGGCAGGTTGTTAATCTAATCAGCTTGAGTGACTGTTCCATTAACAGTGACTTGAACAGTAGCAGTTTATTAAAATCTATAGATCAAGTTTTGAATTACCAGGGCCTCCTGGTGTTGCAGCTGGTTAAACCACTGAGCTGCTGAACTTGCTGACCGAAAGGTTGACAGTTCGAATTCGTGGAGCGGGGTGAGCTCCCGCTGTTAGTTACAGCTTCTGCCAACCAACCAGTTTGAAAATAAACAAATATGAGTAGATCAATAGGTACTGCTTCTGTGGAAAGGCAGTGGTGCTCCATACAGTCATGCTGGCCACATGACCTTGGAGGTGTCTAAGGTCAACGCCAGCTGTTCAGCTTAGAAATGGAGAAGAACACCTTCCCCAAGAGTCAGAAACAACTAGACTTAATGTCAGGGGAAAACCTTTACCTTTATGGGTACATCTACACTGTAGTTTTAATGCAGTTTGATACCAATTTTACAGCCATGGCTGAGTATTATGGAAACATGAGAGTTGTAGTTTTACAAGGTCTTTATCCTTCTATACCAAAGAGTGCTGGTGCATCTATTTGACTATAAATTCCAGGATTCTATAGCATTAAGTTATGGTAGTTAAAGTGAGGTCAACCTGCATTAATTCTGCAGTGTAGATACACCCCCATTGGGTGACAGTTTGAGTAAGTCACATTGTGTCAGCCTCAAAGAAAGATAGTAGCAAAATCTGAAAAATCTGAAAAATAAAACTCTATGATAGTTTCACCCTAAGGTCTCCATAAATTGGAAACAACTTGAAGGTGTATAACAACGGAACTCAACCACTAGATTTGGATCATTTAGATCTGTCAGCATGCTCCATTTCATATATTGCTGTTTGAAATGTGAGAGATGGAAAGGAAGCTCTGTGAAGGAGAGGATAAAAATACAACTGACAATAAGGTCACATAAATTTCCAGTAAATCTTACAAAGAGGCAATAGGACCTACAGTCTTTAAAGCTCCTAGGGTGCCATATACATGAACTTTACCCATTTTTGTTAACTCCTGGCTCTGGCATGTTATGAAAGAGAAGGGGTATAAATGCTAATCATTGTTGGCACCCTGGAACCAGGCTGAAACCTTCCATGCTGTTATAAGAGTGCCACTGTTGTCCTTGAAATGATGTGATGACTGGTCAGTCCACTGCCAGGGCACCAGGAAAATGGATCTTTTTCTTGATCAAAGAGAATGCAAGCCTGTTTGAACCAGAGGCCTGGAGTAAGTTGGATTATGAACACGACCATTAGTAATGAATGGAAAGTTCATAAAGGAGAAAAGCAAGCAACACTTTCAGCCAGGATTTCATCTATGATTCTAGTAGCAGCCTAGTTCTGATTATTTAAAAGGTTTTGAGGCTCGTTACAACACGCTAACAATCTTGGCACCATTTGAGCCAAAAAAATTGGCCAACTGCTCTATAGTTTAGAGACAAAGGTCAGAGTCCAATTTCTTTGTTCTGTCTTGGTGTAATGCCAATGTGTGGAGGAAATGTTTGAAAGCCCTGGAGCAAATCCATTTTTATTATCTCCTTCTGATAATAATAATAAAAAATATAAGCGATGAATTGTCTAGTTTATATCTGTCTCTTTGTTTTTCCCCCAAAGAACTGTCAGCATAATACTGCTGGTGAAAACTGTGAGTATTGCAGAGAAGGTTACTTTGGTGATGCCAGTCAAGGAAACTGCAGGGCGTGTCGTTGCCCTTATACAAACAGGTACGGGTATGTGTGTGTTAGGGATGGAGAGAAGCATTTTTATTGTACTTGGCACACAATTGCCTTGATTAAGGTATCATGAAAGATATGTTTGCTAAATCATGTTCCCTTTTTTACACAGGTGAAGCTTTGCTGTACATGTTTCTGTTATTCTTTGCATTATGTGTGATAAGAAGCTCTACAAAAATTAGGGTTTCTTATTGCCGATATTTTTGCAAATTTCACAAGCTCACTTAATGTACCAGATGAGTGATTGGGCTTCTCTTGAGGGCAGTCCATGCTTTCATCCCATAGTAATAGGATGAGATTCCCTCCGGCTTAGGCCACAGGCCCGTGTTGACTCTTCTGCTCTGAAATGGCTTTTGAACAGGCATGGGCAAACTTAGTCCTCCAGGTGTTTTGGACTCCAACTCCCACAATTCTTAACAACCAGTAGGCTGCTAGGAATTGTGGGAGTTGAAGACCAAAACACCCAGAGGGTCGAAGTTTGCCCATGCCTGCTTTTGAGGATAGTAAGGCCATCATTCCAACTCATGGAATCTCCCGGTTTGAGTGGCCTTTGGAGCTGCTGACTCTGTGTTTCTGGATATTGTTATTTCCAAGTTTTAAACAGATTATGTGGATGAGAATCACTTTAGTGCATACGCAGATGATCTGAAACCACTGTGTTCAAAATGAGGCCACTGAAGAAAGAAGACAGATCTCAGCATCATCAAGGGATTCCAAAAATGTAAAAATTATTTTAAAAACATGACAGGGCAAAATGATCACATAATAATACAGAATATAATAACTATTGTCATTGTACATCATACAACAATATTAAATACCAGGATTTTGGTATTCCTGGGGGCCCTGGATGAGGAGAAAAAATGGGAAACTGGATTGGAGAACCAACTGATACGATATTCTACGGGCAATGACTCACCAGCACTCCAGCTCAGGAGTCCCCTAAAGGCCTGGGCAGTGGTGCAAGGAAGAGGCCACAAGTTGGATTCTTACTACAAAGGCTTTTATTGAGGGCCAAAGCAATAAGGTGACAGTAGTGCCCTCTGCATAAAAGTTCAGTCGCAACCTGAAATGGGGTTGCATGGCTTTTAATCACTTTTTACAGAAAATTTAAAACACATTCTCATTGTTGTTCAAAGATCAACCATTTCATTGGTCTAAGCTGACTATACCAATTGGCTCTCCATATTCATTGGCTCTCCATAATTCTAACAAACAGGAAGGCACATGTGGGATCTTATCAACTATAGTCTATTGTTCTCTGGCAATGAACACTCAGTTGGAAAGTATCTATAGGTCAGTACTTCAAACGGCTGGGAAATTAAGGGAGTATTAGGGAGTACTATCTGTCCAACTCTGGTGAATTCATCCTTGGCAGCTCTTTCTCTACAAATCAGCATCTTTGCAAAGGCACTCTGCAAAAGCAAGCACATTGGATTTTATATCATTGGAAGCATCCATGAAAATCCCTTTTAAAACTACATCTCTTTCAATATTCTGAAGCTGGACTCCATCAGTTAGAGGGAGGAAATACAACGTAACATTTTGTTGCAGTTCCCTTTTCTATTTTGCTTGCATAAGACTTCGCTTGTATATACTGTTCTGTCAATAACTTTGCAAGGAAACAAAGCTACTAAGTCCTATTGTAAAAAAATAATAATCAGTCTGAAGTATATATTAGCATGTGTCCTCCAATATGGTTGCCTAACCATTTGATAAAGTTTAACAAGTTATTACTTGAGTTAGGAACTAGATGCACTGAGGCTATGTGACCTCCCTGAAGTATTACAATTTGGCCAAAAGTGATATATGGGACAATTAATAAAAACATTATGTGTCTAGACAGCATATAAATCAGAATATGATGATGAATTTTCATTAAGTGGGATAATAGGAATAGGTGAGGACTACAAATGACTGATGGTGTTTGAGATCTCTAAAACAGAACCTCTGTAGTACATAAATTTGGGATAATTGAAGGCTTGGAGCCTCACAAAGCTTTTGCCAGGTGCAAAAGCAGAGGTCAAGAGCCTTAAGATAATTCCTCTGGTAGATAGTATATCATGAATTGATACGTGTTCAAGACAATAATTCTTTAAGGAATCAGTATACATCTGCAGTCGTTTCTTGGATCTTCTGTGGATCAGCCACACAACTTAAATTCCTTCAACTTTCCAAAAGTACAGATTTCCCATTAGGAAAAAAAATCTCAAAGGAACTTTAAGAGGATTTGCTCTGAAATAAATACATATAATAAAAATCAAAGGCTGAATTGCATAATTGAGACATAAGGAATTAGTGTTCAGATTTATCGTCATTTTGTTTAAAAGCAACTGCATTACTGAACCCATAACATGGGGGGTGGGGTGGGAGGTATGTATCCTCCAAAATAAGAAAGAAGTTTGGAAGAAGATGGAGTCAACTTCACTTATGATGCTTCAGAGACTAAAATACAAACCAATAGAATCAAATTAGAGAGTTTAACTTGATGAACCTTCCAGCTCTTTGTTGAAAGAGTCTATAAAATAGATCAAATAAGATGTTAAATGGCACACCCAAGTGCTTCCATTACCATTAACATCAATGATGTTGATAAGGTCACTTTCAGTCTATACAAAAGTTCTCATATTTTGTATGGACACATAGTACCTTGAAAAAAACTGAAGTCACAAGAAATGTCTGTGTTGTTTCTGTTGCAACTGATGAAATAATGAAAGAATGCTTTCAAATTTAATTAAGAATTTACCAGCAGATGACCTTAGAGGGAGTACTGTGTTAAATTAAATAGTGTCTTGGAGTTCCATCAACTTCCTGCCAAGGCTGTTTACTAGTAGAAATGGCACTGAACAAGTAATATTATAGGGAAACAGAAAATGGAATAGCAGTCCATGTATCAAAGAGTAGATTGTTTTTCTGCCCTTGTGCTTGACAGAAACACAGAGACTTCTCATTGCAGTAGAAACCTTTGATGTGGTGTCAGATCCCCTGCTTCCCTCTACTGACACAGTGGGTCCTTTATGACAGCATTAAGAACCATGTATATGTAGTGGGTGAGATCTAGAGTAGAGGTGAGGAATATGTGGACCTCCAGGTTATTTTGCAAATTCCATCAGTTTGTGTCCAGCAGCTGATAAGAAATGATGGGAATTGCAACCAAACAACATCTGAAGTAGCAGACATTCCTTGTTACCTATGTAGCACATTAGTGAGCACTAGTTATGATGGATGCTGGAGGACAGTAGACTTCTTCACAGCAATGGCTAGGGAACACAAATGGACAATGTTGCAGTTTTTGTTGTTGTTCAAAGGCAAATGGCTAGCTCCTTTGGGGACAGAATGCTGAAGTAAATGAGCATGTGATTTGATCCAGCCCTTAGTCCCTATGATAGTTCCTTATACATCACTGTGTAAAATATGCCCTGAACTGGGAGGTATTATCTAATTGACTCTCAGACTGATGAATTAGGCCATGAGCTTGATATAAATGATTGCTTCAGTTCACATTATTTCTACATTGTTCAGATTGCAATTAACCAAGTATGCAACTTTACATTTTATAGACCCTCAAGGAAGAGGGGTAGAGGTTTACTCTCATTCTGTAATAACCCTCCAGTTGGTGTCATGTTGATTCTCTAAGTTTGGTAGCTTGCTTGCTTTGTTTTCAATAATGGATTTTTCTTGTATTTATGATTCCAGCAGTGATATAACTATCAGGTTCGTACACAACATATAGATTTTTTGAAGTCAAAATATGTCAAAATATGTCTTGAGAAGTACCAAGCATTTCCATATGCATTACATTCTTTCCTTTAATAGTTTTGCCTCTGGCTGCATAGAAAATGAGGGGGACATTCAATGCTTCTGCAGAGAAGGCTATACTGGAATACACTGTGAAAGGTACGTTACTGGTTTCAGTGCTTATTTGCTATGTAAAAAGTTCAAGCAAATCCTCTGTATGAAAACCAACACCAGCCTGCAAAGCGGTGTATGTTTTAATTGTGTGCCATATTCACATTTTTGGGCTGGCATCCAAAGGACTTGGGGCCCTTGAAAAGACAAACAGAGCACTCTGCAAACACAAGCTGCTGCCTTTGATTCAGAGTGTCAAAATGCCTCTTGTAATCCAGTGTGATTCTGTGCACCACTTGCTCTTTGACTTTGACACAAGTTTGCGCAGAGTACCTGTCATGCAATGTAAACCTCTGCATACATGCCGAAGATATTGCATCCGAACAATAATGTGAAATGTGGATGCAGTCTAAAGAAGTCTAGTGTGATCCAATGATTTGAAAACTGCCTTCATTTCTCTTACTTTAATCTGCTTTGACTTCTCTCTAGGTCTAGAGCATGTAGGAGACATAATCAAGAAAATGTATATAGTTTACATACATTTGGTGACTCTAAATTTATGACTTATTCAGAGCTTCCTGTGAATAGCTGTGGAAGTCTTTTGGATAGAATCAGCAACTTGCCAACTGAAAAAAACAGAGACCAGAGATAAAAAGGTGTCGCTTCTGGTTTAGTTGAAAGAAACAACAGCAGTTCATTGCTGAACCTTTGCAACGGATACAATCACATTTCAATGTGGCTTTCCCTTCATCCAGACCTTTAGAAAAATCATCTTTGTTAGTTGATTGCTCCCTCCGCATCCCTGTACTAATTTGACTTGCATGAACTTCAAAGTAATCTTTCTTTATGTATATATTGGCAATAATTGAATTTCAGGAACACATAATTTTATTTTGAGAGTCCATGTGTCCTGAATTAGGCTATTTAGACAATGAGAAACAACTGTTACACAACATGTAGTACTTTGGTTCAAACAATCCCTTCTCTGTCCTGCAGGAGTGCTGAAAGACATGTTAAAGTCCAGTTTTCAAGGTTTTTCAGTTGATAACATGAGATCACATCTCTCTAGAGCAGTGGTTCTCAAGCTGTAGGTTCCCAGATGTTTTGTCCTTCTACTCCCAGATATCCTAACAGTTGGTAAACTGACTGGGATTTCTGGAAGTTGTAGACCAAAACACATGGGGATCCGCATGTTGAGAATCCCTGCTCTAAAGTCAGGCATGCAAAATGTTTGGCCTTCCAAATGTTTTTGAACTACTGTTTGTACCCCTCCCAATCACCAATAGCAGTGCTAGCTAAGACTGATGGGAGTTGAAGTGCATCTCGTACATTGGAAGCCCCAGTTATTTCTCATGTTTAGATGGTTGGGAAGGATTTGATGATCCTAGATGGTTCATGTCACTTTTCAGTTTAGCAAAATACTTAATGGGATGTGTATTTCATTTGACAAAATAGGCACTTACAGTCTAAATCCAATAAATACATATATTTGTTATATTTTGTACAAACTTTTCAGTCAGGAGAAGCCATTTCACATGTAAATTAATCTGTATTATCAGTTCTATTTATCTCTGTGTTGATTCATTGTTATAGCTGTGCTCCTGGTTATTTTGGTAATCCACTGCAATATGGAGGATTTTGTCAGAAATGTAATTGCCCTGACAATGGCCAGCTACGCAACTGCGATCGTCTGACTGGAGGTATGCAAATTTGTGTTAGATATTTCTTGAAAGAATACATACAAAGTAGAGACACCTGCCTAAGCACAGGTTCCTAGAAAGTCTCTGTTGCAATTGAAAATAATACTTCCCTTGTGTAAGCAGTATGTAATACAATTAATTAGTTGGACAAAGTTAATTAAGTATGCTCACAATTGTTTACAGTTTCTTCATGCAATGCCATTTTTCAAAAATGACAAACTTTAAGTTCAGTGGAAAAAAATGGCATATTTACAATACTTTCTTAAAAACACGTTTATTAAAATGTGGCTTTCCTTTTGAAATTAAACTTTTTCAGAACAAGTTGTATCTTGACTCAGAAGTCAGTGTAATTTAGAGATCTAAACTGCTATTTCCAGCCATTAGTTTCTCCACATCAGCTATGATAAGCAGGGTAGTTACTTTAGCAACCTGTGATGTCATTGCGGTCTTTCACTTAACTTTTGAAGTCTTTAATTTAATTGCATCACCTCATGGGCCATAATGGAAAATTGTATTTAATTGGCACTCTTCTTGAATATATTATGAAACATATCTGGGGGTGTTGTGCATATGAAGGTCAGTGTTTAAAAATAGCTGAGTGCATACATCAATAGCATTTTTCCTCAATTTGGGCTTTATTTTTTTACCCTAAGAGCCTCATCACACTAGAGAAAAAAATCCACTTAAAATCCGGTTTCTGCCTCCTGCAGAATTCTGGGGTTAGTAATTTAGAGAGGAGCCTTTAACAGCCTCCCTAAACCACAAACCCCACAATTCTACAGGAGTCAGAATGGATTTTAAGTGGATTTTTTCCTCTAGTGTAATGTAAGTATTGATTTTGCTTCTCTTGGCAGTAGATAGACCACTGATTTACCAGGACAGTAGAATGAACTGGCCTTAGATATTCCCTAAAGAGTCGCATTCCACATTCCATAGGTTTATTGCATGTAAAATACTCCCATTTTATTTGGTCGTAGTATAAACTAAACTTCATCAACCAAGGATAACCAAGTTGTGGAATTCAAGACTGAGGCCCATTTTGTGTTTGGTTTCAGTGGCTAAGTAGTCACTGCAGTCTGAGATCTCAGGCTTTAAATCCCTCATGCGTTCATCCACAGCACGGGTCCTTTAGATACCAGAATTCCTCCTCTTTGAAATTATATTGGTACAAAAAGAACTGTGGCGGGAGCCCCTGGTGGCGCAGTGGGTTAAACCCCTGTGCTGGCAGGACTGAAGACCGACAGGTCGCAGGTTCGAATCTGGGGAGAGGCGGATGAGCTCCCTCTATCACCTCCAGCTCCTCATGCGGGGACACGAGAGAAGTTTCCCACAAGGATGATAAAAACATCAAAATCATCCAGGCGTCCCCTGGGCAACGTCCTTGCAGGCGGCCAATTCTCTCACACCAGGAGTCACTCCTGACATGACAAAAAAAACAAAAACAAACTGTGGCATACAGTCTTTCCATTCTCCTTCCAATAACGCTCCCAGTAATCCTTTCAGTGAGCATTACTGATGAACATGGGAAGGCGTGCCTTTGAACACTGCAAAAATAATGTGGGAATGCCATCCTAGAAGAAGCTTTCCAAGAAGTTAAAATGTCATCCTTCACCATTGATCTAATATTTGTTAACCTTTGCTATTTGTGTATTCTACTGCTTTGCTAAGTTGGCATGGGGAAAGTGTATACTACAACTTCCAAAATCCCAACATACATCATTATTTATGAATCCAACCTTTTCCCTGTTGCATTATTCTCACAAAGCAAAAACCTTTTGCTAAAGGTTTGGGGCATGTTGGCACCATAATCAAGCAATAAAGCTGATAACTGTCACTGAACACAAGGCTTTATTGCTTGATTACCTTCCTTTTTACTAAGGCAAAAAGGAGGAAAATAAAGAAAAATAATGTTTGTAAATGATTCTATGAATAAGAGCATAGTTAGGTTATGACTCCTTCAGACCAGGTCTTTAGTTTTCTGAAAGTCTACAGGTATTAATAGATATATACAATATTTGAGTGTATGTGTGTAAAGGATTTCTCACTCAACAAATACAGTATCAGTTTGCAATAACCCCAAGAAAGCCAATGGATAGCACAAACATAGTTCTGATGCAAAGCCATAGTTGCCATTTGGGAAACCTGAAGCTAAGTGTTAGCAGTTACTTTTGATTTTCAGTAAGCATACAGGACATCCATTGCATCAAAATACTTTTCTCGTGATCATTTTAGAGTCTTGTGTTTAGTATCTATGTTGTATCATTTAATTCTTATCTGGCTCTCCCCACCATAATTTCCAGAATGTATAAATCAAGAACCAAAAGACATAGATCCTCATGAAGACTGTGATGGTAAGTAGTAATGCTTGACCAGTCTATGTGTTTGTTTTCAGGGTTTCATTTAAAAGTCCTAACTGGTTTATTTGTTTTATAATGGAAGGCTAGAAAAGCCAACAATACTGACACTTCTGATTTACTTGTATTTGTGACATGCTAGCAGATGGAAATACCTCCCTGGTTTCAATATCTCCTCCCCCTCCTCAAAGTCTGCAAGGTTTTCATAGACTCTGGTGAACAATGAGAATATAACCAATTGGGTGTTGACAGGTTGGCTAGGAGGCTGTTACAGATGAAGTCAAACATAGGTTTCATTCCAATCCACTCTCTAGCTATTAAACCAGACTTTTCTGCTCCTTTCCTCAGTTTACCAGTAGTTTCATCTCAACCTGCCTTTCTTTATTCTGGGTGTATTAAATGAATTAATATCTGTTTCATTAAGTTGTAGTCTTTGTCACAACTTTGGGTGGTTTTACATGAGGTCTGGATCTAGTGTGATGGAAGCCAGGCCTGATGTTCAACATACCTGGTTGGTGGGTTCCTTCGAGAGACCTCAAGGACATGGACTAGTGAGTCATGCCTAGCTTGAGGTCAAGTGACTCAACACTCCTCCATTGTTGGCATGGGAACCAAGAGATTTCTGTCCATGTGGACTTCCCACCTTATTCCCACTTTATTAGGAGAAAGGCACATTGGCAAATTAATTGAATGAATTCCAGGCTGGGATTTATGATTTCCAACAGTTGGTAGGCAGGCTGACCAGTGATGGATCTGGGTCTGTGCCTGTCCAGCTGTAAGGTTTAAATTGTGCCTTGCTGGGCAATAATTACACAATGTATTGTCAAAGGTTTTCACAGCCAGAAACACTGTGGTGTTGTGTGGTTTGCGATTTGTATGGCCATTTTCTAGTAACATTATTCCTGTGGCTGGCATATTCAGAGGATCTACACAATGCTTTTTCCAGTGGATCTGTTTGTAAACTAAATGCCTGAGCATCTTAATGAATGCTGGAGAAGGGGAGAGCTGTTCTGTAAAAAAAAAAAGAATGAACATAAAGATGCATTCAACAAAGGCCAATGAGCTTCTTAAAGTTGTAGCAGGAAATGATCATTTGTGGAAGGGGGGAAGGTTTTTCTGGTGTCAGATCTGGGTTCTTGAGCAGGCTGCGCCAAACATGTCCTAAAAACTAACACTTTCTCTTGTTTGTATCTTCTTTTCCCATTTAGCTTGTGATAGCTGTGTGATTACTTTACTAAAGGATCTGAGTGCAATGCAAGATGAACTCCAAGTGATTAAGTTCCAGATGCAAAATGTCAATGCCAGTACCCACACGCTGGGGCAGATGAAGCATCTGGAAGACCGGGTCAAACAGCTGAAGGTAACTGGAAGAAGAGCTTAGGGAAACAGAGGAACTATACAATAAATTGCTCTTACAATTCAGATACTGTGACAGATATGTGGAGGGGGGGGATTTAACTCCATGAATACTAGAGTCTTGTCAACTTGATCATTTGCATGGTTGTTTCTGGTAAAAGGGAGTAATACTTACCAGCCTTGAGACAACAATGCTGGTTACCTATAATTCAGAGTGCTTATACTTTTTTCATCATGGCTTTTATGAAATCACACATATGGTATACTACATGCTATATCTGGGCTTGCATGAAATGCACTTACCTGGGGCAAGATGATCTTACCTGATTTTCTTGTTCGTAGTTTTCAGGAGTTTTTGTAGACAACAGATGCTCCTCTCCATATTACTCAGAACTGTGTCTAATTACTTCCAAATGTGTGAAAGGGATTGTTGCGTACAGATTTCAGTGGATTTCCACTGTCCCTGATATCATAGACAAACGATAGTTTTGTACCACTCCAAAATAATTTCGAATCTAGTTTTCAGGTTAGTCATACATCTTCTTCTGTTTGGCCTTATTTCCAGATTCTGTTGAACCGCTATCGCTCCGTTATTACAACCCAGGGCTCCAAAGTGGATGAACTGGATACAGACTTCATTGCCCTTAATCAGAATATTAATGCTCTAAGAGAAAAGGTGAGTTCTTTAAATGTTGTGTATTCCAGTGCCCTTGTAAGGCATTTCAAAACAAATACTGACATTTATGGGCTATTATGGAGATTTTAAGGGAAAATAACAGATAGCAAAGATGACTTAATGAGTCTGGTGTTCTTCCAAATGTGTGTTGGAAATCATTCTATCTGTGTCCTGGGTGAAGTTTTTAAATGACGCTTGCATGAGATAGGCACTTTTGATGTTTTCTTTCTAGATTTTAAAGAATGAACAGTGTCAAGTTCACCATTGTCAAATTTTGAGAGCTGTCATAATACAATAGCAAATTGTAATCTGCTATCACAAACTATTTGACAAATGCAAATTTTATTTAAGACAAATAATCATTACTTGCAGCTTCTATTTCAACCCATATTTCTTTTTTATAGGCTGAAAATAATTACAGGAAAGCAGAGACACTGTTCAATAATTTTGGTAAGACTAACCAGAGAGGAAAGGATTTGATTTCAAAGATACAAAGTCTTGTCATCAATATTAATGGTAAGAATAACTACTCTTATTACTACTTCTCCCCCTCCTCCTCTTCCTCCTCCTCATTAGGGTAGAAACTGTGTGCCCTGTGGCTGTGTGTGATCACATAGCCAATTCTCTGTGGGCCTCAGTATCCCAGCGATATCCCATACCTTCCAGTTGTTTGTTCCATTTTAATCAATCTTTGCAGTTTGACTGGAAAAAAATTCTGGTGGCCACAGTTTTGACCTAAAAAGCTTATGGATAAAGGGCTGTCCTGAAACAAGGGGAAACAGTAGAAAACGCAATATGAAAGCAGGTGATTTCCAGTTATCCAGGAGCACTACTGCAGCCTGCCAACATTATCCAGGATTCCTAATATCCCATGTTAAAACAATGGATATGGCTCTTAATGAGACATGCCATAATATCACGGGATGTCTTCACCAAACACCACTGGAGAAATTCTACTGTTTAGCTGGTATTGCATCACCTGACATCCATCGGGAAGTAGCCGCCGGTCTTGACATTGACATCTCCGGCCCATCCTCTTTTCGGATATCAGCCAGCAAACCAACGCCTTATAACAAGAAATCACTTCCTAAGATCTACAGAGATACTCATAGGAACACCTCAGCAAGCGAGAGTCCAAAAGTGCCAGGCTAAAATCCAAAATCTCAATCAGTGGCTGATGCAAGATAAGAAACTCCCCACTGGTTACACAGAAGACTGGGTGACTGAGCAGCCTGAGCTCTGGCACCACGAGATGCAGAGCCAATCTTAAGAAATGGGGCTACAAAGTGGAGTCCACAACATGCGAGTGTGGAAAAGAACAAACCATAGACCACTTACTACAATGCAGTCTGAGCCCTGCCACATGCACAATGGAGGATTTTCTTACAGTAGCACCAGAGGCACTCAAAGTGGCCAGCTCCTTGTCAAAGGACATTTAGTATAATGCCAAGTTTTTAACTTTGTGGTTTTTCTATGCATTATAACTGTATTCTCGATTCACTTCTGACACAATAAATCAATTAAAATAAAATATCCCACACTGCATCCCCATCCCATTGTACGCTACTCAATCAAATTCTCTTTTGTGTTAACAGTTCTATGTCACTCAGTCCTAGATTAACTATGGAAGTGCTTGGAAACATTAACATTTAAGATAATTTCTTCATCTTAATTAATAATAAATGCATAGCATCTTTGCATCAATGTTTCAATTTCTCCAGCTTGCAGTACTTAGTCAGTCTAGTTTAATACATTTTTTATTTACAAGATTTTTATGAATCCTATCAACTAAGTCCTAAAGTCATTTAAAAATGTTTTACAGCAGGAAAATGCAAACATAAGACGGAATAATTTCAGAATGTCAGTTAAAAGCAATATGTATACCATGTAATATAAGACTATCAAAAATCTTCACATAGCCAGCAGAAAATCACTCTTAAAATCAGTAAAGGAGAAAGCAATTACTGTCAAATATTTAAAATGCACTGAAATTAAATAGTAAAAGGCCTAAAGAATATTAATAAAATCCTATAAATACAAACTAAATTAATCAGCCTAACTCAGGCATGGGCAAACTTGGGCTCTCTAGGTGTTTTGGACTCCAGCTCCCACAATTCCTAACAGCCTCAGGCCCTTTCCTTTTCCCCCTCAGCCGCTTAAGCGGCTGAGGGGGAAAGGAAGGGGCCTGAGGTTGTTAGGAATTGTGGGAGTTGGAGTCCAAAACACCTGGAGGGCCCAAGTTTGCCCATGCCTAGTCTAACTCCTACAATAAACAGTCTCAATATAGATGTAAAAGGCTGCACTGTAAATTTGACAACTCGAGTCAACCAGTTACCATGGGAGTATTGTTTTGGGTGCATCTACTTGGCAAGCAGAACTTATACACCATCAGCCCTTAATAACTAGGATGTACCCTGAGCATTAGTTTAAAAAAAACTTCAAATCTGAATAAAGTCAAGACCTCCAGATTTCCTTATGATTTATTTGTACATTATTACATTCATGTTGAATGGCAGTTGAATGGCAGTGAAAAGATCACCATACAAATTTGAAACACATCTTTAAAAATGCCTGGCTCCTCTGATTGTTGATTTTTCCCCCTTCTTGTCCTAGTCCTCCTGAATCAGATACCTGGGACTTCTGGAGAAGGGCCTTCTTTGCCTTCAGGAAATGCTGCTGAAGAGCTGGCTAAAGCTCGGCAAATGGTGAACGAGATGAGAGACCGCAATTTTGGCCAGCAGCTGAGAGAAGCAGAAAAAGAGAATGGAAAAGCTCAAAACTGTAAGAACTAAAAACTGTGCAGAGATGCTGGGATGGAAATGGCTCTGTTGAGTTATGCTTGGATAGTGGAGAATTGTTGGAACCTTTTGAGATGGCCTGAAAAGTTGTATTATTATTATTTGAAACATAACAAGATGAGTCCACAGCAGACAAGATCACTCTGTTGGCTGTTGTATTGGATTACACGTCGGACACTTTCCAAGTGTCAAGGACTGTGTCATTTATTGGAAAATAATGCGTGCAGATCCCAGTAAGGTGGCCTTCTGCAGCTGGCAGATGGTAATTTTGTCAGCACCTATTGTGTTTAAGTGCAGGCCAAGGTCTTTAGGCACTGCATCCAGTGTGTCGATCACCACTGGGACCACCTTTACTGGTTTGTGCCAGAGTCGTTGCAGTTTGATCTTTAAATCCTCATATTGAGTCAGCTTTTCCAGTTGTTTATTTATTTATTATTATTTATTTTATTTTGAGGTTTTATATACCAACCTTCTCACCTTCAAAGAGGGATTCGGACCGGTTCACAACATGTGTTAACATACAAAGAATATACAATAACAACACAATTCCACTTCATTACACGATTAAAATATCAGCACCATACACATTAAAACATTATCATCACAGTTAAAAGAGCCAAATCGTCCAACACCATCACAATCCCATTCATCATCCTCCTTTCATGTGGGCAAAGAATTAAATCAGTTGTCAAATGCCGCGTTCCACAATCAGGTCTTTGTTAGTTTCCCGAACATCATGAGGGAGTGGGCAGTTATGATCTCTAATGGCAGGGAGTTCCAAAGTTGAAGGGCCACCATCGAGAAGGCCCTGTCCCTCGTCCCCACCAGCCGTGCTTGTGCAGGCGGTGGGACCGAGAGCAGGGCCCCTCCAGACGATCTTAGTGGTCTTGATGGTCCGTAGGGGAGAATACGTTCGGAGAGGTAAACAGGGCCGGAATCGTTTAGGGCTTTATAGGTTAACACCAGCACTTTGAATTGAGCATATAGGTATTCATGCACTCATGTTTTCTGCCATATACCACATCCAATCTAAAAAAAGTTACAATTTTGGTTGTCCAAACAGCTTAAAAGTAAAAAAAGAGAGCTTTTTATAATCTGTCAACTGCTATATCAAGTTTTTTTTAACTAAAATTAATATTCTACATATTACTTAAAAGAGTATATATAATTTAGGAACGATAAAACGGGCAACCCAGAGAGAATACACATCTAATGGGTTGCTGTGAGTTCTCTGGGCTGTATAGCAATGTTCCAGAAACTTTTCACCCACATCTATGGCAGGCGGCCTCAGATATTGTGAGGTCTTTGCTCACAACCTCTGAGGATGCCTGCCATAGATGTGGGCAAAACGTCAGGAGAGAATGTGTCTGGAACATGGCCATACAGCCCAGAAAAATCACAGCAGCCCAGTGATTCTGGCCATGAAAACCTTCAACAACACATTATACGTCTAATGCTTGTTTGGCTACAAATGACCTCTCCAATCTGAATCAATTCACAGATGAGAAATTGATCCAGAACAAGTCTATTGGCAAGATGGGGCTTAACCTTTTTTGGGTGTTTATCCTCAGCCTATTTGACTGCTTATGTTCAAGGAAGTTTCTTTTTGTTTTACTTTATACACTCTACAGTGCTGGATCGTGTAAAGAATGAACTTCAGAGGCACCAAGCAGAAAACCAAGGTCTTATTAAAATTGTAAGAGATTCATTGAACGAATATGAATTGAAACTGAACGACCTTCGTGAATCTTTGAAAGAAGCAAAAGAACAAACGAAGCTGGCTGAAACTTTAAATATCGATAATAAAATCCTCTTTGAAGATATTAAGGTAATATTGTGTTTAAAATACCCTGTGCTACACTTAATTGGTTTGTTTGGGTTTTGTTTTTGTTTTTGTTTGTTTTTTGTTTTTGGAGTTACCCTGGACCGTGCTCTGACCTACAAGAAGCACTGCCTGAATATCAAGCAAAAAGTGGGCACTAGAAACAATATCATATGTAAGCTGACTGGCACAACCTGGGGATCACAACCAGAAACAGTGAAGACAACTGCCCTTGTGCTATGCTACTCTGATGCTGAGTATGCATGCCCAGTGTGGAATACATCTCACCACGCTAAAACAGTGGATGTGGCTCTTAATGAGACATGTGGCATTATCACGGGGTGTCTGTGCCCTACACCACTGGAGAAATTACACTGTTTAGCCAGTATTGCACCACCTGACATCTGCCAGGTAGTAGCAACCAATAGTGAAAGGACAAAGGCAGTGACATCTCTGGCCCACCCCCTGTTTGGGTATCAACCAGCACACCAATGACTTAAATCAAGAAATTGTTTTCTAAGATCTACAGAAACACTTGCTGAAACACCTCAGCAAGTGAGAGTCCAAAAGTGGCAAGCTCAAACCCAGAACCTCAATCAACGGCTGATACCAAATGAGAGACTCCCTCCTGGGCACACAGAAAACTGGGCGACTTGGAAGGCGCTGAACAGACTGTGCTCTGGCACCAAGAGATGCAGAAATGGGGCCACAAAGTGGAATCCACGACATGCAAGTGTGGAGAAGAGCAATCCACAGACCACCTACTGCAATGCAACCTGAGCCCTGCCACATGCACAATGGAGGACCTTCTTACAGCAACACCAGAGGCACTCCAAGTGGCCAGCTACTGGTCAAAGGACATTTAATAGAATACCAAGCCTGCAAACTTTGTGTTTTGTTTGTTTGTTCCTAATGCAATACAACTGTTTTCGTTTGCTCTTGACACAATAAATAATAATAATTGGTTTTTAAATGTTGGTCGGTTTGTAATTGATTCTCCTTGAGAGCTATCTTGAGTACCACCCTGGGACAAAAGCAACATGCAAAACATACAAAGAAAGCAAGATTACTGGATTGCTGTGAGTTTTCTGGACTGTATGGCCATGTTCCAGAAGCATTCTCTTCTAACGTTATGTCCACATCTATGGCAGGCATCCTCAGAGGTTGAGGGGTCTGTTGGAAACTAAGTAATCTTCAATGTCTGAGGATGCCTGCCATAGATGTGGGTGAAACATCAGGAGAGAATGCTTCTGGAACATGGCCATACAGCCCTGAAAACTCACAGCAACTCAGTGATTCTAGCCATGAAAGCCTTCGACAATACAAGAAATATTAGTTACAGCTCCGCCAGCCTCTGTTTTCTGATTTCCCTGCCTCTGCATGTTCATGTGTAATCAGTAAACCTTTCATTTCCTTGTCAGAAACGGACTGAGGAGATGTCTAAACAACAGAATGAGATCTTGGATGTTCTGGATTCTGCTGAAGCATCATTGTCTAAAGCAAACAGTGCATTTGTATTGCTGCAGAGGAGTAAAGAGGTATTGAAAAAGTAATGCTTTCATTCTGTGCAGGGAGAAAAAGCAACTGTATCATTGTAATGGAAATAAAATTCATTGCAAAATAATGACTTGATTTTGTAGGCTGAAACAGCTGCTGACAAAAAATGTGAAATGGAAAACATGTTTTTCTTCTCTAATCTTTTATACTAAATTTTCTGTGCTGTGCTCAAAAGCACCCAGGCATCACGATTTGTGGGGAAAGCTGAAACATGCAAAAGACTATAATTTATTTATTTATTGTTGTTTTATAATATGCCTGGGCCACAGAGCAAACAAACCAATGTTTCTCTTAATATTTCAGGAATATGAAACTTTAGCTGCCCAGCTGGATGGTGCAAGGAAAGAGCTCACTGAAAAACTGAAGAGTCACTCTTTAGCAGCTAGCAAAGAACCTCTGGTAGTCAGAGCTGAAGAACATGCCATCTCTTTACAAGACCTAGCAAAAAAGTTGGATGAGTATGTTTCCTTTTTCTGCATATGAATAACTTAAGAATACTATATTACTGTACAGTGTTCCCTCACTTATTGTGGGGGTTATGTTACAGGACCACCTGCAATAAGTGAAAAAATGCAAAGTAGGGACACCCCCTCCCCTTCCCTCCTCACTCTCTTTACCTTCCTCTTCCTCCTCCTCATCGCCGTCTGGGCCTCTTGCCACCACTTTGGCCCTGCGATTGAGGAGGCAATGGAGGTGTCATGGGGCCCAAGCAGCGGCAAGAGGCCCAGACGGCGATGAGGAGGAGGAAGAGGAAGGTAAAGAGAGTGAGGAGGGAAGGGGAGGGGGTCACCTTAATTCTCTTTTGTAATGAATTCCAAGTTCAGTTGTAGGGTCCCTACTTTCTGGAACTTACGATTGCCTAGCTTTTGGACTGTGCTCATACCTATTCTGAAAACAAAGCAAAACAAAACAGGAGTGGGTATGGATATGTTATGATTTTGTTATCCAATTTAAGAACATGCCCCCTTGTTGATTTCATGCAAGGGTTTCTTGGAGATTTACCACTTTGATCCAGTGCAGCATAAAGAGTGTCTTACAGCATGAATTCTTCATATATGAGGAGTGTGGTGGAAGAGTGTCCATACCTTGACCGGGCCACTTCTGTTACACAAGATAAAACGGTAGTTCATAACCAGAAGTCAAATGTATAGTCAGAAATGTTAATAGAAATAACTCTGTGGGTTGCTACATTTTATATTCTGACTTTTCCCTTCATAGGATCAAAAGAAATGCCAGTAATGACGAACTGGTAGCCTGTGCCATGAAAGCTGCAAGTGCCTATGAGGACATTATTAATGCCATCAAAGCTGCAGAGGCCGCAGCCAACAGAGCAGAAGATGCTGCCAATTCAGCCGTATCAGTAAGGACTTGCTAAAATCAAATTGTAAAGGTTCCTTTGTGTCTTGACTATTAGAATGTTTATGCTCAAGTTAAGTTTGTGCATAATAATCTCTCAGGGAAAGGTTTCTAAGATCCACCTTCAGAATAAGGGGTCATAGCGATACCCCAAAGGTATCACCTACATAAATATGAAGTTTCTCCATCCTATTACATTTTTGGTGCGCATGGGTGCTAAGAGGTAAAAGGAAGGGAAGTTGAACCAATACGTAGTCACAGTATAGACTGAGCTGAAAAGCTCACAACTTTATTGGATATGGTGCTAGCGCTGAATATGGCATGGCTCCAACTCATCAGTCAGTCTGCCCACAGACCAATGCCCGGATAAGCTCAGGTTAAGTGAGCAGTGGTGAGATACTTTAATAGCTAGATGTCGGGTTGTAGTGGGTCTACTGGTAGATTTCTAGGTGATTTGCAAGAGATCCCAGGCCTTGGAAACATTGTGTTTTTGCATTGTGGTTCTTGAGGGATTCTTGAACTCATACTCCAAAGAAATAACTTGTGAATCATATCTGAATTTATCATGTCAGCAGCAACTTGAGAAACTGCAAGTCGCTTCTGGTGTGAGAGAATTGGCCATCTGCAGAGACGTTGCCCAGGGGACGCTTGTGTGAGGCTTCTCTCATGTCCCTGCAAGGGAGGCTGGAGTTGACAAACGGGAGCTCACCCTGTCTTGTAGATTAGAACCGCCAACCTTTAGGTCAGCAGTTCAGCCAGCACAGGGTTTAACCCCGTTGCGCCACTGTGGCTCCATTTTACTATGCCATTTGTACATAACTGGACTTGAGCATCCATGGTTTTTGATATCCATTCGGGTCCTGGAACTTAACTACAGTGGATACAAAAGCCTCACTGTAAATGAAGTCACAGCATTTACAAAAGCAACAAGTACAGAAATAACAGAGTAGCAAAATATTAATTTTAAAACTTATGGACTGATCTACTGCCAAGCTATTTGCCAATTCACCTATATCAATAGTTTTCCACTACTACCCAAAAACAATGTGAAAATAAAGTCAAAGCAGGATTTTCAACACTACCAACAACAAAGACAAAAGTATTATTCTCTCCCTTTGCTTTGCTGTTTTCCTTAATTGATGCCTTCTCCTCTTCCCTCCCTTTAATGAGCTTTACTGTACATGGTGGACCTTAGAACACTCAGCAAAAACTAAAATATTGCAGTGCTGAAGTATCTCCTATCGCCTGGATTATGAATTTTAAAAACTTTTAAATGTGTTCTACATGTGCTCTACCTTACATGGCATTGCTTCATTTTCAGACAATGGAGAAGAAAGATCTAGCGGGAAGGGCCAACAGACTGAAGACCAGCAGTGGCAACCTGCTAAATCAAGCCCAGGCAGCACAAAAGACACTGCAGGGTAATTTGAAAGGCAAATCAGTGACATAGTGGTTGATCAAAGCTTTGCAAGATTTTAACATTGCTGTTCCAAGCTTTGCTTTGTTAAGAGCTGATTCACATGTTCATACTGTGTGATGTTTTTTCTTCCAAAATTAATTGTGTACATGTAACAAAATTATTTACCTCAGATAAAATCAAATGTACTCTGATGTTTTGTGATTGCTACACTGGGAAGTCAGTTTTGGAGAAACAAATGTTCCTGCATGAAACCTGGGATGCTAAGATATTTGTCTGTGGACTTTGCAGCTCAAAACCTTCTAGGACAAAGAAGGGCATCCCTGACAAATGTTAATAAAATGTAGAAAAAGATTTGGCTTGTTCAAAAATGAGTTTAAAATGCTGAGAATTAAAGGAGTCAGAGATATGCAGCCAAATATACTTCTAAAACACAACAAATTACACAGAGAACAGATGATATCTAAAAATGTGTGATTCCCTGATTTAAACTAGAAGCAGGATCAGGTTTTGATCAAATTCCATACCTTACTTACTTACTTAGGCGATCCCTCGTTGGACGAGTAAGATGGTCTTCCATTATGGGTTTCCTTCTGGGTCCGCATGTGGCTGTGGAGCCCTATTCTTGCTCTACATCTTCTTCCGCAGTGAGGGCATTGGTTTCCAGGTGGAAGGCGGTCCCGGTCGGGGTTGGCTTGACACGCCTTCCTCCTGGCACGTTTCTCTCTTTCACCCTCCACTCGTGCCTCCTCAAATTCTGCAGCACTGCTGGTCACAGCTGACCTCCAGCTGGAGCGCTCAAGGGCCCGGGCTTCCCAGTTCTCAGTGTCTATGCCAGAGTTTTTAAGGTTGGCTTTGAGCCCATCTTTAAATCTCTTTTCCTGTCCACCAACGTTCCGTTTTCCGTTCTTAAGTTCGGAGTAGAGCAACTGCTTTGGGAGACGGTGGTCAGGCATCCGGACAACGTGGCCGGCCCAGCGGAGTTGATGTTGGAGGACCATCGCTTCAATGCTGGTGGTCTTTGCTTCTTCCAGCACACTGACGTTTGTCCGCTTGTCTTCCCAGGAGATTTGCAGGATTTTCTTCATTTTTTTTACATTTTGTCATTTGTTTTTTTTTTTTTTTTTTTTCCTTTTTTCTTTTTTTTTCTTTTTTTTTCTTTTTTTTTTTCCTTTTTTTTTTTTTTTTTTTTATTTTTCTTTTTTTTTTTGTTTGTCTTCCCACGAGATTTGCAGGATTTTCCGGAGGCAGCGCTGATGGAATCATTCCAGGAGTTGCATGTGACGTCTGTAGACAGTCCACGTCTCACAGGCGTATAGCAGGGTTGGGAGGACAATAGCTTTATAAACAAGCACCTTGGTCTCCCTACGGATGTCCCGGTCCTCAAACACTCTCTGCTTCATTCTGGAAAATGCTGCACTTGCAGAGCTCAGGCGGTGTTGTATTTCGGCATCGATGTTGACTTTGGTGGAGAGGTGGCTGCCAAGGTAGCGGAAATGGTCCACATTTTCTAATGTTACACCATTAAGCTGTATTACTGGCATTGGGGAGGGATTGGCTGGTGACTGCTGGAACAGCACCTTGGTTTTCTCAATGTTCAGTGACAAGCCGAGCTTCTCGTATGCTTCTGCGAAGGTGTTTAGAGTGGCTTGTAGATCTTCTTCTGAATGCGCACAGACGACATTGTCATCAGCATACTGGAGTTCTATAACAGATGTTGTTGTAACCTTGGTTTTGGCTTTCAGTCTGCTGAGGTTGAATAGCTTGCCACCTGTCCGATAGATTATTTCCACTCCGGTGGGAAGCTTCCCATCAACAAGGTGAAGTATCATAGCGATGAAGATGGAGAATAGAGTTGGGGCAATAACACATCCCTGTTTGACACCGGATTCCACTTTAAATGGGTCACTTTGGGAGCCATTGCTGTCCAAGACTGTTGCCATCATGTCATCATGGAGGAGCCGCAGGATGTTCACAAATTTGTTGGGCACCCGATTTTTTGGAGGATGGTCCAGAGAGCGCTGCGATTCACTGTGTCGAATGCCTTTGCAAGGTCAATGAATGCCATGTACAGAGGTTGATTTTGTTTCCTGCATTTTTCTTGGAGCTGTCGTGCAGTGAAGATCATGTCCACTGTTCCTCTGGAAGGAGGGAAGCCATTCTGGGATTCTGGGAGGGTGTCTTCTGAGAGGGGCAGAAGGCGGTTTGCAAGGATTCTTGCGAGGATTTTCCCAGCGGAGGTTAGAAGGGAGATACCTCGATAGTTTCCGCAGTCTGTTCTTTCCCCTTTTTTGAAGAGGGTGATGATGGTGGCATCCTTGAAATCTGCTGGGATTTTCTTGGTCACCCACACTTTTTCTATGAGCTGGTGGAGTTGTTGTGTCAGCTCAGGTCCTCCCTCTTTAAAGATTTCAGCAGGGATCCCATCAGGTCCACTGGCTTTGTTATTTTTGTTGGCTGATGGCATTGCTGACTTCTTCCAAACTAGGCAGTGCTGCAAGCTCATCCCTGGTTTGTTGTTGTGGGATTTGTGAGAGGACCTCTTCGGCCACATTGGAGCTGCTGTTCAGGAGGCTTTGGTAGTGTTCTTTCCAACGTAGTGCAATTGAGTTTTGGTCCTTCAGGAGTTTGGTTCCATCTGATGAGCGTAGAGGCTGTATGCCATGGTTTCTTGGTCCGTAGATGACCTTTGTGGCTTTGAAAAATCCCTGAGCATTATGGGTATCTGCCAGGTGTTGGATTTCTTCGGCCTTCTTTGTCCACCAGATGTTTTTGATGTCCACCAGATGTTCAATGTCCCTTTGGCTCACATTTCCCCACTTTTTCTATTCTACCACTCACATGATATTATGATAGATATTGCAGATTTCCCATTCCTGCTTCAGACCACAGAGAAAGCCCTGTTTATAGGACATATAACTTCTTTATATCACAGATATTGGCCATGTAGGGGGATTTGAAATACCCTGTTTGTTTATAAATTACTACTAAAACTAGTTAGCAGATACATTTGATCTAAATCCAATTGTCAGTCCAAAGAGGACCAAACAATAAACTGTATTGTTGAAGGCTTTCGTGGCTGGAATCACTGTGTTGTTGTGAGTTTTCCGGACTGTATGGCCATGGCCATACAGCCCAGAAAACTCACAACAACCCAAACAATAAACTAACACTTATGTAAACTCCATTGATTCTTTGTATAGTTGGGACCAAAAATTGGAACCAAGTTCTGAATTTTTATTTATCTCCATTTTCTACTCCTAAAACCCCAGTTCTGTGGAAAACTTTTCTCTGGTTGCAAAGTATTGGATTTTTATGAGAAGGCCATGTTTCCAAATTTGGAGCTGAATTTGACTGTAATGCCTTGCAGCTACCATTCTTCCTCTTAGGGAAAGTATAGTTAGAGAGACTAAAGCAGGGAAGCTTAAGTGGAGAGTTTGTTAATAATTATATTGCTGCTTTACTCTAAATTATCTTACAGAAATCAGTCCAGCTCTTGACAATGTTAAAAGTCAACTTCAAGATGCTGAGCGTAAGAAGAATATGATTCAAGGAGATCTCACAGTCTTCCAAAATCAACTACAAGGGATGAAGAGAGGTAAGCAATTTGATGCAGATTTTTATCCTGTATTTATTTTTTGCAGTGTCTATTTATTTATTTATTAGAAAATGGTTTAATCAATTGGGGTGGAGAATAGGAAGAAAATGAGGAGCTGAAATTATTTATCAATGTGGACTACTGTAGACCAATGGTTCTCAACCTGTGGGTCCCCAGATGTTTTGTCCTACAGCTCCCAGAAATCCCAGGCAGTTTACCAGCTGTTGGGTGGACCTTAACACAGTACAAGGGAGTGGTTACTCTTTTTGTCCCCATTAAAAAAGAAAAGATAGATAAATGCCATCATACATCTTTGTGTATCTCTATCTTCCTGCTAGATGACATCGAAAGCATGATCACGAATGCAAAGAACATGGTCAAAAATGCCAACGATATTACTACCAATGTACTTGATGAATTGGACCCAATTAAAACAGATGTTGAAAACATAAAAAACACCTATGGAACCATGCAGAGCGCTGACTTCGACAATGCTCTGAAAAAAGCAAACAATACGGGTAATTCCTGTGCTTCATTAACCTTTCCCAGCCTTTTGAAATGGATATTACCAGATAGTAGAGCTGTTTAAAAAGTTATTAACATGCCAATTTGCCCCTTGGCAAACATATTATGATTTGATGTTGCTAGGAATTTTCATGAACAGAAGGTACCGAAAATACCTCCATAACTACTTGATATAGAAAAGAAATAGGAAATTTCTAGTTTATGTACATAATCATAATCTCAAAATTAGAAATAACAGTGGAGAGCTTCACCTGTCCTGTTTGGGAAAACATGCAATGGGTAAAGCTCCCAAGAGTCCAATGGTGATTTTAAGACAATTTCTATAGCCTTATTTGGTTTAAAAGTGGGCTTTTCTAACCACATATGTTCCAATGAGGGAAACCACAGGATGGATGAAACTTCCCTAAATATTTTTGTGTGTGTCAGGAGCGATTTGAGAAACCACAAGTCACCTCTGGTATGAGAGAATTGGCCGTCTGCAAGGACGTTGCCCAGGGGATGCCCGGGCAATGTCCCACAAGGATGATGTTTTACCATCCTTGTGAGAGGCTTCTCTCTTGTTCCTGCATGGGGAGCTGGAGCTGAGAGAGGGAGCTCATCCACACTCTCCCAGGATTCGAATCTGCAACCTGTCAGTCTTCAGTCCTGCTGGTTTAACCCATTGTGCCATCAGGGGCTCTTCTCTATGTTCTAATCCTCACTCAATGATATAACGCTGTTAGATGATCATGGGGAAATCACATTCTTAGCCACATAGGAAGAACACAGCAAGAAAACCCCTTGAAGCACAGAGTGAGAATAGCTTTATTATCGTGTAGCAAAATGAATCTGTTTGTTTGAGGGAGGTCTTCCAATGTGCATGTGGCAGGGCTCAGGTTGCATTGCAGCAGGTGGTCAGCGGTTTGCTCTTCTCCACACTCACATGTTGTGGACTCCACTTTGTGGCCCCATTTCTTAAGGTTGGCTCTGCATCTCATGGTGCCAGAGTGCAGTCTGTTCAGCACCTTCCAAGTTACCCAGTTTTCTGTGTGCCTAGGGGGGAGTCTCTCATTTGGTATCAGCAATGACTTGAGGTTCCAAGTTTTAGCCTGCCACTTTTGGACTCTCACTTGCTGAGGTGTTCCTGCGAGTATCTCTGTAGATCTTAGAAAACTATTTCTTGATTTAAGTCGTTAGCTAGCTGGCTGATATCCAAACAGAGAATGGGCCAAAGATGTCACTGGAGGACCTCCTTATAGCAACACCAGAGGCTCTCCAAGTAGCCAGTTTCTGGTCAAAGGACATTTAATATAATGCCAAGTTTTTAAACTTTGTGTTTTTTAAATACATTTTCAATTATACCCCTGGTTTGCTTCTGATATGATAAAAAAATTGAGGGAGATATTTTGTTGTTGTTCTAGTTCAAACAAAATTCAGCAGACATCAGTGAATTCCAGCAACTATATGTGTAAATTAAGTGACTTGCATTTGATATTTTGATTTAAAATGATCCCACCTTCTCTCCTTCTTTCAAAAATGTTTCCAACAGTAAACAACCTGACAAGTATCCTACCTGATCTATTTAACAAGATCACCAGCATCAACCAACAACTTATGCCAATAAGCAACATATCTGAGAATATAAATCGTATCAGAGAACTTATCCAGCAAGCGAGAGATGCTGCAAACAAGGTGAGTGGTGGAAACTTCCATTGCTGATTCTTTTCTTGATTCTAATTTGTCATCACATGTTCACCCAGTCTCTTGATTCATATCATCTCTAACACAGGTGCCTTTAAATCCTTTGTAAATAACAGGTAGGCCAAGTCCCGTTGAGCTAGCAATAATTTTCCTTTAATGCTGTAAGCTCGAAAAAGGTATCAGTTTTTTTTAAAATCTGTACTCTCTGCATAGATTTTGTTATATCTGGGATTCATTCAGGTAATCATTGAGATAAGTCAGTTCTGAACAGACCACATACATCAGCTATCACTAAGAAACTCAAAGGATATGCCAGATAATTCGACCTTAATGACATTACCTCAGTTGCTACAGAAGTTCTCATGTGAATAAACATTTAAGGCTGCTCTAAATGGGGCACAGTTGCTGATCGTTGTAATATTAGTTGTTGCATAGCTCTTCTGGCTATTTTCCAGCAGTTCCGGGCACTAGATGCAAAAATTTATTCCTACCTCAAGTGAGTTTCTTTTTAGGTCAGAAGACTTTCTTTTTATACGAGACTGCCAAAGTGAAATTTCAACAAGACAATAGCATCGTTAGCTTAGTGTAGTGCGGTTTTTCACTGAATTCTGTGCAATAGTGCCTTTTCCAATATAGTTCCAATATGTCACCAATCATGTGGCATCAGTAGGAATAGTTCTCCTCCACTCTCCATTCTTTCTCTTACCTTTTCCCTTCCTCACCACCCTCAGCTTATTTGTCATACTGTCATTATTTATTTATTTACTTATTTACTTACAGTATTTATATTCCGCCCTTCGCACCCCACAGGGGACTCAGGGTAGATTACAATGCACATATGCATGGCAAACATTCAATGACATTGACATACAACATATGAATATAGGCAGACAAAGAGACAATTTAACATTACAACTTTGCGGCTTCATGAGTGTATGCTCGATTCCAGCCACCGGGGGAGCTGCCGCTTCACCGTCCACTTATTTTATTTATTTATTTATTTATTTCCAGCATTTCTACCCCGTCCTTCTCAACCTCCTAAGGGGGACTCAGGATGGCTTACATTTGGCATAATTTGATGCCATTAAATATAACAAAGCAATATAACAACAATTAAAACAATAAATAGAATATTAATTAAAACAATAAAAACAGTATTAACCGCCGTATCACCATTCCATATCACTTATGACACCGAGTCCTTGATGGAGTACTTCCTCATTCTTACACACGCTGCTGGAAGGTTTTATGGTGTCGTAAATTAGTTCAATTAGCTTCTCCGCATAAGGGGTACCTAAATTTCCTACTTGACAGATTTAACTGTCTTTTGGGCTGCATAGGTCAACAGCAAGCAAGACTTAATGGTCGGGAGCTCACTCCGACCCGGTGTGGCTTTGAACTCATGACCTCTCAGTCAGTAGTGATTTAATGCATCTGGCTACTAACTAGCCAGCTACTAACTAGATATACCACAGCTCAGTAATTGCAAAATTGGAGTAAAATTGGAGTAAAAATAAAAATAATGATAATGATAAAACTGAAAGACACATTTGGAAGGGGACAGAGCTGAAAAGGTAGAGTAATGCAGTTTTGCAGAATGCAGAATGAGAGACCATAGGTTGCCAGAACAGCATTATTGTGCTAATGCAAAGACATGCAATAATGAATGGTCTAAAACTGGTATGTTTCCATTCCCAACACTAATACAGTTGCAGTGAGACAGCAATCCTGAGACGTATTAGAACAATTGATTTTTTTTATTTTCCTTCTTTCTTTTTATGTATTTTTAGAGTTATAGTGATGAAGTGCAACAGGTCCCCAAGGCATTTGACACTGGTCCCTGGCAGGTTTTCGGGGGGTGACGGGAGAAATAATTGTAATTAATGGGGACAAACATCAGTGAAATGGTATTTTTGCAGCATGATTCAATCACTCCGTGGGGAAAAAAGGAGATGAGAAGAGGACAGAAGGGGAAAATGCACTTCATAACATAGGGCCATCTCAGTAAATCTTGCCCTGGGCTTGGAAAACGTTTGGGGAGCTCTATGCAGCAGCCCATCCCTCTTCCCTTCCCCAAGAATGGAAAGAAACAAACACAACAAAATTCAAGGAGCTATATTGCAAGAACTCACTCTTCTTGGGATTGAAAGACCCTTCAGCAAACAAGCAGAGGTTTTCAAAATAGAAGATAGCCACAAGGAAGGGCATTTGTCTTACATTCTGATAATGATCACTGTGGTTTTCTTATTATTATGCTTTAATGTTGCTCACTCTCTCCAAGTCACAATCGTGACTCAGGTGCTTTATATCATTAAAGCAGAATAATGAAGCTGGTTTTTAGAGCTTAGATGGGGCTGCAGGTAGGAGGGTAAATATCATCTCTAAGTGGAGGTAGAAACCTGGCTTCTCTGATGTGGTGACCAATTATAACCATTTTTTTCCTTCATAGGTTGCTATTCCCATGAGGTTTGATGGCAATTCTGGGGTAGAGGTTCGACCTCCAGATATTCTTGAAGATCTGAAAGGCTATACTTCCCTGTCTTTATTTCTTCAAAGACCTCTCTCACGATTAGACAGTCCACAGCAGACATCTGACATGTTTGTCATGTACTTAGGTGACAAAGATGTAAGTATGTCTCATGTAATTAATCGTACAAAAGAGGTTGACAATATCTGAGTTATATGTAGTCATTGCTTAGAAATTGTGCGGACTGAAGGGTACAGGATGGGATAAGTGGATAATTAATAAAATTCATCAGAACTCTCTGGAGTATTGTAATATTACTGGTCTTTTTTTTTTTTTTTTACAAATTCACACATATTTTTCCTCCAGTGCCCCAAATCTTTGATCCTAATTGTCTACATAAATAAATTACTTTGATGTAAGTATATAAACAAATAATACTTACCTTGGGGCAGGTGAGTGTTATTTGTGTCCAAGCTTGGCACGACCTCATTTGTCCTTGCCCACAAGGTTCCATTAAGGGACCCCCTAACTGTGTCTGCTAGGCTCACTGGCTCCATCTCACCAGCTGAATCCATTCCACGTCTTTTATAGCAGTCTAGTTGGCTAGTTTAAGTGGTAAACTAGTGGTTCTGGCCCAGTTTATCTGTCCAAATGTATCTCCCTCTATGAATCATCTCGGAGATTAAGATGATCTGGATAGGCCCTGCTCTTGGTCCCACCTCTTTTGCAGGTGTGACTGGTGGGAACGAGAGATGGGGCTTTCTCAGTGGTGGCCCCTCAGCTATGAAACTCCCTTACCAGCAAATCAGGTCAGCTCTTTCCATATTGACCTTCAGGAAGCATGTAAAAACTTGGCTCTGGGACCAAGCCTCTGGCCAATAGTGCTGTGAAATAAGTGTAGAAGAATTATGTGCAATAACAACCAGAACAGCCTTGACTATGTCCTCGGATTACATATTTTTAGATGTGTTTTTAATGTTTATATTATTTTTAATCTTGGTTTTAATACACATGTCTAATTTTTACTGTTTGTTAACGGAATCAAATTCCTGCCATTTGTAAAGCTGCTCCGAGTCCCCTTCAGGGTTGAGAAGGGCAGGATATAAATATAGTAAATAAATCAATCAATAAATAGGATGAGCTCAGACTCCTCTGTAAACAGACAAGAACTACACTGATGAGGCGGTATGGCCGCTGCAGAGAAAATGTGTATGGAAAGCTGAATGATCACAAGAATATTGCTGGCACTATTGCCATGAACATTAGGCCCTGAATCTGAACATTCTGAGGGCCATTCTGTGGCTATATTGGATCTGGGAGTTGTGGACGCTGCAATGGCTCCACTATAAATGTCAAATCGTATATATATCATGACTGCTGATAAAATATTTTGGGGCAAGGGATTAAATTTATCAGAAGGCTGAAAACTACAATTCCCATACTTCCTCAGGAGAGATATACCGTTTAGATTGAATGACAACCAGTTTAACCATGATGCTAAGGTTGCGTGCAGGAAGGGCATGGAAAATGGGCTCCAACTGGCTGCCACATGGCAGCCTCTCCTTTTAATCTCCTGCCAGGAAGGCTCCAGCTGATGCTGGCAGCAGTTAATGAGCAGGCAGCGGCATGCCCCTGTCATCCCATCACATCCCCATCACTGAGCTGGAGTGCCCAGATGTTGCTTCCATCCCAGTCAGATGGTCAGATATGTACGCCACGGGGCCAGGATGAATTTAGGTCATCACTCCACATCCCACCCATCCTCTTTTGTGCTTTTAGTTCTATTTGATTTCAGTTTTGTGGGGTGGTTGGCATGAATCTTGGACCAAGGCACGAGTTTTGTATAGAGGTTCCCAGTTCTCAGAGGTGTGATTCGGAGTTGGGTTGACCCAATAGCGTGGGGAAGATTTCCACATCCCTTGGTTGCTAAGCAATCATGGATAGGGTTGGCTCAGCTGATATCTCAGAGCCCCTGGTGGTGCAGTGGGTTAAAACCTTGTGCCAACAGGACTGCTGACCAAAAGGTCAGCAGTTCAAATCCAGGGAGTGGATTGAGCTCCCTTCTGTCAGCTCCAGCTTCTCATGTGGGGGCCTGAGAGAAGCCTCCCACAGGATGATAAAATATCTGGGTGTCCCCTGGACAACATCCTTGGAGACAGCCAATTCTCTCACACCGGTAGCGACTTGCGGTATCTCAAGTCACTCTTGACTTGCAAAAATGCTGGTATCTCAGACCATTCCTGGGGAATCTGACACTGAGCTGAATTGATAGATCAATCAGTGAACAAGTGTGTTGAACAATGCCTGGATCCAGACCCATATGTGTACTAACCCTTAACTACAGCCGTTACCCAATAAAATTATGGCTATTTTTCTCCAAGCGATTTTTCTTCAATCTTTATTGTCACTCAGAGCACCTCACACCTGATCAGACAATCATTTAATCTGAAAATGTGGAAACTCTATATTCTTAATCTGTTTTCCTGTCTAGAGTTCCAAAGACTACATTGGCATGGCTGTTCGGGATGGCCGTCTTATTTGTGCCTACAGCTTAGGAGGCAATGAAGCTGAAATAGAAGTTCTTGAAACAGTGTCCGATAGTGACACCAGGGATGCGACGATGGATCTTGTGAAATTTGAGAGGTACAGGACTCTGTGATAAAGACCTCCCTGTTCTTTTTATGGACTCATATTCTGAGCTCTCTAATTATCTCACCTTTCATTTTTCTTTCTCTTTAGAATTTACCAATATGCAAAGCTGAACTACATTAAAGGTGCAACCTCCTCTTCACCATTAAATGTGGGACCTTATGAGGACAGCAGTGGGGATAATAATGTCCTCCTCAACTTGAATCCTGACAATGTGGTCTTCTATGTTGGAGGATACCCACCAGATTTTACAGTAATCTTTTTCTACGTTATGGAAATACTGTAATGAGAAGGGACTTGTAAACTATCATTATATATGTTCTGTGATCTGCCCTGAGTCTCCTTCGGAGTGAGAAGGGTGGAATATAAATACAGTAAATAAATAAAAATAAATTTCACTAGTCTTAGTATAATTGCACTTGTGGTTTCTAAATTCAGGTTCCTAGATGTTGGAAAAGACCACAGTTCAAGCCTCTGGTGCATAGGAGGCAAAGCACTTCTGTTCATAGATTTCAACTGCCCAGATCTACAGCAAGCATAGTTGGGAATTTGCGGAACTGTACTCCAACAATATATGAGGATCTAAATTTGGGAACTATTGCATTATTCCATACATTCAGCAAGTAAATGCCCCCAGATATTTAATATTTGCAACTATATGGGTTAGCTTTTTGGCTTTTTTCTGTTCAATAAAAATTATTGGAATGTGGTATCCCAAATCTGGTTGCACAGTCTGCAGTTCCTATAAAATGCAGTCCTGGAAATACAGTATTCTCTCTCCTCTCATTGCAGAGTCTCATAGCACAGCTGTGTTTACATTGAGAATTATAAAAATGATGCTGTTGTCTCTGAAAGTTGTTTTTATTCTTCCAGCCTCCTGATACACTGAATCATCCTCGGTATGAAGGCTGCATTGAATTTGACAGTTTGAATGAGAGAGTTCTAAGCCTGTACAATTTCAAGAGGACTTTTAATCTCAATACTACTTTAGTACAACCATGCAGAAGGTAAAAAACACCTTAGCAACAAAAGAGTGGTGAACATCCATAAATGTTTGTATCCAGTGTATGGAAGTTGTGCAGTTGATTTTGGTAAGCATTGCCTGTATTTTTGTCTCCATCTCAAAATGCTGCACCCCAGTTTCATCACCTGTAATGATCTGGGACAAAAGTGCCTCTCCTTTGGCATCAAAATGCTCCCACAATTCAGAAGAGGTTGCTTTCCTCTTAATCTTTTCTTCTGTGAGACTTTGTGGACCACATTTTGAGCAGACTTTTGAATATTTGAGAACCATAATTGAACACATACTTCCAGTGCTTACTGACAGCTGTTGGGCAAATTGTCATGTTAATCAACAAGAATAATGGCATCTATGTGGTTCAACGTCCCTGGAGTGTAGATATCGAGGGGTATAACCTCTTTCACAGAAACCGAACAAAGGGGAGAGGAGGCGGAGTAGCCTTATATGTCAAAAGCTCTTATGCTGCAGAAGAGATTCAAGACAGCAATCTGGGAAACCAGCTTGAAATCATCTGGATAAGAATCAAGGGAACTGGGACTCAAAAAGATGTCGTTGTAGGCGTCTACTACAGACCCCCAAGCCAGGAAGAAGAACTTGATGAAGTCTTCTGCCAACAGTTGACCAAACAGGCACAGAGAAGAGATGTAGTAGTCATGGGCGATTTCAACTATCCCGATATTTGCTGGAAAACAAACTCGGCCAAGAGTACAAGGTCCAACAAATTCCTCGCTTGCCTTGGCAGACAATTTCATGGTCCAGAAGGTAGAAGAGGCAACAAGGGGATTGGCTACTCTTGATCTCATCCTAACAAATGCGGAGGACCTGATCGATGCGGTCGAAGTAGTAAGATCCTTAAAAGGGATTGGCTACTCTTGATCTCATCCTAACAAATGCGGAGGACCTGATCGATGCGGTCAAAGTGGTAGGATCCTTAGGGGCAAGTGACCATGTGCTCCTGCAATTTGAGGTACAAAGGAAGGCCGAAACTAAGACAAGTCAAACCCGCATTTTGGACTTTAGGAGAGCTGATTTCCAAAAATGAAGGAAACGCTGAGCAGCATTCCGTGGACACAGATACTAAAAGACAAGGGAGTTACGGATGGATGGGAATTTCTCAAGAGTGAAATACTCAAGGCGCAATTGCAAACCGTGCCAACAAAGAGAAAAAATAGGACAAGCGCAAAGAAGCCAGAATGGATGTCCAAAGAACTTCTAACTGTGCTAAGACACAAAAGAGACATGCACAAGAAGTGGAAAAAGGGAGAAATCACCAAAGAAGAATTCAAACAAATAGCCCACACCTGTAGGGAAAAGGTCCGCAAGGCTAAAGCAAAAAACGAGCTCAGACTTGCCAGGGACATTAAAAACAATAAAAAGGGCTTCTATTCTTATGTCAGTAGAAAAAGGAAAAACAAGGAGGCGATAGGACCTCTTCGAGGAGAAAATGGGGCAATGCTGACAGGGGATAGGGAAAAGGCAGAACTACTTAATGCCTTCTTTGCCTCGGTCTTCTCACAGAAAGAGAGTCTTCAACCTCAGCAAGATGGAGTGGATGAGGGATTGGAGGACATCCAACCCCAAATTGGGAAAGAAGTCGTCCAGGAATACCTGGCCGCTCTTAATGAGTTCAAGTCCCCAGGGCCAGATCAACTACACCCCAGAGTATTGAAGGAACTAGCGGAAGTCAGTTTCGGAACCATTGGCAACCATCTTTGAGAGTTCTTGGAGAACGGGAGAAGTTCCAGCAGATTGGAGGAGGGCCAATGTGGTCCCAATCTTCAAGAAGGGAAAAAAGGATGACCCAAACAACTACCGTCCGGTCAGCCTCACGTCAATACCGGGCAAGATTCTGGAAAAGATTGTTAAGGAAGCGGTCTGCAAACACTTAGAAACAAATGCAGTCATCGCTAATAGTCAACATGGATTTATCAAAAACAAGTCATGCCAGACTAATCTGATCTCTTTCTTCGATAGAGCTACAAGCTGGGTAGATGCGGGGAATGCCGTGGATGTAGCGTACCTGGACTTTCAGTAAGGCCTTCGACAAGGTCCCCCATGACCTTCTGGCAAGGAAACTAGTCCAATGTGGGCTAGGCAAAACTACGGTGAGGTGGATCTGTAATTGGTTAAGTGGACGAACACAGAGAGTGCTCACTAATGCTTCCTCTTCATCTTGGAAAGAAGTGACAAGTGGAGTGCCGCAGGGTTCCATCCTGGGCCCGGTCCTGTTCAACATCTTTATTAATGACTTAGATGAAGGGCTAGAAGGCATGATCATCAAGTTTGCAGACGACACCAAATTGGGAGGGATAGCCAATAGTCCAGAGGACAGGAGCAGAATTCAAAACGATCTTGACAGATTAGAGAGATGGGCCAAAACTAACAAAATGAAGTTCAACAGTGACAAATGCAAGATACTCCACTTTGGCAGAAAAAATGAAATGCAAAGATACAGAATGGGTGACGCCTGGCTCGAGAGCAGTACTTGTGAAAAAGATCTTGGAGTCCTCGTGGACAACAAGTTAAACATGAGCCAACAATGTGATGTGGCGGCAAAAAAAGCCAATGGGATTTTGGCCTGCATCAATAGGAGCATAGTGTCTAGATCTAAGGAAGTAATGCTACCCCTCTATTCTGCTTTGGTTAGACCACATCTGGAATATTGTGTCCAATTCTGGGCACCACAATTCAAGAGAGATATTGACAAGCTGGAATGTGTCCAGATGAGGGCGACTAAAATGATCAAGGGTCTGGAGAACAAGCCCTATGAGGAGCGGCTTAGGGAACTGGGCATGTTTAGCCTGAAGAAGAGAAGGCTGAGAGGAGATATGATAGCCATGTATAAATATGTGAGAGGAAGCCACAGGGAGGAGGGAGCAAGCTTGTTTTCTGCTTCCTTGGAGACTAGGACGCGAACAATGGCTTCAAACTACAAGAAAGGAGATTCCATCTGAACATTAGGAAGAACTTCCTGACTGTGAGAGCCGTTCAGCAGTGGAACTCTCTGCCCCGGAGTGTGGTGGAGGCTCCTTCTTTGGAAGCTTTTAAGCAGAGGCTGGATGGCCATTTGTCATGGGTGATTTGAATGCAATATTCCTGCTTCTTGGCAGGGGGTTGGACTGGATGACCCATGAGGTCTCTTCCAACTCTTTGATTCTATGATTCTATGAGTGTTGGCTGTGACACACAGTAGATTACAGAGCTTGGCTTCCTGGCACTTAAACTCTTGTACTCCCCCACCCAACAGTGCTCCTATCGACTGCACAACTCCCGTACGCTACACATAAAAGTAAACTTTCATTTCCATGAGCCAAGAATTCAATTGCAACTTGTTGCTAGTGATAGGAATCTGCAACACATACCATTTTAAACTAGAGTTTCCTGGTGGCACAGTGGGTTAAACCACTGAGCTGCTAAACTTGCTGACTGAAAACGTTGCAGGTTCAAATCTGGAGAGTGGTGTGAGCTTCCTCTGTCAGCCCCAGCTTCTGCTAACCTAGCAGTTTGAAAACATGCAAATGTGAGTAGATCAATAGGTACCGCTCCGGCAGGAAGGTAATGATGCTCCATGCAGTCATGCCAGTGTTTACAGACAATGTCAGCTCTTCGGCTTAGAATTGGAGATGAGCACCACACCCCAGAGTCAGAAACCTTTACCTTTACCTAGAATTCTATCTTCTGTCAGAATAACTTGAAATTTGGTGGGAATGGTGGGAAAAACATCATGCAAAGGTGCACTTTTCTATCTTTGTTAATAGCTGACAAAACAAATGTGGGGCATTATTTTTTGAATGACCCTCGAATGTAAATATGAACACAATAGCATTGCAGTAATGTTCTATATGTAGTTTTCTATCACTTTGTAATGACATCTCCAAGCCACAAGACTTAGTGAAAGGATACAATACAGATGTTTGAATCACAAGTTGAACAGGGTTGAATAGAGTCTTAAAATTGAGTTGCTTGTTCTGTGATCCATTTTCTATCCAGATTCTAAGATGACCAGGCAGGTAGACATTTTGCCACACATTCAGCATAATTTATTCTCTTGATAGGGAGTAAAAACTTCCTTCCATGTAACAGTACAGGCAGTCCCTATGTTATGAACAAGATAGGTTCTGTAGGTTTGTTCTTAAGTTGAATTTGCATGTAAGTCAGATCAGGTACATTTTAAAGTGGATCTCCAGTTGTATGTGTCTCTGTGTGTGCATGTATGTACACATACATACATACATACATACATACACACATGCTTTGGATAGCACAGGGAAGGGTTAACATCCCTGTTGTGTTTGCTTTGCTGTCTGTGCCTCTGTTCAAAAGATTTCACCTCACTTTCTGACCCTGAAATAATTGGATTTTGAAAAATTGGCTTGTTGTGTAAACAAGAATTGGTAAAGCTTCAGTGGAGAGACCTTTTCCCCTTGATCACTCTTTTACAAGTGAATTTCCCTTCCTGGGGGTATATTTCTTTCATTTCCTGTTGTCTCGCTCCTGTTCTTAACCATGAGTCATTTTTAAGTCGGATGTTTGTAACTTGAAGACTGTATACTGTATTTCTTCAACTGTAAGATGCCATCAATTGTAAGGTACATCCTAATTTCAGTACTACCACCAATAAAAATACATAAGATACATCCCATTAGTAGGGATGTTTGTTTAGGGGAAAAAGTGAGTATTAGAACTGAAGAAATACAGTAATATTAGTGATGGATTGAAAGATTCATCTGCAGAAGGGTAGTTTTAGTGGTGCAAGGCAATCACCTTCGTGGGAATGAGAAGTGGTTGCATGGAACTACAACTTTTTATTGTGTGAGCCACTTGGGAAGAATAGGATGGTAACCGTTTTCATTTGCACATTACCTTCTTACAGATACAAAGAACAGTCTGCCAAAATCTATTTTGAAGGCACAGGTTATGCACGTGTTAATGCTGCTCCTCCAAGTGTCTCTCACATACGGTATGAACAAACTATTCAGACTACTGCAGATGAAGGACTGGTATTTTTTGCTGAAAATCAGGTAATTTAAATGTATGTGGACAGCTAGAGGTGGAGGGCTGAAACCAACTGAGCATTGTGAAAGTCATTGATGTAAATTATGCTTCTTAAAAATTCTGTCCAGTGGATAAGTAGATATGAACTTCAGACATTTATGACTCTTGAACTGCTATCAGAACATAATTATGTATATTGCAATATGAAAAAAGTTGTTATTGTGTGCTTTCAAGTTGTTTTCAACTCATGGTGACCTTAAGGTAAACCTACCAAGGCATTTTCTTGCAAGACATATTCAGAGGGGGTTTGCTATTGCCTTATCAGAGACTAATATGGTGTTACTTCAACATTATCCAGTGGATTTCCATTACCAAGCAGGAAACCCTGATTCCCTAAAATTCTACTGCAACACTTCTATGCCATGTGGACTCTGAATAAATATGCTTCATTCCGCTACATTACATTATACTTTTTTTTTCTAAATTGTAGGACAAGTTCATCAGTTTGAGGATAGAAGACGGTCATCTAATATTCAGATACAAAGTAGATTCACAGCCCCCGAAAGAGAGAGAGAGCTCACAGGTCATCAACAATGGAATGGATCAAGTGGTAAGTGTCTCCCCACCTACCATACCCCAAAAGGAAATATTGATAATGTAATATTTTTAAATTGATACATAAACAGTGTGCCAGAGGGATAGGAGAATACCTGCCATTGATGATAGCTGTCGGCATTGATTGAAGACAAATGACTGTGAAACTCTGCCTAAGTTTTGGAAATATGAGCTTTATTTGGGCATACAGCCCTTTGATGTTTTTCTAATTTATAAAGTCTATACCATTTTGAAAAATTAGATGTTAATAACCTGCTTGTCGAGTAATTCACCATGATCAAAAATGTGTTTATAAAGCTTCTTTTTTGAATTCAAGTAGAAAAATGGTCAAGTAGAGTAGGAAACATTTAAATCAGAAAATTGAAACATTTGTCCCTTTTACAAAATGAAGTATTCCTGGCTGTCATCTTCTAGCTCTTTTATGTATTCTTAGTTCAGAGAAGTAATTATTGTTACTTTTACCTAGTTGTATATTGTTTTTTCTCAAACCTGATGGAGAAACAAAGGTAATTTCCCTTAAGCTTTTCTTGCACTGTTTAAAGTCTTTTGTTGTTATTATTATTATTTCAGGTTGTTTTACATATTGCTCCTCAGCAATTTACTCTGATTGATAAGTTTACAGTACAAGAAAGGGCAACTACATTTCGGTTTAATTCATACTACTTGGGTGGAGCTCCAAACTCTTTAAGAGAACGGTGAGTTGCATTAATCTTGAGAATAACGGCTAGCTAGAGCAAGCACATTGTGGCCCATTATGCTCAATGCAGTTGCTGCCTCTCCTTGTATGTAATGTCAAGTGTTAGAATTGCCACTCACATTGAAAATTATACTATGTGATGGCTGGCTGCATGCAGTTTAGTAGATCACAAGTTGTCCAGTATTTATGTATATTAACTCATAGAGAAAAAAGTGAAATCGTATGACACAACAGTCTTGTCCAAAGTTTGAGCTGAAATGGGGACTTCTTCTTATAAGAACAAAGGAAACATTCTTGTATTAGTCACTGTGTGTTAGATGATTAGATATTTTGATTTAAGGAGCAAGCATGCTAATGGCTTGGAAAAAGGAACTAAGTCTTATTGTTGGAACTAAATTCTAAGATGTGAAAGATACTCAGGTTGTAATCTAACCTAGGTACACCTTGAGAGAGCACTCATGGGAAAAGGAGAGGTGGAGAAACATCCGTAAGATTATCAATTCATCATAGAGGGGTCAGGATAGTTGGACATAGAGCAGCGTTTCTCAACCTGGGAGTCGGGACCCCTGGGGGGGGGGGATCGCAAGGAGTTTTAGAGGAATCACCAAAGATCACCAGAAAACATATATTTTTGGTGGTCTTAGGAACCCCTTTGTCAGGCTGAAGATCTCTCCACCTGTCCTTCTCTTCCTTTTTGGAAACAGATGGCGAATCCTCCCACCAAAAGCCCTCCTCCATTGTGATTGGCTGGGCTCTCAGCCAAGTGGAAGGCTATTTCTCCCTCTCAGCCCAAGTGCATGGCAGCATGGTGATGAGGGAGAGCGTGTATGACTGGAGGTTAACTATAAATCCCAGCAACTTCAACTCCCCAACTCCACAGTATTCACATATTGGGCATATTGCGTATTTGTGCCAAGTTTGATCCAGATCTATCATTGTCCACAGTGCTCTCTGAATGTAGATGAACTACAACTCCAAACTCAAGATCAATGCCCACCAAATGCTTCCAGTATTTTCTGTTAGTCATGGGAGTTCTGTGTGCAAAATTTGGTTCTATTCCATTGCTAGTGGAGTTCAGAATGCTCTGATTGTAGGTTATCTATAAATCCCACCAACTACAACTCCCAAATGAAAAAATCAGCCACCATCACACCCCCCCCCCCCCAACTCAACCAGTATTCAAATTTGGGCATATTGTGTATTTGTGTCAGATTTGGTCCAGTGAATGAAAATACATCCTGCATATCAGATATTTACATTACGATTAAAAACAATAGCAAAATTACAGTTATGAAGTAGCAACTAAAATAATTTTATCCTTGGGTGTCACCACATCATGAGGAGCTGTATAAGGGGTTATGGCATTAGGAAGGTTGAGAACCCCTGACATAGAGGAAGGATGTTTCAGGCCACTCAAACTATCTAACCCTATTACTCCTGTTCACTGTGAGGCATTCTTCACTCTTCACTGCCAAGCACTGTTGCATTTCCAGCAATATTAAGTTAGTGCAGTGGTTCCCAACCCATGGGTTGCAAAGCCTTTTTTTCTGTGGGGTCTCCGGTCAGTGGTGAGCTATAAAAAAATTTAAATGAAATTTTTAAAAGTTTTACTTCTTGTTGTTTCTACATCTCTGTGAGAGTGGATTATCAATGCTTCTTCCATTGAAAACCAAAACAAGAAACATTAAATATTGAGAATGATATGAGATTGGCATTAATGAAAACCCAACTGTGAATTTTAAAGCTTGTTAATGAGTTACAGTTTTAATCATTGCAGCTAACATTATTTTGAACTATCTTATACTGAAAAAGCCTACATTTAATGTATTGGGAATGTGCAAACTTTGCCTCTATAAAATGGGATTGCAACTCAAAAAAGTTTGGGAACCACTGAGTTAGAGCATTCGCCTATCTAGTATTGTCTACAACAGGAGTGGACAAAAAGCTAATGTCAGTGGGTTCTACAAGTTTCTCACTGGACCTTGAAGATTTAAACCCCATATTTTAAAAATCCACACAAAGTGGACCCTTTAGTGGAAAATATGCGAGATGGGGGAAGGGATCCTATTTTGTCCTTCTCCAGTCTATTTTAATCCACTTTGAACCCTTCCTCCCAGCCCTAGAACAGGTATAGCGGGGAAAGGCAGAATATGAGATGGTGAAATTGCTCTCAAGGGTGAGCCTTTTGAGTAAAGAAAAATGTTAACAAGATTAAAAGATTTGTGAAGACCGTGAGGCCCCCAAATGATCTGGAGAGAGTTGCATGTAAGCTCCAGTTCAGATTTCTTCACCCATGGTCTACACCAGTGGTTCCCAACCTGTGATCCATGAACCACCAGTGATCCCCAAGAACTAAAATATGGTTCACAGCCTCACCGTTGCAACAAGAGCGACTGGTCTTGTAAAATCCTGTTATAGTGTCGAGACAATGGAGATGTTGGGAGGGGAGAGGCTGGCTACCTATGAAAGGTGCGACAACAAGCCTCCTGACTGCTTCTTCTCCTTCTCCTCCCTCCCCCTCCATCCATGTGATGCCTGAAAGTGTGGGCACTTTGGTGTATTCGTTTTTAGCCCTATTCCTGGGGTTATTTGGGGTGCTGATCCAGAAAATTGCATTGGATAGACCACATCAGCTCTAGATGATTAAATATGATTTTCTGGGGGCAAGCTGATGGTGTCTACTGGATGGCATATGTTCTGTATCAGAAACTAGAACTGATGTGGTCTAGCCAATGCAATTTTCTGAATCAGCACCCCAAATAACCAAACTGAATCTAAAATTGAGTCATAACCCTTTTGGTACTAATATTGGAGAGTGGTCCCTGGTCAAAGTGGTCCCTGGTCAAAAAAAAGTTGGGAACCAGTGGTCTATATTGTTTGTCAGTAGCTTTCCAGGAACTTGTTGTTGTTCATTCGTTCAGTCATCTCCGACTCTTCGTGACCTCATGGACCAGTCCACGCCAGAGCTCCCTGTCGGCTGTCACCACCCCCAGCTCCTTCAAGGTCAGCCAGTCACTTCAAGGATGCCATCCATCCATCTTGCCCTTGGTCGGCCCCTCTTCCTTTTGCCTTCCACTTTCCCCAGCATCATTGTCTTCTCTAGGCTTTCCTGTCTCCTCATGATGTGGCCAAAGTACTTCAACTTTGTCTCTAGTATCCTTCCCTCCAATGAGCATCCGGGCTTTATTTCCTGGAGGATGAACTGGTTGGATCTTCTCGCAGTCCAAGGCACTCTCAGAACTTTCCTCCAACACCACAGCTCAAAAGCATCGATCTTCCTTCGCTCAGCCTTCCCTAAGGTCCAGCTCTCACATCCGTAGGTTACTACAGGGAATACCATGGCTTTGACGAGGCGGATCTTTGTTGCCAGTCTGATGTCTCTACTCTTTACTATTTTATCGAGACTGGACATTGCTCTCCTCCCAAGAAGTAAGCGTCTTCTGATTTCCTGGCCACAGTCTGCATCTGCAGTAATCTTTGCACCTAGAAATACAAAGTCTGTCACGGCCTCCACGTTTTCTCCCTCTATTTCCCAGTTGTCAATCATTCTTGTTGCCATAATTTTGGTTTTTTTGATGTTTAGCTGCAACCCAGCTTTTGCGCTTTCTTCTTTCACCTTGATTAGAAGGCTCCTCAGCTCCTCCTCGCTTTCGGCCATCAGAGTGGTGTCATCTGCATATCTGAGGTTGTTAATGTTTCTTCCAGCAATTTTTCCCCCAGCTTTGCATTCATCCAGCCCCGCACATCGCATGATGTGTTCTGCATACAAGTTAAAAAGGTTGGGTGAGAGTATGCAGCCTTGCCGTACGCCTTTCCCAATCTTGAACCAGTCTGTTGTTCCGTGGTCAGTTCTGACTGTTGCTACTTTGTCCTTGTACAGATTCCTCAGGAGAGAGACAAGGTGATTTAGTATGCCCATGCCCATTCCAGGAACTAAGCAGAGGATTTCTTAGTCTCACCTGGAGATTCCAGAAATCGTACAATTAGAAATATGTGTTCTTCCATTGACCTATATCTTCCCGTGCAAGCAACATATTTGCTAATTATCGCCCCTCCCCACTTTCCCATTCAAATGATAATTTCCGGAAACACAAATAATGTTAATCTTCTTTATAGTAGCAGGAAACTGCATGATCTCACTCCCTTAATTAGCAAGGACTTTGGCATGAGAGGATAATCCATAAATATGTTGCTGCTGCCACTGATTGTTCTTTTTGTTTTGGTAAACAATTCCACTGCTTTCCATTATTAGTCTCAATTACATTAAAAAATCTTTTGCTAAGTTCTTCAGTGGATGATGATTTACATTTATTTTATAATTTTTGAGTTTAAGTTTTAGGAAATAAATCCATTCCTCAAATGACATCTTTCTTAATGAAAAATGAGCTCCAATAAAAATTGGATACTGCTTTATTCTTCCTTGCATTGTTTCAGAAATCAATACAACAGGATAATTTAATTAAAGCTTAGTATTACTAAACCTTTCCTATGTTCACGCCTGTAATTACTACACCTTTGAAAACATGAACCTTGTACAATTTGATCCTTATAAACAGAGCTAAAATTATGTGCAATAAGAATGTTTTGAGAAGTATATTATGATATGCATGAATGTGTTCTCTGAAGACCTGCTACCATGTTGCCAAATTAAGATTGTAAGAAGACCTCTGCTAAGTACCTTGTTTCTTGTTCTCATAGAAGAAGAAAATGCAGCTTATTTGTGAATTGTCCTCTCATGCCAAATCCTTGTCAATTAGGGGTGTGAGATCATGCAATTCCTGCTACTATAAAGGAGATTTACATTATTTGCGTTTCCTGAAATTATCTTTTGAACAGGAAGATTGTTGGGATGGACAACTAGCAAAGAGATGTAGTTTATGCTGGGCTATTCCTAAATTTCTCTCTGTGTGAGTGTGTCTTCAAATTGTCAGTTAATTTCATAGCGTTTTTTTAGGCTAGTAAAACTAAAATGTAGTTTTGCAAGATCCTTCCTCTGAAATATAGCCTACAGCAACTCATACTTATTAGTGGACTTCCATCCAAGTATTAACCAAAGCTAGCCCTTCATAGTTTCCAAGATCAGATGGGATATGGTGTCTTTAGGGTCTTTAGGCTCTATTAATATACGTACCATTCATAATCTGTATACTTCTCCTTTAGAACCAGCTTTGTATAATTACGTTCAATGCTATAGAACAGGCATGGGCAAACGTTGGCCCTCTAGTTGTTTTGGACTTCAACTCCCACAATTCCTAACAGCCTACTGGCTGTTAGGAATTGTGGGAGTTTTTTTTAGTCCAAAACACCTGGAGGGCCAAAGTTTGCCCATGCCTGCTATAGAAGATAGCAACTGTCACATCTTGTGGAAGACAATTCCACCATTCAATGTCATGCCATCTGTTTTGTCTGCCCTGCGTCTCCTGCCACTTGGCTTCACTTGGGACGAATTCACATTAGTGTTATAGAATTGAGGCTTTCATTTCCCTATCACCCAGTTTGCCCCTGTAGTTTAGGGACATCAGGATTTCTCTAGTTAAGAATCTTAAGTACCCCACCCTAAACTACATTTCCCAGAATTCTGCAGGAGCAAACCAGGTGATTGGGAGACGAAAGCCTCTGTTCTATAATGCTAATGTGATCTCGTCCTTGGTGACCCCTGGTTACAGAATTAAAAGTGTGGACTTTACTGCTAACCACTTTCTTCAACTACGAGTTTTAAATGCCATGTTAGTATATCTACTATATTTTAATTTTGTTTTTACCATATTGCTTTTTAACTTCTTAACTTACCTAATGTGGAGTGTTAGCCCATGTTGAGTTCCCAAAGGCAGGGTATAAATAAAGATCATAAATAAATAAATATTAATAAATCGTCATCAATCATCATCATCATCAGAGAAGTGAGCAGTTGCTGGATCTACTTGAACCATTCTCTTATCTAACTCCAGTTGCTTGTAGTTCCTTTGAATATAGAAATGTTGAAACATTGCTTTCTGAGGAAATGAGGTGGTGCCCTGAAAATACATTCAGTACACATGCATACTTTTTATCCAGAGTAAATAAAGAGGCCTTCTAGCTTGTAGATTTCCAGTTCACAAACACAGGCATGTAGGATATGGATCTGAATGTCCATCACAAATCATTCTCATTCATGACTTCATCTTCTAGTTGTTCTGGCCACTGTATTAAATGCCAGATTTGAGTTCAAGAAGGGATTACAGCCATGAAGCAGTCTAGAGTAAGTCGTAGTCTCTCAGCATTAGTTACTGAATTACTCTGTGAAAATAAGTCAGATAGACAGCTAAACAATTCTTTACAACAGAAGAAGGAATTTGGTAGGAATGAATAACAGCACCTTCAAAGGTTCTTATTGTTGTTTTCATTTTTTTTCTGGATGTAGCTTTAATATAACCACACCTCCGTTTCGTGGGTGTATGATGAATGTGAGAACTTCGTTTGAGTCTTCCATTAGCTTCTCTGAGACTCTTGGTGTCAGCAGAAAATGCCCTGATGATTGGAAGGTAATATGTGTTTTCTTTTGAGATTGCATCCAGTACATGCAAGATCCATTGGATTACTTTTCACTCATGCTTTTAAACTCTAAAAAACTCCTTCGCTGAAGTGAGATTTTTGTAAACCCCAGAGAACCCCAGAGCTCACTGACATCAATGCATGTGAGATTTGTTAATCGTACCATAAGTTATTAAGAACCTTCAAATATTAAGAAAGTAAGCAAGTAATATAGGAACAGGACTCACTTCTGTGTAATGGAAAACATACTCATGATTATTCATTGTGTTTTTAGATTGTGAGAGTTGCAAGTTTTTCCAAGAACGGAGTACTTGGTTTGAGTGATGAAGGCTTTCAGTTTCCCAATGATTTCCAAGTTGGCTTTGGCTTTCACACTCTGGCACTTGATGGAACCTTGTTGAATTACAATTTACGGGTAAGAAAGATGCAGTTGTTAAATTGCACTATAAAGCTTTTCGGCTGAAAAATCTCATTTTTTTGTAATATCAACCAGGAAGTTTTCTTTTGTGGATAATTGTTTGTTTTTGTTTTGTTTTTGTTTTTTAGTCTGATATATTTAGTGTTCTCCTGAGAAATGGCTCTGTAATTGTAATGATAGCTGATGAAGAAATCCAGTCTAGCAAGAGATATGGAGATGGTTTAATTCACTATGTAACAGTGATGAAAGAAGGCGACACGTAAGTCTGGTATTTTGATGATGGGACAAATCTGATGCTTTACTTAGAGAAGATTATCTTTCATTGTAAATATCTAGATCATTTCAAACTTCACTAGGATTGGTGACAGCATAGATATTAATCTTAATAGACAACAGAAGATATTGAAACTCTGTATGGTGCACTTCATGATTCTGTATTATATCAGCAATGGCAAAACACAGACCTAGGGATTTATTGCTTTAAGGGCCAAACTAGCATTAACATATAGTATTTAAGTGGCAAGCAGTAGAATCCCTCCCACTCTCTCGCATAATGTTGATTTCCGTGGTTTTCGTTGGATTACAGTTGGGATTATAAAAACGAAACCTTCCATTATAACATGCTGTGATTCTAATGCAGCTGCAAACACCTTTTTAAAACTTTTCAACGTCCCATTGTGGATGAATACTACACCGTTGTGTTTTAGTATTAGGCACACAAGCTGGCCTGACTGAGATATTAGGAGTGGTGCATCCTACTCTCCTCATCCCACAGTGCCATGTGGCTGAGAATATGAGCTGATGGGCAACATTTTGTTTTGGGTTTTTAGCATCCGAATTTAGTCTTAAGTAGGAACCAGGGATCACAGTTGTTTTTTTAAAAAACCCTGCAAAGCTCATGGTTTAAAAAAGAAACCCCACGGCAAACAAGGAAACTCCACACTAGAGATTAGTTTGGATACTTTTAGTCTCTTATTCATAATGCAGAGTCTCTTATTCATAATGCAGACATAGTCTCTTATTCATAATGCAGAGTTGAGATTCTATATGGTTGAAACTGAACATTTTTAAAGCCATGTGAGAAAAGAGAGAGGTGTATGAAGTCTTTGCTCGTGCTTGTTCTAGCTTGTGCAAGTAGCATTAAACTATGATTTAGTACTGGATTTTGGGTTGCATGCTGCAAGTCACTTCTGGTGTGAGAAAATCAGCCATTTATGAAGATGTTACCCAGGGGACACCTGGATGTGTTACTATCCTGCGGGAAGGTTTCTCTCATGGCCCTCAGGGTCAGAGAAACAGATGGCAAAAACAGGAGAACGGCCTACCTCAGGGGGGCGTGCTTACTCCATGAATGTTTAACATCTACACAAATGATCAGCCATTGCCAGAAGGGACAGAGGGCTTCATCTATGCTGACGACTGTGCCATCACTTCTCAAGCAGGGAGCTTTGAAATGATCAAACAGAAGCTCTCCAAAGCTTTAGGTGCTCTTACTGCCTATTACAGGGGAAACCAGCTGATTCCTAATCCATCCAAAACACAGATGTGTGCTTTTCATCTGAAGAACAGATACACATCCTGAGCTCTGAGGAGTACCTGTGAAGAAACCTCACTGGAGCATTGCATCATACCAAAATACCTGGGAGTCACTCTGGGCCGTGCTCTGACTTATAAGAAGCACTGCTTGAATATTAAGCAAAAAGTGGGTGCTAGAAATAATATCATTCGAAAGCTGACTGGCACAACTTGGGGATCACAACCAGACACAGTGATCTATCCTCTGTTCAGATACCAGCCACCACACCAATATCTTAAATGAAGAAATAGCTTCCTAAGATCTACAGAGATACTCATAGGAACACCTCAGCAAGTGAGAGTCCAAAAGTGGCAAGCTAAAACCCAGAACCTCAAGCCATGGCTGATAGTGAATGAGAGACTCCTCCCTGAACACACAGAAGACTGGGCGACTTGGAAGGTACTGAACAGACTGTGCTCTGGCACCATGAGATGCAGAGCTAATCTTAAGAAATGGGGCTACAAAGTGGAGTATAATGCCAAGTTTTTAACTCTGTGTGTGTGTGTGTAATAACTGTATTCTCAATTCGCTTCTGACATGATAAATAAATAAATAAAATACTAGATTTGAATAAACACTATGGGTTCTTTGCTTTCTCTTTTGTGGACCATTTGTGCAAACAGCTTACAGAAGCCATGATTGGAAGCACTGTATTTTAGTGTGCAGTGCCATTTCACATTCCTTTGTGGAACTTCCTTTTCACATTGTATGTATACTGGGTTCTCTTAAAAGAGGAGATCATGCAAGCAAGAAATCCTTTAAAGTTTAAACCAACTGAAATGGCTGCATCACGATCAACATGACATTTTGGCTTTCTCTGTGTAAACGAAATAATGAATGTAATTGCTCTTCCTCCTCCGTGTTTTTTGTATATGTACTTGCTCTAAAATATTATTTTCACATCTCTTTTGATGTTTGCTAGGAAGCAAGGAATCGTGATAGTTTGTTGACATCAATCCAACTAAAGGAAAAATAAAATGAATAGTAAAATGATGCAATTATTAGGAAGCATGTATCTGCTGTTGATTTGTATTGGCTTGATTCGTGGGGAACTTCAATGAGTTTCATGTGACAATCATCACAATCATATGATAAACCAGTTGGCTGGACTTCCCATTATTGGTTTGCTATCACAGCTAGGTTCTTCTCAACTCATGAATGCAAACTGCTGGGAAGCAACCTGGCATGGGACAACTTTGTCTCATGACATCCAATTAGTCCCTCGATTTCAGTTTAGAAAACACGGAGACAACAATCACATTCAATGTTTTCTGCCTGAATAGTAACTTGGAGCATAAAATTGTTTATATGTAATAACTACATGAGATTTTTAGAGGCATTTGTGCAACTCCAGAGGAAAGAGCATATAGCTTGTATAGGTTCTTTCGCTATCCAGAGGTAAACTTGGACTCTTCATTTGTAAGGGGTGCTAATTCACAACAAAAGGGACAGTGTGCGGCCACATACTTTTACATAAATAGTGCAGAAGCTCACTACCTCTGAGGATGCTTGCCATAGATGCAGGCGAAACGTCAGGAGAGAATGCCTCTAGACCATGGCCATACAGCCCGAAAAAACCTACAACAACCCAATGCAGAAGCTGATTCCGGTATATTACAGAGCATTGTGTAAAAAATAGAGAGAGAGAGAGAAGCACTCCACATAAGTGATTTTGTCTACCCTGAGGATTGAATTAGCCAAGCCCTTTACCCCTATTATCCTTTGGAAGGAAAAGGCTATGCTTGAAATACTATTAACCGTTCCAAGTATATTTTTTAAATGTGAAATTAGCACCTGTCAGCAGTAGGGCATTTTCAATAGCTATATCTTAGCTTGCATTTTCTTAGAAATGGACAAAGAAGGGGCCTTAGGCCCCTTCTACACTGTCATATAAAATCCAGATTATCTGCTTTGAACTGGATTATATGGCAGTGTAGACTCATATAATTTGGTTCAAAGCAGATGATAAGGATTATCTGCTTTGATAATCTGGATTATATGTCAGTGTAGAAGGAGCCTAAGATTTCAAGATCTGTCTGCTATTCTGTGTGATCTCTTTTACTAAGTTTATTGCTTGAGTAATTGTTTTAATATTTTTGGTTGGTGTTAGTTGAAATGTACTCTACGCTATAATCTACTTTGGGAACAATGGTTAAAGTTATGTTATGTAAGAAACTAAATATTAATAGTCCTATTCTGAAAACTTTGCTCTGGTTTTCATTTGTTCTGTTTCAGGCTTAGAGTGATAATTGATGATGTCCCTGAACTAACAACATTTCCTCTAGCTGGAAGGAAAATGTCCAGTCAGCCAATAGACCTTGGTGGTAATAATTTTGAAGGCTGCATTTTCAATGTCTTTATACAAAGGTAGGAATATGTTAATCATTTTTATTTACATGGCTTGTTGTACTTACTAGAGCTGATCATGGAATATTCCAAAGATCAATAGGACTTGTTCTGTTTTCCAGAATACCCACATTTATAATGAGCAAAAGAGAATTATTAGAATACATGGTGCGCTTGAGAACATGACCGAAAAAGAACATCTGCATAATTGGAAGTGGAAGTAGAATACGCAGCACATATGTACTATATATAAAAATAACGCTGCCTTGTTCAGACTATCCTTTCCCCATGTTGATTACCTGCACTTACTCTGCATTTTTCCTAGTCTCCCATGTGGGCTGTTTGGAAACCATTTGGGCACAGGCACAGTGTTCTCTGCATGATATTTTCTTATTCAAAATATGTAAACGCACTGTTACGAAACTTCAACATTCACATCACTGCATTGATGCTGCTTAATGTTGCTATTGACATTTCTCTAATATTGGCCTCAACATTTTTTTCTACCCCAGATATCAACACATGTATCTTCTCCTTTGTATTAGCTTTTAAAAAACACAATTAATGGAGGTGTTACTGTCAATCTACTCCAAAATTACAAATGTGGAATTGGCAAGTTTTTGTGAAGCATGTAGTCCACATGAGGAATTTATGTGGTTATTGGTTTTTCCCCCTAAGTCTAGATCTGCACTGTCATATTATTCATTGTCTGAATGCAGATTATCTGATTTTAACTGGATTATATGGTAGTATGTACTCATATAATCTGGGTTAAAGCAGATAATCTGCATCCAGAAATTGGATTCTATGGTCAGTACAGATGGGACCTAAGGAAGGCCTTTGAATCAATTAGGATCTAACTGGATTTTTTTGCTTCTCATACTACATTGCATTCCATTTAGCAGCTGGAAAATTTGTATGTGCCATTTTTATTGGTAGGACATGCCATTGAGAAATAAATTCAGCCTCAGAAGTTCACTTCTGAAGGCAGCTGTGCCCAGAATAAGCAACCGCAGTATAGACAATAACATTTTTGAAACTGTATGTTTCCACCTTTCAGTTGACTAGGTTGTCACTTAGAGATGCTTTGCCTTCTTCAAAGAATCCTGCACCACTTTAAGTAGGTTTCTGGTTTTTAGCTTGTTTGACTCTCAAGAGGAAATGTGTAATTATTTTAATATTTCTTATCTCTATTCCAGAAAAGGACAACCTCCTCATGTACAAAGTCTAACCAATAATGAGAGGAAAACTGATGTGTCTCTAGGATTCTGTATGATAAGAAAAGAACCACAGCCAATGCTACTGCGAGAATTAGCAGATGAGTACCCTCCATTGGCTTCGAAGGTATCCTCTTTTGGCTTTGGAGTTTTCAAAAATAGACAGAGAACAAAGCAATAATCCAAAATGTATGCATCCATAAAATGGTAGTTTCGGTTGACTAGCATTCAAATTTCCTTTTTAAAGACTATGAATCCCAGAATTGTTCTGTTACCATCCTAGGCAATTTGGTGGATAGCAACCTTAAAAATTGAACTTTCCCAAGTTCTGTTTAGTTGCTCTAGGATCTCTTCTTAAAGCTTCTAATTAAGTTTAGCTTCTGCTGACTTGAGACTCTGGTGAAAAGCAAGCTGTCCATGCAATTCAATGCCTGTCTTTGCAGTGCTTCTCTGCCTGCCTGCCTTTTTTAGTTTTACATACTGTCCTAGCTGGAATCCAGTATAGCACTGATTCATGTGGTTCTGTGTAGCAATTAGGGAATGATAAACATGCAGGGAAGAGAGTTGGATGATCTTAGTGCTACATAAAATGAAGATTGGAACTAAATACTCTAAAGACACCACTTCCCATTTGATCTTGAAACCTAAGCAGGGTCAGCTCTGGTTAGTAGTAGTAGTAGTAGTAGTAGTAGTAGTAGTAATGGTCCCAGTGGTAATTGGCACACTGGGTGCCATGCCAAAATATCTCAGCCGGCATTTGAAAACAATAAACATTGACAAAATTACAAACTGTCAACTGTGAACTGCAAAAGGCCATCTTATTTGGATCTGCGCGGATCATTCAAAAATACATCACACAGTCCTAAACACTTGGGAAGTGTTCAACTTTTGATTCTGTGATATGAAATCCAGCATATATATCTTGTTTGCTGTGTCATACTGTGTTATTGTGTCAGTATAACAACAACAACAACAACAACAACAACTTTATTCTTACACCCCACCACCATCTCCCTGAAGAGACTTGGGGCAGCTTTCATGGGACCAAATGTCCATAAGACAATAAAATAATACATTAAAACAAAAACACAATTAAAATAAAAACATAGTCAGATAGAACTTTTTGTCCAGTTAAAAATAAAGTTAAATAGACATAAAAGTATAAAACATTAGCATTAAAATTCCATCCAATCCAATCTTGAATGAGAATAGTCAACAAACACCAGGTGCTATAGGCTATATTTCAGAGGCAGTTAGCAAACTCATTTGCCTAAAAGCCCTATGAAATCCAGGGAGCCACCATAACTCAACAGGCACCTTGAAGGCACATATACATACCATATATGAAGATCCCGAGAGAGTCACAGAAAGAGTTAGAAGCTGAGTGAAATACATTCTGTGCATTAAAGCGGTGTTTCTCAAACTCTGCTGCTCCAGATGTTTTGGACTTCAGCTCCCACAATTCCTGGAGGGGACTTCTGGGGGCTGAAGTCCAAAACACCCAGAAGAGCAGAAAAACACTGCATTAAAGAATGGCTCCCTTTGCTAATAAATGTTATCTTTGTAAGAATGACTACTAAGATTCATTAACAGTAATAAGTAGCCTGATCGCAAACTATGGTTCTGACTCCTGATAGTAAATGTATTATTCTTGCTTTAGTTATAGATCCTAAATATTAATTGAGATGCATTTTCAATATGTTCATAGGATTTCAGTGACTGGAGAATCTTTCTATCCAGTACTACACATAACTTCATTGCAATCTTGTGTCTGTGTACTCCAAAGCAGATCTCTGTACATTTATTAATACATATTCCAAAAGATTGTAGCCTTAATCAGTTGAATTTCATTAAAGCCCTTCTGTATAGCAATAACTGCCTACAGTAACTGTTGTAAATTTTCTTTAAAGTGAGGCTCAGAGGTACTGGGTAATATAATCAGAAAGGCCACATAAAATGTGAGAGGAAAATTATATTAATATCTGAAAATTTCATGTTTTTTTCCAACAATTTTTGAAGTATCCGCCTAAAAGAGATCCTTAGATTTATGACAGAAACAAGGAAACAGAAATACAAGATGAAACAGGATAAAAGAGAGGAGTAAATGTAGTGTGCAATGAAATACGTAATTCTTGTTTCTTCCTTTACCACTTCGCAAAACAATGAAGCCCGATTTTGTGTTATGTTGCAAGATGTGACTGTGCCAAACATTTTTTTCCTTTACTTCCAGTGGAAAAAAGCCATGGGCTATCTGAAAGAAGCAAGTTCACAGCAAAGCAACAAAGATTGTGCTCTCCACAACCCATTACATTTTGTCACCGGAGCTTTTTACTTTGGCAATACCCCTTACACTTATTTGTCATTTACACCTTCTCAAATGTCATCAAGAGACCGGTAAGGAAATGAACCTTCGTTCTAAACATTTTTCTTTCATACAATTGTAGAACTTCATGAGCAGTCTGTTGGTCTATTCATACTACACAATTGTAGCACTATGTCCCGCTTCAACTGCCATTTTCTATCCTATGGAATTTTTGGATTTGAGTCTCCTTTGTGGAGAGAAAAAGTGGGGTAATAATAATCATCATCATAGAATCATAGAGTTGGAAGAGACCTCGTGGGCCATCCAGTCCAACCCCCTGCCAAGAAGCAGAGAAATCACATTCAAAGCACCCCCAACAGATGGCCATCCAACCTCTACTTAAAAGCCACCTAAGAAGGATCCTCCACCACATTCCGGGCAGAGAGTTCCACTGCTGAACAGCTCTCACAGTCAAGAAGATTATTATTATTATTATTATTATTATTATTATTATTATTATTATTATTGCAGTTTAGGGAAGGGCATTTAAAATTATCAGTCAAAGACTTTCCATACCTCTGTTCAAACTGCAAATCCTAGGATTCCATAGGTTGCAGCCATGGCAGCCGAAGTAGAAAATAGCAATGCATTTATGTAAAGTGAATGGGCCCTGAGTGCCTGATTTACATTCCCTGGTATCTTAGAATCATTTTCATATCATGTTGCTAAAATCAGATTGTATGTTCAGAAGCACTAGCAATATAAAAAGAGAAAGCATGTTTGACTATTCATATGATAAGCAACCTTTGACATAATATCCTGAATTTGCATCTCTGCTTAACCTTGAAGGACACTGGATATTTCTGAACAAATTTCCCCCTTCACCACAAGGTTACTGAGCATGTTTAAAAGATAAGAACTGCAAAACATTATGTGCACGAAACGTTAGTATGATGAAATGTTTCTGCTTCCCAATTTTCTATATCTTTCTTGCTTACTCTTTTTGGCACCTAAGGTCACATTTTGCGGTTGATGTTCACACAACATCATCTAGAGGTCTGATCTTTTTCATGGGAGAGAAGCTGGAGAACAGATATATAGCCCTTTACCTTTCAAAGGGACGTTTCATCTTGCTGCTTGCTGCTGATGGAAGAAAAATAAAGATCAAGAGCAAAGCCAAATACAGTGATGGACAATGGCATACAGTGAGTGCAAGAGCAGCTCAAATTAAAGAATCCAGCTGTTCATTCCCTACTAGAGTACACAACGCAACTTTCTAATTCAGTTTCTTCCTCTTTTGGTCTCTCCCAAACTGACATTTCTTGCCACATAAATTGTTTCTGAATGTTCTGTGATGTCCTTGTAGGTCATCAAATTCATACAGAGACTTCATTACTGATATCAAGAACTGTCTTTGTATATTATAACATTATATTTGTGGAGTACACAAACAAGTGTTCTCCAAGATACTCTGCTTCTCCTTCCTAAAGAACAGTACAGGTTATATGATTATGTTCGTCTTCCTTTAGTGTCACCTCTTAAATATAGAAATCCCTCCACCTTTAAACTAGAGCTGTTGTACTGGCACCGGTCATTACGTTCATATAGGGTTCCCTTTCAACTGAATCCTGGAACCAACAGGGACCACTGTTTTCTGTGTGATAATACACTTTTGTGAACAAAATGGTACTAGCCATCTGTAACAGAAGGTATGTGGAGCCTTGGGAGAAATTTTAGAAAATGGGAGTTAAGCATACTTGGTGGCAATCAAATATTGACAGGAAACAGAGTATGTTGGAAAATGGCACGGCTGGCATTCCACAATGCAACTTCTTCCCCTACCCTTAAGTATAGTTAAAAACAGAAAACATCATTGCTGTGAGTTTTCCGGGCTGTATGGCGTTTCGCCTGACGTTTTGCACATATCTATAGCAGGCTGTGAGGTCTGTTGGAAACGAAACAAGTGAGGTTTATATATCTGTGGAATGTCCAAGGGGAAATAACTCTTGTCTGCTTGAGGCAAGTGTGCATGTTGCAATTGGCCACCTTGATTAGCATTTAATGGCCTTGTAGCTTCAAAGCCTGGCTATTTGCTGCCTGGGGGGTCCTTTGTTGGAAGGTGTTGGCCCTGATTGATTCTTGTCTGGAATCTCTCTGTTTTTTGGGTGTTGCTCTTTATTTACTATTTTAGAGTTTTTTAATACTGGTAGCCAGATTTTGTTCATTTTCATGGATTCCTCCTTTCCACTGAAATTGTCCACATGCTTGATTTCAATGGATTGCTGTGTAGTCTAACATGGTAGTTGTTAGACTAGTCTCCAACAGACCTCTCAACCTCTGAGGATGTCTGCTGTAGATGTGGGTGAAACATCAGGTGAAAATGCCTCTGGAACATGACCACACAGCCTGGAAAACTCACAGCAACCTCATGAAAGCCTTGACAACACAGAAAACATCATATGTGCCTCTGTTGCTAAAGAAAACCATTAATGAAAAATATATGCTGCTGAAGGCTCCTGAGCATATAAACATTTAGGCATGAAAGCAGATGCATTCATCTGCCCCACCTCCAGTTGGAATGCCACTTTTGCTTTTTGACTGGACAGTCTACCAGTGGCTTCACATTTCTCTGCAACTGCGACATTGCCCTGCTTGTGGGTTTTCCAGGAGCCTCTGGCTGGTCACTTTGATATGATGATCCAACTGGGCTTTTCCTACAATCATATATTCCATGAACGGTTTTTTAAAGCATGAACTATATAGTGACTATATCAGAGTCCCCATGGACAACCAGTTAAACATGAGGCAACAATGTCATGCAGAGGCCAAAAAAAAAAAAAAGCCAGTGTAATTTTGGCCTGCATAAATAAGAGTATAGTGTCTAGATCCAGGGAAGTCATGCAACCCACCTATTTTGCTGTGGTCAGACCACACCTGGAATCACACGGTGTCCAATTTTGGGCACCACAATTGAAGGGAGATGTTGACAAGCTGGAATGTGTTCAGAGGAGGGCAACTAAAATGATCAAGGGTCTGGAGAACAAGCCCCATGAGGTGCGGCTTAAAGAGTTGGGCATGTTTTAGCCTGCAGAAGAGAAGGCTGAGAGGAGAAATGATGAGGGCCATGTATCAAAAGGTGAGGGGAAGTCATAGGGAGGAGGGAGCAAGTTTGCTTTCTGCTGCCCTGGAGACTAGGATGCAGAAGAATGGCTTCATGGTACAGGGAAGGAGATTCCACCTGAACATTAAGAACTTCCTAACTGTGGGAGCTGCTTAGCAGTGGAACTCTCTGCCCCAGAGTATGGTAGAAGCTCCTTCTTTGGAGGCTTTTAAACAGAGGCTGGATGACCATCTGTTGGGGTTGCTTTGAATGCGATTTTCCTGCTTCTTGGCAAGGGGTTGGATTGGATGGCTCACAAAATCTCCTCCAACTCTAGGATTCCATGATTCTATGACTTCAAAGATCAGGGATGGGCAACTATAGAGGACTAGGGGGCACAACAGATTAACTGAGAGGATGTTGGTTTCAACTTATTCACCATCTCTATGTGGTCACTAAGATATATTTAGGACTGTGGATATCACACATTTCAATAGGTGTATAAAACATCAAAATATAGTAATGGCCAGTTATTTGTGAAGAACTTAGCTTTCTTTTTAAGAGAAGAAAGCTAAGCAAGCTTCTGGCCCTCATAATTATTTAGTCCTTGAGTCTGTGGGTGACACTTCGTAAAATCTTAAGATAATGTGATCACTGCATTGTCAAAAAAAAATAGAGCTGAGTTATTGTGTATTGCTTAGTCTTTCAATAATACGTTGATTAAAAACCTTATGTTTCTCTCTGGAAAAGGTGGTGTTCAGCCGAACTGGAAAGAAGATGCGTCTCGTAGTTGATGGTCTGAATTCCCGACAGGGGAATATATCGCCTGCTTTCTCTATCAGGACTGATTCTCCGATCTACCTAGGAGGAGTTCCTTCATTAAAAGTTCAGGTAAAAATGGACTATTGATTGATGTGGAAGTAGGTAATGGGGGGCGGGAATAGTTTTCAGTACAATGGCTGGATTTCAATCTTGAAAGGTGTTCAGGGCTGCATCCCAGCAGTGAGTTGTGCGAAGGGCACAGGATGAGGAGCACAGGTTCAGAACAGGTGATACTAAAGCAAAGTGGATGGTTCCACATGTAATTTTTACTAAGTTGGGTCTTTTTAGCATTAACTATACAAAGCCCATTTCAGTTCTATGTAGTGTGTTGCCAAGCAAGCACCAATATAAATCTTCTTGGGCATCAAAGGAGATCTTAGGTCTCTGTATTTAAAGTTTTTTTCAGTTGTAGCGTGCTCAGAGTTTAACTGTTTTTCCTTTTGCATGCCTTCAAGTTGCTTCCATCTTATGGTAAACCTAAGGCAACCCTATCATAGGGTTTTCTTGGCAAGATTTGTTGGGAGGAATGGGACAAAGTGTGGGTCATCAATGTTGCAATTCCAGATGACAGCAGGATTGATGAGAAGCAACTGGAAAAGCTTACACGATATGAGAATTTAAAGCCAGAACTGCAAAGACTCTGGCACAAGCCACTAAAGGTGGTCCCAGTGGTGATCGGCACACCGGGCACAGTGCCTAAAGACCTTGGCCTGCACTTAAAAATAATCAGCACTGACAAAATTATCATCTGTCAGCTGCAAAAGGTCACCCAACTTGGATCTGCACGCATTATTCACTGGTACATCACAAGTCCTAGACACTTGGGAAGTGTCTGACAAGTGATTGAGTACAAAAGCCAGCATGGTGATCTTGTTTGCTGTGTACCAATCTTGTTGTGTATATAATAATAATAATAATAATAATAATTATTATTATTATTATTATTATTTTTCACCCGCCTCTCCTTACGGCTCGAGGCGGGTTACCTTTTTCATCCCTTTTCTATTCCTTTTCAAAGTTAAAGTTATGACATCTAAATGATGCCTAAAAGTAAAGGAAACCTTTATTAATCTGTTCCTAGAGTTGACTGTACAGAATATTAGGCTGCTGAAGTACATATGACTGAATGTAACAATTTTCATATATATTATATGTATATGTATTTCTCTTTTCAGAATATACCAAAAAAGAGCTTTGTGGGATGTTTGAGACATTTTAATGTGGGAGGAAAGCCTGTACACACTTACCATCAGAACAGTGGTGTCTTGCCTTGTTTGGATAACACTTTGGAGAATGGGATCGTTTTCTTCAATGAAGGGGGGCATGTTGTCATTGGTGAGTACTTTAACAGAAGTTGCTGGTTCTGATTATCAAAAGCTTGGCATTCACTCAGTGGAGCAAACAGAGCTTCCATTGTGTCAAAGCTCATTTAGAGCACAACCTTAACTCACTGAGGTGGCTGTGGGCCAGATGAGTCAATGCTAGGCCAGCTGAAGATGTGTTTAATCCAAATCCCACCCAGCCTAGGAATTTCGGACCATATGGACCCTGGCTCAATTTTGTGCCAGCATAGTGACTGTGTCCCTGGACTGGTGAACATTTGGACTTGGCATAATATGGTTCTCTCCACGCCTCTGGCTTCTCCTGTTTTTTGGCCTTTATTTTGACTGATCTCAGTTGTATCAGTAGATCCTCTAGCCGAGATCAGTTGGCAGAAGCTGGTGCAAAGGAAATTCTGCTAATACAAGAAGCTTCTTCCTATTTCTAACCTCCTGTAGTTGGCACATCTTTTGTGTAAGAATTGTGCTGTTAGTCTTTTCTTATGAGTGAGGGCAGCCACCTGCCTTTGGGGGAGGGAAGATGTAGAGCGAGGAATGAGCAGACCTAAATGATTTGAGGTTATATGTACTTCATTTTCAATACGCTAGTCCCTTCCTTCAACCCTGCAGGCCAATCACAATCATTTTTTCAAATTTGGAAAAAAAATTAGATGATTTCTTTCAATTTTGGAAAAAGATAGGGTGGAATTAGCCTTCAAATGGAGATTCGTGCCCCTGGAAGCTTCTGAGAAGTCCATTTTGGAGCCTATTTTTGCAGCATGGCATGCCTTGTTGTAGTTCTAGTAGTAGGCAATGAGAACAAATCATGGGTTTTATTGGGCTGCCAGCAGGAAGCACAATTCCCATTCATGTTACAGAGATCCTACTTTTCTTGCACACCTTTTCACAGACCCTTGCAGCAATTAAGCAGTGCCCAGTTATAATATCTAAAAACCACAAAGTTAAAAGCTTGGCATTATGCTAGATTTCCTTAGATCAGAAGCTGGACACTTCAAGTGCCCCTGGTGTTGCTGTGAGAAGGTCTTCCATTGTGCAATTGGCGGAGCTCAGCATTGTACTAGGTGGTCTGTGGTTTCTCTTCTTCACACTTGCATGTTGTGGACTCCACTTTGTAGCCCCATTTCTTAAGGTTAGCTCTGCATCTCGTGGTGCCAGAGTACAGTCTGTTCAATGCCTTCCAAGTTGCCCAGTCTTCTGTGTGCCCAGGAGGAAGTTTCTTATTCGGTATCAACCACTTATTGAGGTTCCAGATTTTTACCTGCCACTTTTGGACTCTCGCTTGCTGAGGTATTCCTGCAAGTATCTCTGTAGATCTTAGGCAGTTAAAGTGGTGTCAGGCTCCATTAATTCTACAGTGTAGCTGTGCCACTGGCTGTCCACTTTAAAACAACTGTTCCCTATTCTTTTTCTGCATTTTAGAAAGAACTTTCTTGATGAACTTGGACTATAAGATTGCTTTTAGCATTCGCCCAAGAAGCTCGACTAGCCTTTTAATCCATGTTGGCACCAAACAAGGAAACTATTTTGCTGTTTACATGGACCAAGGCGTGGTAAGTGTGATTTTTCTTTTCTTTTTTCTAAAATGCTAGCACTTGTTGGGAAAGGAAGGAATGAAATGCTAGCCTTGAACTATTAAGGTGGAACAGGTTAATTGCTGTAGAATTTGGTAGCAGGTAAAGTTTTTATTTTTATTTTTTGCACTGTTATTTTTTTAAAAATAACGACTGTTTTTCATAGATCACTGCATCTGGAAATAATGGTGCTGGAGAGTTCTTGACGTCACTTATGCCTCAGCAATCTCTTTGTGATGGAAAATGGCACTCCATAGCAGGTACTGTGCAACTTGACATTAAGTCTAGTTGAGTCCAACTCTGAGAGGTGGTGCTCATCTCCATTTCTAAGTTGAAGAGCTGGCGTTGTCTGTAGACACCTCCAAGGTCATGTGGCTGACATGACGAAGTGGAGCACTGTTACCTTCCTGCCTAAGCGGTACCTATTGATCTAGTCACATTTACATGTTTTTGAACTGCTAGGTTGGCAGAAGCTGGGGCTAGCAACGGGAGCTCACCCCACTCTATCGATTCAAACTGCCAACCTTTTGGTCAGCAGGTTCAACAGCTCAGCACTTTAACCCACTGCACCACTGGGGTCTCAAGCATCACAGAGCTCCCCAAAAGTGTGCTTCACGCTTTGCCAAAAAAACTGTTTCTGGTGCATTTTCTCCAGTGTTCCTGATATGCACATTGCAGTTCTGGTCTTCTGGTCATGCTTATTTGACTTCTAATTATAAACATATTGCTGTGACATTCTATAGATCAATTTGGAATAAGCTCAGAGAAATCCAAAAGACTCTAGCAGGATTGTTCCGAAAAATGGTTTCTTGCCTACATCTCATGAATTCATTTTAGGCTGTGGACTGATCAGGTCATCTTAGTTCTCCTTTGTCTCATACAAGTGTCCTTTGTGTTTCTGTCACTGGAATAACCGTGAAACAAATTAGAACTGAAGAGTACATTCCTGCCAGAAAATACCAGTAGAAAAGTCCCTTCCTCTATCACACCAAACTACATGTCACTTTGCCGCTGTATAATAGTGGCCTAGCAGCACCTTTTCTGCTGAGAAGTCATTTTGGAAGGAAGTGTTTTTCAGTGGAGAAATAGGGCAGGAAAGACTTAGCTCATCCCCATTTGCCATTTGTCTTCATTCACACAGCCATTTTGTCATGAAAAAGGAGAAAGATAAACAGGTCCATAAGCTTATAGGAGCCAGCAGGAGGATGAGAAAGATTAAATATGGAATAAAAGAGTTGGCAAGGGAAGGAGTAAGCACTTGGCTAATATTGTGCATTGCTAGTGTCATGTCTCCTTAGTTCTGAGCATTTTAAGTACAATATGACCCCATATCAGTGGAACCAGTACCCACAGGTTTTCCTACCCACATAGTGTTTCTAACCTCAATTCTTTGGTAAAGGTGGAAGCCAGAAGTCATTCATATCAATAAGTAAAGGTAAAGGTTTCCCCTGACATTAAGTCTAGTCGTGTCCGACTCTGGAGGGTGGTGCCTATTTCCATTTCTAAGAAGACCCAGCGTTGTCCGTAGAAAAGGTTATGTGGCCAGCACGATTGCATGGAGTGCCCATACCTTCCCACCAAGGTGGTATCTATTGAACTACTCACATTTGTATGTTTATGAACTGATAGATTGGCAGAAACTGGGCCTAAAACGGGAGCGTACCCTGCTTCCCGGATTAAAACCACCAACCTTTTGGTCAGCAAGTTCAGCAGCTCAGCAGTTTAACCTGCTGCACCACCAGGGTGGGCTTTCATTTCAATAGGTTCTCTATTATACATGATTTTCTGTTTCTACTGTAAGTTCAGGAAAAATATGTCCAATGGAGATGGGGGTTGTACTGTACTGCATTTGTCTAGAAAAGTAATTGCTGGCATGTGTGGAACTGTTCAGGTCCCATGATCACTACAATGGGATAGCAGCTCCCATCAGTCATAGGCAGCACAGGCAATGGTCAGGATTGCTGGGAGTTGCAGCTCAACCATGTCTGCGGGCAAAACAATTTCCATTCCTGGCTTAGAAGCATAGCCGAATAATATTTTGCAAAAGAGAAAGGAGGTGAAAACCTTTTCTGTCATAAATCAGTTTACTTGGTGGGAGGTGGAACTGACTGATTTACCTGATTGTTTATAGTAACTCAGAAGAAGAACACAGTGCACCTTGATGTGGATACAATGAGTAATTACACTACTGGACCATCGACTGTACTTTTCACCAGCCATGCTGAACCACTTTACTTTGGGAGAGTTCCAGGTAGGAGGGTTTGTGACTAGTTAATCTTTCACACACTGCTATTTTACAGTATTTTGCTTTGGAAATGTTTCTGTTGAGTGTGACAGCCTTCTGAAAAAACTGCACTGGGTCAAAGGAGAATTGGCAGCTCATCTTTTATGCAGAAGGTTAGACTTTCCTCTATGGGTCAAATTAGATGTAGTGAATCAAGTAAGAAGCATGTTGTTCAGTAGATGTGAAAAAGCAACAGGATCACTCTGTGGAGTCATAATTTAACTCTCTCCCATCAGAGCTACTACTGTATTTGCATCAGGAGAAAAATGTCCATTAGCATTAATAAAAGCAAATAACAGCTGGAGGGGAACAATATTTTCTGCAACTACCATAAGATAGGAAGAAGGGTTACTAATCTCTTCCTCTCCACCCATCTGTGCTTCTTGCTAAGGTTTTTCTAATGCATCTATCTGCAATTTTTAAAACGTGTGTGAATGCATTCTCACAATTGTCAGAACCAATCACTAAACATCCAAATTATTAAGATACTCTGGAGGAAATTATGACAGCCACAATTCTTGTGGAAATTACCCTTTTACACTAAGGTAAAGGTTTTCCCCTGACATTAAGTCATGTCCAACTCTGGGGTGGTGGTGCTCATCTCCATTTCTAAGCCAAAGAGATGGCATTGTCCATAGACACCTCCATGACTGCATGGAGTGCCGTTACCTTCCTGTTGGAGCGGTACCTATTGACCTACTCACATTTGCATGTTTTTGAACTACTAGGTTGGCAGAAGATGGGGCTAACAACGCTCCCCAGATTCAAACTGCCAACCTTTCAGTCAGCAAGTTCAGCAGCTCATTGGTTTATCTTGCTGTGCCACTGGGGGCTCTTTTGCACTAATAGGAGAAAATATGCATTTAGGAGTTTGCGGTGCACACAGATTAGCCTGCAGTCAGATTGCTACAAAATTATGAGTAAAGGAGCATCATTGCAAAATGTAGGTGGAAAATGCAGGCCTGGGTTCCATCTGATAGGTGTCCCTTACAAGCAGGCATTCATTTGTGTGCGCATAGGCTTCCTTGGCCAGGAGGTGTGGCTGACCAAGTGCAAAGCTGTGTCTGTGGTATGAGGTTAACTTATGGAAGTTGTAGTTTGATGAGGCACCAGCATTCTTTGGCAGAGAGCTCAAAATATTGTATAACTCTTGACTCCGATGATTCCATAGCATTGAGCTATGGCAATTAAAGTGTTGTCAACTGCATTGATTCTACAGTGTAGATGCACCCTACATTGAGATGTTCAGTCCACATGTCGGTTCCAAACACAAAGCTAATGCAACAATCCAGTATTGAATCATGGTTACATGTCCTCTGGGGGAAAGGTCAATTTATTTCAGCATATGAGAGGGGAATGTGTACTGTACCATGGGAGAAACCATTGCTACAAAGTTCTGTTATCATTTTTAAATCTATTGAGACTATATCAGAAAAGAGAGTACCATATACAACTCCTGGTCTGAAATTTCTTTTAAGGGGAAATATAAATCTTAGGCAACTTTCCTTTGATAAAGGAATACTGACGAATGTATGTGAGAGACAGACTCTGGCTCTCTACAATTATGTAATATATCATATTTCTATCCTATATTTAACCTATCTTTCTCCTTTACAGCAAACCAGGAAATGCCATGGCTTCCTGTTCAGGACATGTTTCTTGGCTGTCTGAAGGATGTTAAAATCAACGACAAACCTGTCTTAATACGCAAAAGTGCAGACATCTATGGCGGTGTCAGCTTGCAAGGGTGCCCTGTTAATTAATCGTTTCACATCTATCATCTCAGGGTAAAATCTCATCATGTACTGTATGAAAGGCCACAACATGGTTCCATTTCTTCTCCTCTCTTTGTAATACTTGCCATTTGTGTAAACATGGTTTCAAGATGTATATGTTTTTCAGATATGTGGACTTTGTTGCCCTTGTTAGATGCATTTATGAAATAATGTTCACTTTACTCTGTACCATTCACTTTGTACGATAGGGCCATGTGAAATATAAAATAGTCTTGTGTATAATCTTATCTGGTGAATTTCGGCTCTCAGTTACAGTGATGCACAACCGGAGCAATTGCTTTGACATAAGAGTCAAGCCTTGAGGCTCTTGATATGACAAGAATACTCAAATAGGAACTAGAAAAAAATGTTTGAGTTGCAAGAAGAATCTGACCTTGTAAGCAGAATTTTATGAAAATAGAAAATGATGTTGGGATGCTGATCCCGTTCTTCTATAGTGACGTGTGCATTACATAAGTGACAGGAATAATATAAAATGAGAATGAAGCACTTTAAAAAAGAGTGAAATCCTGGGGTGACCAAATAAATATAACTTGCTTTATAAAAGCTTTATAAAAGCCTTCTATATACTTATTGGACCACAGCAACATTTTAATCAGCTTTAATCAAAAAGCTTGACTAGATAAGGGAAAGGAGTTTAGACCTACAATATATTTGCAATATGCATGAATTGTCTCTCTGAATGATAGTAGAAGGTAAAGGGGTACATTGCTTGCTTTGTTCCTCTTGCAATCTTTGCCTAACCACAAGACCTGCAAGTAGAAACTTTAAAAAGGCATAATTCTGAGAGACAGACCCAATTAAAGATTTATTTAACATTTTATACTGTACCCTTTTCAGGCTTTCCTTCCAGTTTTTTTGGCTGCCCAGTAAACCAAAACTTTTTCCACTTGGGATCACTTTCTGGCCAAGAAATGTTTATGTGTCCCAAGTATACAGGTATATAGCATAGATACAAAAACCAAATATTTACTGAAAATAAGTCAGCAATTACAGGGCTTGCTAAAAAGGCTGATTTTTCTTTTTGTAGAGTACAGCTGAAGCATTTTATGCAGAGTTCACTGTAATCACTGGGCGTTGTTGCTAACAGATTTGTGTAAATGGCTGATGTTCAGAAACTTTTTACTGTTGCCAAATTTTTGTGACCCCAACATTGAATTAAGGGGACCAAATTTGAAGTTGGGGCCCATAGTTTAAGAAGTAGTGCACTAGTCAACTTACTTACGAAATTTCAGTTCAGAAACATCTCACAGAAGCAAGTCATCTAGATGTAACCAATATAGGTTTTCTTTTTTAAAAATGCATACTATGACATGGTGCATCATTCTAAATGAATCTGAGGAAGTGGTGGAATATGTATAGCATGGACAACAAGTACAGTCAATAATTTGACAAATGGTGAATGGGCAAAAAAGGCAACTTGGGTGGCTTTTAATTGAAACCAGACAGTGCTAACAGATGATAAGCTGCCAATGGTCAGATCTTCAACACTACAGTTCTACTGGCAATGTTATACACATTTGAAACATGGGCAACAACAAAGCTAGAGGAAAAAACCGACAGTAACTCAGAGATCAATGAAAAGAAGCATGTGTGGCATGACAATAAGAGATAAAGTCAGCAATAAAGAGCTGTGTCAAAGAACCGGGGTACATGACGTGGTCAATGAAACCAATGAGGCAAAAAAGATAATGGGCAGGGCATATAGTACGAACAAAAGACAACCAATGGACATGTTGACTAACAAACTAGATACCAAGAGACAGCAAGCGGCCCTTGGGACGAACCAATAGTTAAGCTATTCAGCCAGAAATGGAAAAGGAAAGCACAGGATCATATATTTTGGCAAATTATATATTTGTGTGAAGCCCAAAGAGTGGATTGACAACAAATTGGATAAGATACGATGGGATGACATGGAGCAGGACTGAAGTGAAGGCAATTTTGCACATCAGCTATTTTGGATTTCAATTCCCAAAAGCCCCATGCAACTTGGCCAGAGATTATAGAAACTGTAGGCCAAAAGATTTAGAGCAGTGATTCTCAACCTGTGGGTTCTCAGAAGTTTTGGCCTTCAACTCCCAGAAATCCTAACAGTGGGTAAACTGACTGGAATTTTTTGTATTTGTAGGCCAAAACACCTGGGGATCCACAGGCTGAGAGCCACTGATTTAGAGGACATGAAGTTTCCTACCCCACCATAAGGGATCTCTGCTTAATTAGATTTTGGCACAAGAGAGCTACACCTGTTGGATAATGTTGCCAAGTGTTGACTTGATGGCCTTCTGGCTCTTCTAGTTATGTGATTGAGTGAAAGATGCCATATTATTATAATCCTCCTTGAGTCCCTGGCAAAGAAGCAACCTATGAATCTTAGTAAGTAGTTGTATGGGATGACACACTACTAATACACTTACTATGATATGATATGATATCATCATCACCACCATCATCACTACTGCACTAATTTGGTAAAGACAGCTTTGCAGGAGAGCTCAGTGGCATTGGCAAGTAATCCTGTTAATGTCATCATATTCTTGGTGATTTCTTGTTAGTCAACCTTATAAAGGAAGCACATCCTGTTTCCATTTCTGAGTGCCACGTTGTCCTGTTCATCTCCCACTGAATATATAATTATTCATGTGCCCAAATGTAACATGTTGACAGCTTGCTTCTTGCAGTAATTGATCCAATAACTCCATCAGCATGACAATCAAAGGCCTGGCATAGGTGAAAAGAACAATGCAGACTCACAGGCCTTTGGCAAAGCTGGCCCATCAATTGTACATCTCTTTTTCAGTAGCTTGATGGCATCGTCTTGGAAAAGGCACCTCTTCCAGATTCTTAACCACATTGGATACAATGCTTTATTTGGCTGTTCCTCTCAGAAAAAGGAGGCCAAATAGGAATCTGCCTTTGCCCTTTGCAAATTCCACTCCACAGCAAATAGTCAAATAGAAGTTGAGAACAAACCAATATATTGTTGTTTCCAAAAGGAAAGGAAGTCTAAAGCATAGAAGTTATCTTAATACAAAATCCATGACTATTCTAATTTGTTGTCTTCTGTTGTCCACTTTTCAGCTGCTTTTAAAATGTCCTGGTTTTTCTCGTCCTCACATTTCCCCCCTTTGTTCTCAGCTTATTTCGTGTGGTACAAACTGAGGTAAAAGTGCAAAACTTGTTGACACTTAACTCACTCAATGGGAAGAGGAGATGAGTGGTGGAATCGTGACCTACAGGATCAGGCAACAGCAAACTGCCACAGCCTCTCCCAGCTTGTTATTTCTTCCTCAGCAATAACGGTTACAGTCTTGGGCAAACTCTGATGTTTCTTGGCCCCACATGTCCTCGTTTACATCTCTAAAATATTGAGTAAAGACTTCCACAGTTGAGGCACTGCTACAGAGAAAGGCTTGTAATGTGTACCCACCAACCCAAATTTACAATGTGTTGAGACACATAACAGAACCTCCTCTGAAAATCTCAAACTTCTGGCAGCTCACACGGGAGGAGGCGGTGTTCGGATATCCTGGCTATAAGTAGTTTATGGTTGTATAGGTTAATCCCAACACCTGGAATTGAGCTCAGAAGCAAATTGGATACTAGTTTTTTGCAGGACCAATGGTACGTGGGTTATAAACTGCACACCTGACACTAATCTAGATGTTGCCTTTTTTTGTTTTTTTGTTTTTTAAAAAAAATTATTGTGAATTTTTAGATACATAAAAAGTGAGGGAACAATTAGGTTGAAATAGGAAAGTGCAGAAGAGAAGAAAAGAGTAGGGAGGCCCATAGAGTAGGGCTTCTCTCTTTAAAAAAAAGATGTTGCATTTTGCACTACCTACAACTTTTCAAGATAAGCCTCACATAGAGGGCATTGCTGTAGTCTAAATGGATAAACTAAGGCATGAACCACCGTGGCCAAATTTGTCTTCCCCAAGAAAAGGCACAACCGGTACAACAGTTAGTGCTTCTGGCCACTGAAGCAACCTGGCTTTCCTAAAGAAATACTAGGTCCAAGAACATTCCCAAGCTATGAATTTAATTATTGCAGAAGGCGAGCAACACCACCCAAAATAGGCTGCAATGCCAATCCCAGGTTAGTTTTCCTACTGACTAGCAGCACTTCTGTCCAGTCTGAGTTAATTTTCCACGGCATCCAGGCAACTATTCGGTACTACCATAGCCTTAGTCTGTTTCAGCAAAGAAAGTTATAAAGGAATCCTATAGCAACTTTGAGACTAAGAAAAATAATTTGGTAGCATAAACTTTTATGGTCTCCAGTCCACTTAATCAGATGCATGAGACGGCACCTGAAATGCACTGGAGCCTGTGAAAGATTATGCTAGAACTCTATTTTTCTCAGTTCAAAAAGTGCTGCTGATTCCCTTGCATCTTTTTACACTTTATGTTCTTAAAGTTAAAAAAAGATTTTGCATCTATTAAAGTTGTTAATATTGCATTTCTCCATTTCCCTCCCCAAAATGTCCATGAGGAGAAGGAATCCCTTCCATGTTGCTTCAAAATAACCAGGATTTTCAATCTCTAGCTGTATCACAGAGTGATTCAAGATGAGTTACAGTAGAAATATTGGGAAGCAAAGAGGAGGAGGAAGCTGGAGGAAGAGGGTTGTAATATTTTTGAGGGTTAAAGATGGGATCTGGTTCTTCAGATGTTCAAAGCTACATGTATCATCATAGAAAATGGAAGAAAACAAGAATCACATGTGGCAGAGCAATTATCCTTGTATTTGAACATAAGCTTTCTTGAGGAGATAAGCCTACCTAATACGGTCTATAAACTGTAATATTTATATTGCTAAATGTAAACAACCTGAGGTTGACAGTGATTAACTGCCTTAGTGACAGTATGATCAGGGTGGAATTGTATGTCCAGGATATAATTATAGCCTCAATAATCAGATTAACATTTGTACGAGGAAGAGGATGGTCATCAGTGAAAATGTACAATTCTCCAGAACATCCAAAATGCCTTTCCTGTGGCAAGTATTTACAGCCTAGCTCTGAACTGCAGTGTCCTGAATCACTTATTCTCAACCTTCACCCTGCAAGCCTTTGTGCCATCTTCCTGTTGTCTGTGTTGCCTCCACTAAGAGCTTCTAATTCTTGTAAGCTGAGTGGAGGTCCTTCACAATGAGCAGCCCATTTTTCCAGTCTCCCCAGGATACTTCCGAAATGGGGTCCAGGTCTAATGAGTAAAACCAGAATAGAACAGAAAGTGTAAAGCAGTGCAAGCAAGAATAATAAATGTATCTGCACAAAACCTCATTTGCCTCTAATGTCCTATGAGCTGTTCATTGCAGTATTGAGTAATTCATGATAATTAAAGGGAAGTCTTGATTATCATGTCTCTGGTGGAAATTTGGAAAAAAAGTATTTTGGTCTAAAAGGTAAGGTAAAGGTAGTCCCCTGACATTAAGTCCAGTCATGTCTGACTCTGGGGTGTGGTGCTCATCTCAATTTCTAAGCCGAAGAGCCAGCGTTGTCCGTAGACACCTCCAAGGTCATGTAAATTCTCCAACTAGCATGTAGTCCAAAAAATAAAATTTACAAGTTCAGCCTCTTTTGTAATGACCCTGCACATATACATATGTTGTTTTAAAAGCGAAAGTGCAGTCTCTTATGTTCCAAAGCAGTATAAATATTGCTGTATTTATATTATAGAAAATAAGCAATATCCAGCATGGTATATATAAAATGTTAAGATGCATGGTCTGTCATAGAGGCGGCTGATGACTGGCTGGGAATCTGAATGTACTTTTGGAAATGCAACTATATTAGAGTCAATCAGTCAGGAGAGGAGAGTGGCCTCCCATCTGCATTGCAGAATTATTGCAGTTTGACACCACTTTAACTGCCGTAAGTCCATCCTATGAAATTCTCATGCGTAGTTCACATCTTTACTAATCCACATACTGTCTTGCTAGAGAAAAGATATGCCATGCAGATGATCAGTAAAGAATAAGGTGTTTACTCCTTATCATGCAGAGCAATATATATACAGTCATGTGAAAAGTTGCATTGACTCACACAATGTCCTTTGAGAGAGATTCAAATGGTCCTTAGGTGTCCATGTGAAAGATCTTGCAGCAGCAGAAAATATACTAACTTGTCTTGGCAAGTCCCAGCACAGAAAACCTAAACATGCAACTGTTGCCAAAACTCCCAGGCTCAGCTAACACCCCAGGCATAGCCCAACCAATCAGCTTTGTGCTTTGCATTTTTCAGTTGACACACTCAACAACTGATTTTTATATGCTCCAATACTTTTGAAAATGCAATTATATTAGAGTCAATCGGTCAGGAGAGGAGAGTGGCCTCTCATCCACATTACAGAATTATAGCAGTTTGACACCACTTTAACTGCCCATCCTGTTAAATCCTTAGATTTTTTGTCTGTTGTGCCACCAGAGTTCTCTGTCAGAGAAGAGGAAACATATCACAAAATCTCAGAATTTTATAGCATTGAGCCATGACAACTAATGTGGTGTCGGACTACTATAATTTGTAGTTGGTTGGAAATAAATCTACACAGAGCCACAAAGGTGACTGCCAAAGAGCAGTTTAAGATGGGTTAAAGAGCTATTTAAGATGGGTTTTCACAGAAGGTGGCAGAGACTTAGC